CACCCAGACACCCAGACACCACCCAGACACCCAGACACCACCCAGACACCCAGACACACCCAGACACTCCAGACATAGACACCCAGACACTCCCCAACTCGTGCTATGCTTTTAAGTGGTACAGACAATCACATAGCTGGTGTTGGTCAAATGGGTGAATCTGTTAGACAGTTTAATGAGGATTTGAAAGACAAACCAGGGTATGAAGGTATCTTACATCAAAGAGTTGTGGCCTTATCTGAAATTTTAAAAGAAGAAGGTTACTTCAACACTATTTCTGGAAAATGGCATCTTGGATTGACAGATGAGTCAAGTCCTACCGCAAAAGGTTTTGAGAAGTCATTTGCATTGCTACCGGGTGCTGGGAACCACTACAAATACTTTCCATTGGATCCAACTACCGGTGAAACACCAAATAATTTTTTACCACCATTATTTGAACACGATGGGGAATTATTTCATGCTGGAAAACAACCTGGTCATATTCCAGATGATTACTATAGTACCAAGTTTTTTACTGATAAATTATTAGAGCAATGGAACTCAACTGATCGTAAGGGTCGTCCATTTTTCAGTCTTTTGACATATACAGCCCCTCATTGGCCTTTACAAGCACCCCAGGATGTCATTGAAAAGTATAAAGGAGTTTACGATAAAGGCCCAAGAGAACTTAGAGCTGCCCGTTTGAAAAAGGCTACACAATTGGGAATTATAGCACCTAATACTGTTCCTCATGAAGTTCATGTTAAACATGGATCTTGGGAAACTTTTGCAACAGATAGAAAAGAGCGTGAGAATAGAATCATGGAGACATATGCTGGGATGGTTGATGTGTTGGACAAACAAATTGGTAGAGTTTTAGATAAACTAGAGTCAGAAGGAGAGTTGGATAATACTTTCATACTTTTCATGTCAGATAATGGTGCTGAAGGTGCAATATGGGAGGCATTTCCTCTGAATGATCATATCGCATCATTATCAAACCAATACTACAATAATAAACTAGAAAACATTGGTAACAAGAACTCATTTGTTTTCTATTCAGACGAATGGGCGCAAGCAGCTACAGCACCAAACTTTATGTATAAGTTTTATTCTGCTGAGGGTGGTATAAAGTGTCCTCTTATAGTATCTTACCCTAAACTGATTTCTCAGAATGCTGGAAAAATTTCAAACTCTTTCTTAACAGTTATGGATATTTTACCAACGGTACTAGAAATAGCAGGTGTCGCACATCCAGGTGAAGAATTTAAAGGTAGAAAAGTTTCAACCCCGATTGGTAAGACATTCACTGGTGTTTTGAAAAAACCTGACGTTGAAATCCATACATATGATGATTCTAAAGCTATTGGATGGGAATTATTTGCACAAAGGGCTATAAGAAGAGGTGACTGGAAGATCACATTCATTCCAGAGCCTTTTGGTAGCAACTCGTGGGAATTATATAATGTGAAGAATGATCCAGGAGAAACACTAAATTTGGCAACCAAGGAGCCAAAGATCTTTGAAAAGTTAAAACACGATTGGGCTATTTATGTTGCTGAAACTGGATTAATTGAAGTTTCCATAAATTCAGAGATAATAGCTAAATATCATGCTCTTGAAAATTCCATTTTAGAAGATAATTTTTAATAATCTTTTACATCTGGTTTGTGGTTTATGGTACCTTTCGATAGGTATTTTGAATAATTTATATAGGACATGTGATATTATAAATATATTGTGCTTAATGTGCTTGAAGTAATTAGAAATTCACTCTCTGCTAACTTTTAATAGTTCAATAAAATGTTATTATTTCATATAGAAGGATATACGTGTACAAGGTTATTGATTTGTGCGGGGCCTCGATTTTTATATGACTCGATAGTACACTCTAAGCGGTATGTGTTGCAATTTACTGTATTCAAATTATGCTTGGTATACTATTGAATAAAATGTAAATAAATATGTACAAGATTTGTATGAATAATTCAGACAAGTTGTGAAATTTTCTCTATCGCTGTATCTTTTGTATTATTACTTAAACCTCCACTTAAATATTGTAAGAATAATACCTTACTTATCACTGGGTTTTTGACTCTACCAAGTTCAAATGACTCGTGTTTCTTCAAATCTTCATATGATAGTACTAATTCTCCGTTAGATAGCCTTTCCAAAACAAGATTATTATTTTTTGGGACAGACCCTTTACGGCTAAATGCATCTTTTAATTCCTGCAGACCACTTGCAAGTCCTTCATCTTGATATTTAGCTGCAAGGATGGACTTGACCATCCCATCTTTCAGATGATTAAAGTCGGTATTTCTGATTGGTGTGATTCTTGCAACTAGTCTGATATTGCTATCAAGAAGATTTGAAATCAAAAAACCTGATTTTTTGGAGTCATGTAATGCTGCAAATATATTTTCAGAATGTGACTTAGCTGAATCTGTATCAATAAACTGTTGTGATAAATAGTTTGAGTTTAGAACCATTGGGATTTTATAAATATCATCGTTTGCAACATAAATTCCCAGTGCATATACTTTGAATTTCAGAAAAGTAACAGCTCTTGTCCCATGGGCTAATAGTTGATATCTAGTCGACAGGTTCATTGATAGTGGTAATGGATCCACATTCTTATCAACATCAACTGAATTCAAACTCTCTTTTGAAACATCTGAAAGCAAAACCCGTCTATCTTGGTAATGATGATATATTAATGCGGATGAACAAAGTCCACTAATACCAATTGACAAGCGCAATGCGTTTTGGAAATTCACTGACTTTATGGTATGCTTGAGCACTTGAGATCCAAATGATGTATAAAACATCTTGCAAAAACTTAAATCCTAATAACAAAGTTGTTATCTTAGAGATATAAAATAGATATAAAACTTGCTTTTTGAACTTATAGTATAAAATCGCACACTCCTATTTTTTTTTTTTTTTTTCGCGTGTTTATACCAAATGGGTACAAGACGATGGAGAAATGAAGATTCAAGTAACAGCTAATTTGGTGAAGCCTGCCCTTATACTTCAGCACAAGCTTTCTTTATTCATAACAGCCCTGGTTGATATTTATGATTCTTGTCACTAGATATGAATATTACTGGAATTCTTGACACTCCCATTATCTGAAAAAAAAGGAGTTGTTAACAACCATGATAAGCTCACTACAATGATTAGACAAGTTATAATATCACAGGTATGAAACTAATAAACCACCACAATATTATCAATAAGTTATGGATGATAGAAACTTTTAGCTATCATTGCATGGATTTAAAAAATCATTTGGTTTGAAATTAAAACATGGTATCAAGGGCAACATATGATCTCAATGCCACAAAACCATTAATTAAATTTGAACTTAAGGATTGTTTATTGGAGAATATTACAAAAGGGAAATATTTACTATATATATAAACTATGAAGACCTTCTAGTATAGAGCATACTGAAGAATTTGCTGATTGAAATTAGCTGACACATGTCTGGAAACGAGACAACATTGGAGCAGTATGTATTTTCATGGTAGATACTAGATTAACTTGATACTAACTTTAAGGTTTTGGAAGATCCAATAGGCGTTTGAAAGCAAATGAGTTTCAAACAATTGTTCCAGCAGCAAAATCCTCAACCATCACCAATGTTCCCCTTACAAAGTCACATTTTTTAGATGCTTATAGCAAAGGTAAATGGAATCTTTCAAAAGTACCGTGTCCATCATGTTTTGAAGGTGTTGATTTAATTAGCCCCCCTGAGCATTATAATGAGGCACTTAGACAAAAAGTTGTGAAAAAGTTTGTCAACAGTGAACAGTGGAAGGATAGAGAAACTTTTAATAAGTTAATTTCCAAGGCTTTAAAGGCATTTCATGTTAAAGGTGCATCCATATCAATAATTGATGGCAATAGACAATTGGTGAAGTATCAATCATCGTTGAATATTTCTGAATGTCCTAGAAGACTTGCAATTGACTCACATACCATTCTTTCAACAGGTAATTTTGTTCTTTTAGATGCTTCTAAGGATTGGAGAACAGCCAGGAACCCATTTGTCACAAACGTTCCATTCATTAAGTTTTATGCGGGTGTTCCACTTATCACTAAGTTTGGGGTCGTCATTGGTGCCATATCTGTCTTTGATCCATTCCCAAGGGTGGAATTTGAAAAAAAGCAAATAGAGGCATTAAAAGAATTGGCCGGTGAAGTTATGGCAATTTTATGTTCTCCCGTCAAGAAAGATTCTTCAACAACAACTTCATCTATCCCTTTAATCAACCTCATAGGTAGACCTACAAGTCAAGGATCCCAACTCTCATCCACTGCAGTTTATGAAAAGGATGGATCAGGTAGCCCATACTCACAAAACCACAATTTTAGGTATAGTAAACATGATGCTTTAGCTTCGCATGATTCCCTCATCAACGACAAAATTTGGAAACAACTATCACATATAAGAGATATGAAGCTTGCTTCATCTTTGTTGTCGAAAATAATTACAGATCATTTGAAGTTTGATTTGGCATGTATTGTTGAGATCAAGGTGTCACAGAAATATCAAATTTCTTCTGAAATTTTTCCAAATGAAAACAAGATAGAAGCAGAAACGTTCAAATTTGCCGACAAATTATCCAGAGTTGATAATGAGGAAATTCAAACTAGAGTTTTGGGCTCTTTTGGCTATAAGGCTAGTGATCTTACGTTCGGTTCTGATTTATACTATGGCGCATTAAGTTCTGAGTTTGGAAAGTTTTACGAGTCTACCAATAATAATGCTAAGTTTAGATCTGGTATTTGTATGCCTTTCTATAGAATTCCATCAAAACTTGTTAGAAAAAGAAAAATTGTCAGAAATGATAAGAGTTCCAAGACTAAACCAATAGAAGTTTACTTGAGATCTGGAGGTTATTTGATTTCTGTGTTTGATGAGAAGGAACGTGAAATTCCGGAAAAGGAAATGAACTATATCTATGGTGCTGCTTGTACACTCCGTTGTATATTTATCTCTAATTAAAATTGATGTTCTTGTGTAATATTGGATACGTTCAGACAGTAGAAGTAGAAGTAATAAGTGTAGTGCAAAAAACAAAAAAAAAAAAAGTGAAGGATCGCGACGTTAATAAAGTATACATAATTTCAAAACACACTTCAATACAGCTACTTAAATTAATTCAATTGTTATCAAACTCAGTTGCTAGACCATGTCTTCATTTACTGCCCTCAATCTTAGTGCGGAAGATGTGGCGTTTGATGCTGAAGAGCACACCAGAGAGCTTCAGGTATGTGTCTTATGAAAATAACGAAGTTTACTTTGTACATAACTAACTACTTGATGAACTAGATTGAGGAAGCTTTCAAAGTCTTTCAGAAGGCATTAAAATCTCAAAAAATCAGCCTTTTTGATGAAGCTAGAATTGCATACGATGAATTATACAAAATTGAAGTGATCACGGGTGAACTCAACATTAATGCTGCTTCTCCAACAGTTAAAACATTAAGATATCTTGCCTATAGAAACAGAGGCTTGTTATATTTTGACGAACTAAAGTCCAAAATCTCAAATATAAGCATAGAAGAATCGCTCGGATTAATGCTTGATTCGCTAGATGATTTAGCTGAAGCGTTACAGTACAATGAAGGTGATGATATTGTAATCGATCTGTTGCTTAGCTTATTTGATTTTTTTGGGAATGATCGTTTATCAAGATTTTTGATTGAATATCAAATAACCAAGGAAGAAACTGATGAGTTTTACCTACATAGAAGAACAAAACTTGACTCTCCCAATTTTCTTTATTACCTTCAAGCAGAGAGATTGCTATTGAAAAAGCTGGGGACATCAAAGTGTGCTGAAGATTTTAAGGAGGAGCTCATACCACATAAATCACTGGAAGATGTAAGCTTTCTGGAGCCACTGCGCTCTTATATGATAAGTAGGAAAGAACAAAATTTAAAAGGTCATATTAAAACAATTACCTTAGATGAGATCAACTGGAAAAACATTGCGGTGAAATTACAGAATGTTGTTCCACGCTCGAAGCAAAGAATCTCCAGATTCAAAGATTCCTATAGATTAGATAACAAGACTTACGAAGTTCTGAGGTTTAAATTTGCTACAGAAGATGCTTCATCTGAGGTTGAAAGGGGAGATGAGCCAAATTTTGAACATGTGATTCAAACGAATGATGCCGGAGCTGAAAGCGAGAAGGGGTCGCCTCTTGTCAATGATAAATGTATTGAGGATCTATCAAAAAATAATGTAACTGGATCGTTAGAAAAAGAAAGTGAAGATGTTAAAATCAATGATGACTTTGATGGTGATAATATGGATATTGATCCTACTGGTGTTGGTGAAGATAAGATAGATACTGATGCTACTGGTGTTGAAGATAAGGTAAATATTGATACTACTGGTGATCCTGGTGATAACTCTCATGAAATATCGCGGGAAAGAGAACCTAAAATAGAGGATGTACGGAATGATATCACCATTAGTGATGTCCCAGAGAAGAGGCCGTTGGGAGAGCCTCAACCGCAAAGATCCAGTAAGAGAGTGCGTCACCAAGCAGAGCCCGAAAGTCATGCTAATAAGGTTGACGAATTTGATATCTTCTTGATGAATTTCCATAATTATCTCAGTGCGGAAACTATTACATCTCGTGTCACCTCTCGCACAATACTTGATTCAGGGTTGAATGACTTACACTATATCGATCTGGAATATTGTTTGCAAAATTGGACTTTGAGATTTGCGGAACTATTAGCATCCCAAAATGAGAAGTCACAAAGTGGACTAGCATTGAATGAGCTCATAAACACCAACATAGTTAATTCTAGCTTGAGTTCTGATACAGAGGTTAAAGAAATAGATAATGAGATTGCAATAGACTTTATTTCAGAGGTCAACGACAATAATTTTCACTTCATAGAGACAAAATATTCATTTTTTAAATATTTATTAGGGGAATCAGACGGTGTGTACCCTATCATCAACAAGTACCTGGACAAGGAACTTTTCAGTTCTGTGGAGTCGCTTGTTTTAAGTAGCGAGTCTGATTATTTCTTGGATATTTCAAAAGGAACAGATAACGGTATGGTGGCTATCGGTGTTGCTACCCTCGAAATTCTAGTGAATCATTGGATTAGTTTAAAACAAAAATTGAAAGGAAAGGGTGGTAGTCAGAAATCCAACAGTGAACTTGTCTTTCAAATAAGTCAACTTGAAGCACCTATCGAGAGATGGCGCCATGCTCTTACAACGCTTCTGCTTACCAAAACGAATTCTGTTCTGCTGATGAGATTTAGATGGTGTTGCATATTATATCTCCAACATGGAGAGTTGGTCTCTTTACCGTGTCTCAAACAACTTCTTGGTGATCTTTACGTGGATTTTGAGAAAGTTTTAAATGGCTCTACTATAGAGTTCCCAAATTATGAAGCTATTCCAACATTGAACCCCAAAATGATAAAAAACCAAAGTGATAAGCTAAATGTTCTTGATATTTTTGAAAAGACATTCAAAGAAGGTGGTGATACTAATGAGGACGCTAACAAGCTCCTTGAGAATGTTTTACTAGGGCTGACAAAAAGAATATCGGAAGAAGAAATCTCCATGGATCAATTTGTTTCAGGAAGCTCGATCACGTTAAAATTAAAGTTGTGGAAGATTCTTTTGGATTCTTATATCACACTAGGTGATTTGGATAAGTACATTAAAGCTATGGAAGTTGTTCTGCCTCTTTTGTTATCACAATTAGAGGATGATGCATACAAGAAGCAAAGTGACACACAGCGTTATCAAACTCTCTTGTCCACATTAGGATTCTACTCAGATTATACTGAAGGATTTGTTTCTATATTAGAAAGAAACCTATGGAAAATAAATGAACCAAATAATGTTATTTCAAGAAACATATTCCATTTTTTAAAGATATTTTTCTTCTACATATTGAAGGAATTTTATGATAAGCCGTCATCAGCAAAGCCATTCAGTGAGATTGCACCAAAATCATCAAGTAAGTTCCAAGATATTATAACCAATTCTTTCATTATTTTGTTCATCTTTGAAAGTACATACCAACAGGAAAGCTCTGAGGATAAATATGATATGTTTAGCATCGTTCATATTCAGCTTGGTCATCTTGGGTTTTGTGATGCAGCTTCAGGTAATTTTCTAAGGTTGTCTGAGCATCTTTGGAAAAATGCTGATTTTGAAATCTACGAATCAGATATTTTGCAGCATTTGGACTGTCGGTTTCATATTTCCATATCTAATGAGAGATTCACCCCTTATGAACATGATACAGAGGAAATTTCTTTGGACAGGGAATCTGCTATTACTTTTACACCATGCTTGATGAACCTAGTTCATCGAAAAAGGGATAATGTCAATTCAATTCTTAAACCTGATTTGAAGTCTGCTATTGATACTTTCGCGGATGCTATCGGTGAGCCTGATTTATCAATCCCTATAATCCAAAAGAATGATTCCGCACTCACTCAGTTTTTAGAATCTGAATTGGACGTGCTATTTTTTCGCAAAGCTTTTGCTGGTGCTTTAGATATTGATCTTAAAAGAGGGTTTTCATCTGAACAAATTGTTGCAGATCAAGGTCTATTTTACTCACAGGCGGTGAACAACTTAAATATTTATAAGATGAGAAAGAAGGCAATGCAATCAGCAGTTTCCGAGCTAGATGATGTTTACAAAATGATAAAAACTGATTTATTATATGGGTCTAGGAGATCGGAAAGTTGGTTCATCTTAGGTCAAGTATTTACCCTACAAGTAGAAGATGATTTGGTCTGGACGTCTGATAAACTCAATGTATTTGAAAGAAAACTAGGAACTGCCAGCTCCCAAAGAAAATCCATACTTTGCTTCCTTATGTCATTAAGTTTATGTGCACAAGATCAATTAGATGGTGTTTATATCAAAAAGGAGTTCTTGACATCTGTTCTTTCAACACTAAGTCAAACTATTTTTAATAGCTTGAGCTCACCAATGTCAGCACTTTGTTTCAAGGTACAGGATGATAAAAGACTTTTAAAAAGTGATGGGATATCGTCATTTTTGCAAGATGTTGTGCAGACAAATACAAAGCATCTGTTCAACGCAAATTTACAAATCATTCGTTTAGCAGTTAAAAATGATCCAACCAATTGGCAGAATCATTATTATAGTGCAAAGGTATTGCACAAGATGAATTATCCTGCTAAGCGTGTCTTACAATCGTGTATTGATTCATGTTTGGTCAGCAGTAATGCTATTGAGCCACATTATTTGTTGTTGACCATGACATACAAATATTTCAAACAAGGAAAAATCACAGGTAATGCTGCGTTCCAATATTTGAAGAAGGTTAATCCATTCCTCGGCCTTGCAAGTGAACAATTAAATGAAACCAAAATTTCAATTGATGATATGATAATTTCGGGCCTAAAGAAAATTAATCAAATTGATAAGAAAAAGTGGCATCATAAGCACCGCTATAGATTATCTAGAATATACTTTGATGTTGGAAATGCTGATTTAGCCTATCAAGAAATCGAGGCACTCATAGTTTTAAAATCAACTAATAAAAATTTGGTCAGTATTTGGAAGCCAGAATTTGAACCTCCGGGAAAGCATTTTGTTTATACATACACTTATATTCTTTATTACATCAAATTGATCAATCATTTCGCTGATTTCCATAAACTACTTTTATTTACAAAAAAATTACGTCGTTATGGTTCTGGTATGGTAAATTTGGTTGAAGCATGGGATTTCAGTTGTTTGACTCTTTGTTTACTTACAAAAGAAATCATTGGTGCTGAACCAGGATTCACGGATATTGAAGTTCCAAAATTGGTTTATATTGAATTCGTTCAGGGTTCACAATCCTTGACTAATAAATTCAAAAAAGAGACATTGAATGATGAACAAAAAAGACAATTTACTTTGTTATATGAAATTAGTGAAATTAGAAGAATGAATAACGGGTTTGGCTCAACATCTCAGCTTGATGATACTTTTAATGCAATTTATTTGAAGGTTTATCTAGAATATATTACTTCGGAAACAAAACATTTATTCATCAATGAAAATACGCTCTCGTCAATAAAACCAAGTTCAACACCTATTAAAACCAAGGTGGCAAGGCGGGATATATTAGCTGCTGCCACATCACTAGTGAAAGCAGTTGAGTCGAAATTGTCTGATAATAAGATTACTGATGATCGAGGATTTGTTGTTCCAGATCATATTAAACAAAAACATCTAGAAAATTCAACTTTGAAATCTGATAGTATCGATAAGGTTGAAATGCCATTAACTGGTGACGATCAGGACGCTGTGAAGATTTCAAGCGTTCCAGAATCTAAAAATAACCATGAAGTTTTGAAAAGTAACTGTGAAAGTGAAGAAGAGTTTCATACGCCAACTGATTTAACATTCGATGGTGATGAAGTTATAAATTCAAATGCAAACGACAATATAAAATCTACAAAAGAAGGTTGATGAGGATCAGCTAGCATAATAATAATAATATATATATATATATATATGAAATTTTGATAGATCGTTCACCTTCAACTTCTCTATTTGTAGAAATGTAATTTGATGTTTAAAAATTGTCTTGCTCCAACTTGATCAGGTGTCAAGCCAACATTACCGTAGGTTATTGGAGCGAAAAAGTAGAAAGAATAAATTAAACCAATAGATAGAACAACTATCGTGATGTTCAAAACTTTTCCCCTACCAACTAAAAATTCTAGAATTGCTGCGGTTAAAATTGCTGCAATCAAATGAGCTGGTAAATAATGGTGCAAAAACTTTTGTCTTGCCATTAAAAAGAAAAACACATAGTGTGACAAGTAGCCAATGTAAAGAAACCCAATGTTGAACAGTTGTTTAATTTGGATATCTTTCAACACATAGATTTTTCTTTGCTGAACTAATTTAACGGCAGCAAAAAATCCTGCAAATGAAGCTAAAGCTATGACTTCTAACCACCATCCAAATAAGTTACCAATGAAATAAATTTGCTCTTTAGTTCCCTCTTTAGTCCAGAAGCTAACACCTGAAAGTGATCCTGGCCATGAAATAGGATCTGATGCAAATGGATGTTCGCTAGATAATTTATTGTTTTGTTCAAACATGATGAATTGTAGCTCCCACCATTTTTTGAAAAATGGGATCTTTTTGACTGGTTTTGGAACATAGAATTGACGGCTATCGTTTAATCCAATGATTTCATCAAAGTACCATGTATTTGTAGAATCCTGAATTTTTTTATTACCATTAACTTCCAATTGGTTGAATCCCCATTCTGGCAATGTAACATCATCATGGGTCCATAATGCAACTGTGGTATCAACATGTAAAACTCGAAGTAAAGAAGACTTTGTTTTAATGATAGAGCGCTTATTAGATTTATCAGCTGCTGGTAGTTTGAACAGTGTTTCATTAAATCTGGTGATAGAAGTATTGTAGTCAACAGTTGTGAACTCTTCATTTGTAGGATACAATGGTGAAGCAACGTCGTGAGATAACAAATAAGTACCGGTATTGACATGTAAGAATCTCACTATGTCGTCAATACGAACTGGCTTGTTCAACTTGTTATCTTCAGGAAATTCTTCCACTGGTAATACTTGCCATTGATTGTTGATATCTTCACCGATGAAACCTGTAACTTGTTGCCCTTGAGATGAAACACGACCATCTTCATAGCGCAATGGGTAACGGTAACCATGAGAGTGTAATAACGCATCTGTCCCCTTATGCTTGAATGTTACAATGTCATAATAGTTCACTTGTTTAGCTGTCTTTGCCAATGGAGAATCGCCCAATGATTCTTGAAATTCAGAACTCATAAATCCATCACCAGGCCCTGATCTTGTCAATATTTCAAAATGAACGTAAAACCAATACAGATATATTAGAAATGGTAAAACAATCAGGGAGTAGAATCTTGCAACAAAATGTCTTATGAATTGTCTTATTGTTAATCCAGATTCAATATCTAAAAGCGACCATAAATCAAGAGCAACAGCAAAACCAATAGTAATGTAAGTAAATACACCAACGTATTTTGTAGAGATAACACACGATAATGAGACACCAGTCAAGATTAACCATTTGAACCATCCTTTAGTGTAGGCCCCATTTGCTTGTTCTTTATAAAATCTAATATAAGAATAAATTGATAAGGCAACGGATAAAATTAAAACTGCATCCAATAAAATTAATCTTGTTTCCGCAACATGTGCATTATCAAAAAGAACTAACAATGATCCAAAAACTGCAGTTGGGATAGAGTAATTTAACTCTTTCAATGTCAAGTAGATTATAGGGACTGTGACAGAACCTAAAACAGCGGAAAGTAAACGATAAGCAACATATGGAACTTTATTGTCTATGTAAGAATCACCGATGTTATCGAATTTGAAGGAACCATCATATCCAACTAAATAACCAACCAAGGCAATTAATAATTTTGCAAAAGGTGGATGAAGATCAAAAAAATAGGTACGTTGCAAATAATAAGATGCAAATTTACCAAAATGAACTTCATCGAAAACAACTTCTGAAGGATAATCAATTTTGTAAATTCTAGTCACGAAAGCCAAAATCGTAACTACTGCCAAACTAATTTTGTTTAACAGTGGACACTCATCAGTTTGGTCTGTTGGCTTTTCATTGTCTTTGGACTTTTGAACAGTTTCTAATAATTTTTCATCCGATGAATTAGACACGGTGGATAAATCCTTCTTAGAAGTACCTTTGGTGGTTCTTTTTCTAAGTCCTGACATATCACTTCTCCAGTAATCAAATAGTTTTAATGAATGGAAGCAAAGCTTGATAGCAATTGGGTTTGAAAGTGGGAACCTTGGAAACTATAGTATTTTCAGTGCAGTTTAGTTGTTTATTCTTTTTCTTGACGTGTCAAAGTAATTCAACTTTGAAGGTATGTGTGGTCGCGACTCGCGACTCGCGACCCCCATTGCCTACAATTAACATTAAAGAAACACATACATAAGTTCTAATTTATCTCAGAGGAAAAGGTGGTAAGCGGTGTAGTTTGGCCAAAATCTCAACATAATCAGGCTCATTTTCACTGTTCACAAAACCGTGTCTTGTTAAAAAATCTATGATTACTAAGGCACAACTTGGTTTAAACTGTTCGTCCAAAAGATTGGTCCAAACTTCTTCAAATGACATCAAATGGAAGCATTCTACTTCGTTATCATTTGGCTTAGGAACTATTGACTCATCACAAGGAATATCATATATATACTGAACCTCTGGTTGGATCAATCCTAATTCATATCCATAATTGAATTGTTTATCACAGAGTGTATATGAAACTGTCCCGACAGCTTTTGCATTTTTCTTGACAAATGATCTTTCTAGCCCTGCTTCTTCTTCACTTTCTTTAATCAACGTATCGAAAACTCCAAATGGATGACCCAATCCGCCCCCAACGGTATTATCCAACATTCCAGGGTGTGTACTTTTGGTTTTAGACCTCCTTGGTATCCAAAATTGAATCTCTCCTGTTGATGAAAGCTCCTTGGGTATATAACAATTAGCATGTATACCATACATTACTATTCCTAATAAGGGACTAAATGCTCTTTCTAAATAAACATAAGGCTCATGTGCAGGATAATGTATAATAAATAATTCATTTCTCCATCCTTTGATGAATCCTGATTCATTTAAGCTATCGGCAACCTCTTTAAACCCCCTGTTTCTCTTTTCTATAGTGTCAAGATTTGAAGATATTTTTATTTGAACCAAGTCATCATCAACTTGAAATACATTGGGAAATTTATTCAATTCTTTGGCAACATCTGGGACAACGTACCCCAATGGCTGTTTCCCATCGTGAGAACGGAGTATATAAAGGTCATTTGGCTTCTCCCCATATGTGAATGAGTTCACAGATTCCACAATACCAAGTAAATTCATCTTAATAACCTCTTTGAAGTACTGAATTGAAATTTCCCGAATTTCATACGTATATACAATGATGATGAATCTCAGGTACTAGCGACTCGCGACCGCGACGACCTATTTTGAAACTTTAACGCGCAAAAAAAGATAGCAAAATGATACATCACATTCAATAGTATTGAATATTAAAGATATTGAATTTCTTCTTGATAATTATAAAAAGTTCACTTCTATAATAATTCAAATAGCAGGCTCATAAAACATCATGAATTCTTCAAGACCTTTGATCAGTTTTTACAGAAAATGTTTCTCTGCTGTTTCCAAAAATCCTTATACTCAAAAGGCAAATGCATCATCATATGTTAAGAAGCCTTCATCCACATCATATGCTTCGAAGTATAAAAAGAATACTTCAACCTCTAGTTCTGCTCCGTCATTAGCAGCTAAAGCAACTTCAACCACAACTGAAACCACCCCAGGAGATGAAATTTTCAACAACGATCCTTTTTCTGAACCTAAAGATACCTCAACATCTTCAGGTTCTTTAGCAAAATCACCATTCGATAACCCAAAACTATTGAATACAATCTTTCCGCAAAATTTGCAAGATAAACCAGAACAATCAGCATCTCCCTTTGGTAGTGAAATCAACTGGTCTTCTTCTTATTATGGTATTGGTACTGCACCTTTCCCACCAGAAGCACAAGAAGTTTTAGCTGCACCATTGGACCCAAAAGATATTGAGATAAAACCTGATGGGATCATTTATTTACCTGAAATCAAATACCGTCGTATATTAAACAAAGCATTTGGTGCTGGTGGCTGGGGTCTCGTTCCAAGATCAGAAACAATTGTTACAGACAGCTTAGTTACAAGAGAATATGCCTTGGTGTGTTTGGGTCGTTTAGTTAGTATTGTAAGAGGTGAACAAGATTTTTTTTCAAAATCAGGTATTGCTACTGCTACAGAAGGCTGTAAAAGTAATGCCTTGATGAGAGGCTGCAAAGATTTGGGTATTGCTTCAGAATTGTGGGACCCTGTTTTCATCAAAGGCTTTAAATCCACATATTGTGAAGATAAATTCGTTGAACATGTTACAACCAAAAGGATGAAAAAACTTTGGAAAAGAAAAGATAGAACCTATGATTATCCATACAAACTCGCAACTAAATGATGAGTGGATTAAAGGAAAAGGTAATTTATTTACGTAACATGATTCGTGTAACATATATCTAATTTTGACTTCTACGATCTTGCTCCTGTAGATATGTAGATTTCATAGCTATTCATTAAAATTTCGTTACCCCATCAGGCAATTGTTATACGAAAAATCCTTTCAATCTGGGGGCTCTTTCTTGCTGACTTTTGTTTTTGTTTTCATCCAGCAGCTGGGAAGTTATAGTGTTGTGAGTTGATGGGGATGAAGATGATGGTGATAATGAATCACTTGGATGTTGAGATGTAAATGGGCCTTTTGTTGGTTCCAAATGATTTGACACTGCATAAGCAATATCATCAATCGTGGGTATAGCTTCCACTTGACTTGAATCATAATTCTCATTTGATACATGTCTGCTATTCAATGATCTTGAAGTGCCTCTACTTTGTGACCCTGATACCTGTGCACTCAATGAGGATGATGATGACTTGGATCTCAGATTGTCGCTACTTCTTTTCTTGAACCTTTTTGGGTCCGTCTTTGAATCATAGTTGGTGTTGTTTGTACTTCTGGTCACACTGGATTTTCTACTTCTAGTTTTTTGAATCTCGAGAGGAACAATATTCTGAGCAGCTGACTGCACATTCTCTCCATTGAGAAATCTATTATTAGATTTCGAATCCTTCGTCTGGATAGAATTGCTTGGATTTCTTGACCTTGGTGATTTAACAATTGTTTTTTCCAATGACCAGCTTGAAGATTTTGATTTTCCCAATCTTAGTAATGAGAAAATTCTTTCAAATAAATGATTATTAAAGCAAGTCTGTTCCAATAGTCTGATTGAATAATTATCGACTTCTTCTTCTGATACTTGTAGATTAAGAACTTTAAAACATAAATAGCAAATTCGGGGTAGTAATGTTGATCGATAAAATTCAACAAGATATGGTGAAATAGCTCTATATTGTGAGGCATAGAACAGTGAAAAGAACAGTCTCATATGATTGTTGACACCTCCATATTGAATAAAGCACAATAAAAACCAGTATGTCAGCCAATATCTAAGAATATGAATTGAATAAGTTGTATCTTTTGTTGACTTTGGCGCCTTGTTGGTAACCTCAAGAGTTTTCAAAGTTAAGATCAGAGGAATAACAATGGAGACACAAAATTCTGCAATTGGTATTAGATGATTATCAAATATCATAGTTGAGTTAATGAAAGCACTGCTTTTAAATGTTGCAATTTCACCAATATTCTTTTCCCCTTTCCTCAAATTTGACCTTCTTCTTCACAGGCAGTGTTGATAATTCTTCAGTGTACTAATAATAAAAGGGAAAAATGAGGGACTCCTTTGGGTATAACCTGTTTTTTTTTAACGATTGTCTTATAGTTGGATGTATTTATCAATATTAAAAGTTTGTGAACCCTATTTTATCGTTTCTCGTGAGACCTCATCGCAGAGGTTTAGCAAGTCCTGTTTGTGAACAATTGGATTTTTTTGTAGATCTTTCCTAGATCTTCGGTCCGGGAACACAGCGAAAAGTTCATACGTCATACGTGAAGAATTCTAGAACATCAGCTACAACTTACAAGTTTTATGGTAGAATTTTAGTTGAATTCACTTCATCACCTTCATATTCACCACAACAGTGTTGTCCATCTTTATATTCCCCTTCTTGCTAACACTTAAAGACTGGCTCGATGTTTGTAAAGCACTTGAGCTGACAAATATAGTAGAGTTCTTCATAATGGAAACACCATTAACAATCTTGACTCTTAACACACTTGTAGCTAAAACCTCATCTTCGACTTTACATGTTCCATGATAGTCAAAGTTCAAGTCTGATAAGTAATCATTAACAAATTCTGTGTCAATATCTTGATTGAACTGGTCCACTGACAGGGCTGGAAGTAATTCCATCTTCAATCGAAGACCTGAAATAGAACTTAAATAAATATTTTTCACTGATGCTCCTTCATGAATCTCGACTCTTGTTTCAACTATAACATCTCTAATTAAATTTCGATCACCAATTAAAAATTCCAATGTTACTGTGGTGGGTTCTCTAAAGCAAATAGCATTCGGCCTTGCATACCTTTGGTAGAAAGCAGTGGATAACTCAATAGGGTTATCATTCAACTTCCACTGATCATGAAACTTGGCGTCTATCAGAAACGCATCAGGGTCATTTAAGTAATTTGCAAATAAACTTGTGACTAATTCTGGTACTTCACATTGTTTTGACAATTCCTGATTGCTGATTGAGCTCTTTACTCGAGGCTTTACTGATTCTTTGAAAAACAGAGTTGCGTTGTTGTATTTTGTGAGGCTCTCAAATTTTTCCTGAGACCACTCCTTGAGTGATGTGTATAAATTATGCATCAACCCTTTTGACGATTCATTTACAGAATCTCTCCTATTTTCATGAAGATCAAAGTCAGATCTTTGAGTGACATTAATCACAGGGTCTGTGAAATTCTTCGAAATGATATTTTTTAGTGGATGACGTTTATGATAATTATACTGATCGAGTTTTCCTTTTGGTATCCACAAAGGATGTCCTTCTGTTGAAAAAACTGCACGTTTGTCAAAATTCATTTCATTATCTTCATCAAACAACAGATACAGATACATGAATGTTTCACTAAGAACAAATGATTCCATTCTATTTTGTAGTTCTTTTGTTCTGACATCTCTATAACCTGCAAATCCACATTCGACTTTGAAATTTTCAACATAATCATTTAAAATTTTTTCGCCAACTCTTAAATAAAATGGATCTCTTGTGGCCCTGTAAAGATAATATGTCGATTCTATGAATTCTGGTCTTAATATATACCACTCTAAAGATACCGGATCTTTTGTGCCAGAGCCAAATATCTTTGTGGTTGGACTTGAGGGTAAAAAATCCCACCGTTCTGGTATACCCTGATATTGATTCCATAGCTTGACATAAGGAATATGGCTTTTGATTGCATCATCAACATTACCGGCTAATACCAGAAGACCGGGGAAGAACGCACCCAAAGCATCAATCCATGGGCTGACTAACAACCCAGAATCGACATTGACGTTTCCAAAGAACCACTCATTTTTAGAATGGGTCGATAGTGCCTTGTATGATCTTTCCCAAACATCCAATAGCTCATTGTCATCAAACAAAATTGCTCCTTTTAGTGCATACTCATAAAAGGAATCAATTGATGCACCAATACCAGTAGTAGCATCGATCCAAATACCTTTGACGGGTTCAATTGTCATGGGAAGTAAATCCAACTTACTTCTTGAATTCCATAATTTGAAAAAAGTTTCTCTTGAATATCTTTCAAACGATGTATTATTTGTTAATATTGACAATAAACTCATCTCCACAAAGGGACTTGCCGCACCAGCTGTACATGTGTCTTCATATAGTTTTTTAGGTATATTTGAAGCACCGTTTTTCAAGTTGATTCTTGGTAAGGGGATACCATTACCATATTTTTCATATGCTGGCAATAATTTGAGCCCCAATTCTTGAGCTTTTATTAGCAAATATCCGTCATAGTTTGTTAATCTGAACTTATCGACTGCATAAAGATGAGCTGATAACAAAGAACCAAGAGCTCTGATTGCAGTTTCAAACACTTGTACTGTTGAGTCAACATCAAAATTCAAGTCTCGTATGAAGGTAATGTATTTAGTGAATTGCTCAACTTCTCCCATTATTGCAAATGTGGTTATGGAATCTAATAAAGTGACAGAATAGTTCCCCAATACATCATTTCTATTAATGTTTAGTATATCTGAATCTTTTGTATAAGCTTCGCATGAAATGGGACGAACTTCATCTAGGGGATACCCATGCTCCATATAAGAGTTCCATCCGTGATAAAACAATGAACGAGTTTGGTTCTTTAAATGTGATATGTGTTGTTTTGTATATGAACTTTCAATAATTTCATAACCATGTGAGAAACCTAACCATATAGTAAGATTAAGTAAACATAGCAGGGAGGAGAACCGTTTCATATCCGAGTCACCATTAACCACAGTTTTAATCAGAAGCTCTTTTTTGTTTTTTTGAATAATTAAAACTTCGTTAAACCCAACTTTTAATTTAAAATATCTAAGCTGCTAATCAGTGGAGAACCAGTTACCATAATTATATAAACTTGCAATTTGGCGCGCGCGCCAGGCTCCAGCTCATATCCGACTAAATATCACATGACTAAAAAAGAGAGATCGACTTTTGTTTACTTTTACACAAAATCGGAAATAATTACTGGCAGATGGATCTTCAAAACCAGTACCAGATACCCATGCTTTAAATTTGCTTCAAAATTAATATACGTATTTAAGTACAGCTCTCTAAGTTTTATCTCTTCACTCATAAGTCTGATACATTCAAGAGATCCCTTTGCAAAAGCTTGAAAAATCATGTCACAAAATCAATCAACAGTTCAACCATTACATCCAATTCTTGATAGTAAAGAGAACGTTGCTAAAGCAAGAGTTCATGAACTTGCCACACAGCAGTATGTATTATAATATGCTTAAACTCCCTTCAGAATTCTAACAATAAATTAGAAAACTTAAATACGTTTCACCATCTGATAAGAAAGAAAACTTATCACCAACATCAAAAAAATTAATGGATCATAAAATGAAGCATCTCTATAAGTAAGTTGTCGTCCAATCAAGTCCATTGAAATCTTTCCATATGCTAACTAGTGAATCAATAGAAATCCAGTCAAAAAGCTATCAGGCTTAAGATTAGAAGCCGCAGCTTCATCTGATGAAGAATGATATTTGATGATGAAAGTAACATTATTTATAATACATACAAGGTTTTTGGGGATTATTTTTTTTAATATGGTTAAGATTACATTTTTATATTTGGTTTATTTCTTTTCACTTTTTTTTATGATATTTAGTTAGGGAATATGGGCTCTTTGAATGGATACGTTATATGCAGTTTCTTTATGAGTAAATAATTAAAGATATATATGCTCAAAGAATGTATTTTTATGTATACCTTTCACTCATAGACGTATGATTTGTTTCTTGTTGGTTCAAAGGTTTAAAACTCTTACAAGCCAAATTATATGCGTATATTTGTGTGTGTGTGTGTGTGCTCTGATTTAATTTTTTCACTTCTACTGATTTAATTTTTTATTTATAAGTTATAATATTATACTACCGTTTTGTATCCAATTGAATTTGCATTTTGTAGTTATACAAAACTATGTATTTTGCTTTTCGAACCCTCATCACGCATTTAATATATAATTGCACGTGACTTTACAGTCTGTGACTGTCTTTTCATACAGCTGAAAAAGTTGGTGTTCGGAGTTTTCATGTTGGGGAACTGGTCAGAAAATAATAATGTGCGTTTGAAAAACATAACTTTTGTCTGTCAATATTTGTCGGGTCTATTTTGAGCGCGCCCATCTTTGAAGCCTGAGAGTATGTGCAGTTACACAGTTTGTATGGTGAAAAAAAAATCAACTCTTTTTTCACTACGGTAAAATTAAACATCAAAACTTGGTTTCTTTAGTTAACAATCTTGATTAAAGACCTTATATCAACTCATCAAAAATGGCTAGAGGTCCAAAGAAACATCTTAAAAGATTAGCAGCTCCATCCCACTGGATGTTGGACAAGTTAAGTGGTACTTATGCTCCACGTCCTTCAGCTGGTCCACACAAATTAAGAGAATCATTACCATTAATTGTCTTTTTAAGAAACCGTCTTAAATATGCTTTGAACGGTCGTGAAGTTAAAGCTATCTTAATGCAACGTCATGTTAAAGTTGATGGTAAAGTTAGAACTGATGCTACTTTCCCAGCCGGTTTCATGGATGTTATTACATTAGAAGCTACAAATGAAAACTTCAGATTAGTCTACGATGTTAAAGGTAGATTTGCTGTTCACAGAATCTCTGATGAAGAAGCTTCATACAAATTAGGTAAAGTTAAACAAGTTGCTTTAGGTAAAAGAGGTGTTCCATACGTTGTTACTCATGATGGTAGAACTATTCGTTATCCAGATCCAGCTATCAAAATCAACGATACTGTTAAAATTGACTTAGAATCAGGTAAGATTTCAGATTTCATCAAATTTGACACTGGTAAATTGGTCTATGTTACTGGTGGTCGTAACTTGGGTCGTGTTGGTGTTATTACTCACCGTGAACGTCATGAAGGTGGTTTTGATTTAGTTCATATTAAAGATTCTTTAGAAAACACTTTCGTCACCAGATTACAAAACGTTTTCGTTATTGGTGAACCAGGTAAACCATACATTTCATTACCAAAAGGTAAAGGTATCAAATTATCAATTTCTGAAGAACGTGACAGAAGAAGAGCTCAATCAGGTTTATAAATTAAATGAGGATTTTTCTAACGTTAGAGTCATTATTCAAAAAATCAATATAAAGCAAAAATATTATAAAGGGGGGAATAGCGAAGAAGTTTTTTCATAATGGGTCGGTTTGTTATGTCTTTTTCAAATCGTCTCATTTTAATGATTTTGTATCAATCATTATCTTTTTTTATGATCTAATTGAAAAGGTAAGGTTGTGCAATTGTATATTGTTATGGTTGACAGCTTATTGTTGTCGTTCTGTTTAAATGAGATCAAAAAAAAACAAATATTAAAAGTGTAAAATAACTTATGTTTCATATATTGTAGGTTATTCGGATTCATTAGATTATCATGACCAATGATTTTGGACGTATTGGCGCAACAATGTCCCTGTACTTTCACCTCCATAATATTGGATATCACTACTTGTAATATTTCTTTCAAGTACTTTATGACGATGATTCAAAAGATTGATAGCTGAAATCAAATATGGTTCAATGAAGCTGTAGAATACGACATCTACATCTTCTTTACCTGGTACAAATTCTTGATAAGTCTGAACCACGTTTGGTGAAGGATGATATTGAATGGAGTTATGCGAAACATCATCCCCATTACAACCTAAATCATCCGAAGTTGTTTGGCCTTTTTTCAAATAGGATTCTTTAACAAAAGGACAAGAATGGTGTGGTACTTTGACGTGACTCTGCTTTTGATCTATTAATAATTGGTCAAATTTATCTCGTTGTTCAAGCTTAAACCCAATAGTAGTTTTCTCCGGTGATGCCAGCTCATTTGTTGTCATGAAAAATGCTTGATCGTTCAAATATGATTCAAGTCTAAAGGCCAAATCTTTGTGTAATTTAATGAAATTCCAGCTATTTTCAAAAGGGGATATTGTGAATTGTGTATCGGTAGTAAAGTTGCCTTTATAAAGGTCGTAACGTATGCTTCCTGAATTGATTAGAATTATTCTATTTGTTTTGGTAACGTCCCGGTCAATTGTATTTTCTAAAGTTGGTAAAATTGAGCTATTCAAAAATGTATAAAGGTTAGTAGGGTGCCCATATTGGTGCTCATTCAACATGTAATTTTTTGGAACGTAACCAAAACTAAATGTTAAGTTCAATTTTTTCCTAGTATCTTTTATTAATCTGGAAACCTCGAGGCCTTCATCCGTATCAAAATTACTTTTACTCTTGAATGAGTGATGAATGAAACTTTCTCTATTGAAATCAATATATTTTCTTGTGAATTTTGGATGATCGTAATCTGTAATATTGACTGAAGCCCAACCTACTGTTTCACAATATCTACCACTTTGTAATCCTGCAGCTTTATGATCTAAAATAGAATAATCTCTAATATGAGAATGACCTCCAAAATAATGAATAATTAACTTTGGATAAATACGTCTTAATCGAATATGTAGGTATAATAGCTCTTCATGTTCAAGATCTGTAACAGGTATATGACCAAAAATGATAATAAAGTCTAAATCATCCTGTGTAAAAGTTGATGTAACATTTTTAAACCAATTTTGCTCGATAGCTTCTTTTATTGGGAATACTTTAGTTCTTGAATTAAATCTTTTAAAGTCAAACAAAAATGAGAGCGATAGAACCCTGTAGCGCTGGTTTTTAGTTTCGAAGTATCTATATTTTGAACCAAATGGTTGCCATTGACCATTGTCTGTTTTAAATTCCACATTTGAACTAACATAATGTTCACCATATCGTTTTACGGAGACTTCAAACTCTTGAATTGAATAATCCTCATAATATAGTTCGTGGTTTCCAATAGTTACTAGATCGTAATTTTGTTTATTGAATATTGGTGTGGATTTTCTTCCATTTGGTCTTGTTGCATCACTCAATCCATTACCATCGTGTTTATCCCCTGTATCAATCAATAATAAATCTTTGCCCTTTGCATTGGCAATTTCATGTAAATTAGTAGTGAAAGAAATAAAATCACCCCAATCAGCACTATACTGCTTTTGATTTAAATGTCCAGCTAGCCAGCCGTGTGTATCAGTAGTATGAATAAAGTTCAAGTCACCCCAAACTAGATCCCTAAAATGTGAATTCTTTGGAGGAGAGATATGTGGTTGCTGTTGTATCATGAAAGCCACTGCTCCAGTCAGCAATTGCAAGAACCTTAAAGCCAGAATCATATCCATATTATCAGATGTCAGGAGCTTAAATGATATAAAAAGACAAATAGCTGATTAATGAGTAACTTAAACATTCGCTTTGAATTTGATTTGTTTATATAATCTATAACTTGATTTTCGTGATCCGGAGTAATTTCCTAATGTGGTACCAACTCCGATACGCAATTCCTACTTCGAAAAAATTGTTGAATGATAATTATTGATCATAAAGTATGTACCTAGTTCCTACTTCTATTATAATGATTAATAAACAACTTGAAAAAAAAAATCCCATATTCAACAATGAAGCCCAAAAATGGTGATCTTGAATCTGCATCGATAGATATTGAATTAGCGGACATCAGCTCAATTTTGAATTATGAAAAATTTCATGAAAATTTCACCTTGGATGATTCTGGTTTATTACAATTTGATAATTCTAGCTAGAAAAAACCAAAGAACTGGACATGGAAAACTAAATGCATTTATACTGGTACTTATGGTGCTATCACACTTTGTGCACAATTAAACTCAACCACAATGGCTGCGGCTAGATTTCCTGAGTTGATTAAAGCAGAATTTGGTGTCGGGAGAGAGATTACATTATTAACAACAACTTTATATTTGTTAGGTATAGCATTGGGTCCAATGATATTTGGACCAGTATCAGAAGTTTATGGTAGAAAATCTGGTGTATTGATTCCTTTGTTCATATCTTCAATTTTCACTTTCGCAACAGCAAGTACTTATAATGTTGCAAGTATGATGATTTGTAGATTTTTTTCAGGTTTTTTCGCTGGTGCTCCAATTGTTTCTTCTGGTGGTGTTTTAGCAGATCTATGGAATCCTGCTGAAAGAGGTTCAGCACTTGCTGTTTATTCGCTATTTGTTGCTGGTGGTGTTGCCTTTGGTCCAACTATAAGCTCTTTATTAATGTACGCTGAAAATGAGCAAAGTGCATGGAGGATCCCCCAATATTTTTCAGGTTTAGTGAGCTTAACTTTATGCTTATTGACTGCATATTTGTCTCAAGAAACGTATGAACCTATTGTACTAGCAAGATTAGCAAAACATATGAGAATAAAATCAGGGAAATGGAGTATTCATGCAAAACATGACGAATGGAAATTAACTACTGAAGAGTTTATACACGTTCACCTATTACGACCATTTAAAATGTTGATAACACCAATAGTGGCATTTATTGTGTTATTTGCAAGTTATACATACGCTATATTATACTTATTTATAACAACAATAGCAGATGCTTTTAATATATCAAGAGGTTGGACAGGAACAATTTCAACATTACCAAATTTTGCATTATTTTTAGGTATTTGTTTAGGTTGTCTTCTACAGATTATTGGGACTAATGATTATGCTAAAAAAGTTGCAAAAAATGATGGGAAAGCAATACCAGAAGAAAGGTTTTCAGTTATGATATATACTGCCTGGCTTATTCCTGTGGGTTTGTTTATGTTTGGCTGGACTTCTGACAATTCTATACATTGGATTGTTCCTTGTTTGGGTATTTTTCTATTTGGGGTTGGGTTTTTGACTGTGTTTCAAGGTAATTTGAATTATCTTGTTGATGTTTATACGAAATATTCAGCTTCTGCAATTGCAGCTAATACATTTGCTAGATCTGTTGCAGCTGCAAGCTTCCCATTGTTTTCAAAGCAGTTATTTGAAAATTTAGGAATTCAATGGGGATCGAGTTTAATAGGGTTTATAGCATTGGGGATGGTTTCCATTCCATATTTTTTCCGCAGATATGGTGCAAAGATCAGATCTAAAAGCACAGTTAAACTTTTATAGATTCATTTAAACATTCAATCAATTATATAACTCTAAATGCCTATATAGTAGTTAATTCATGAACATGCTAGATATGTATTGTATAATATAACGCGCGAATTCAAGTTTCTCCAGACTTCATCTTGAAAAAAAAAAAAAAAAAAAAAGATTAACTAGAAAAGGGATGAAAGTTGCACCACAACATCAACTAATACATCACTATAATATAGTTCTTAGTTTTCAACAATGACACAACAAGAATCCACGGTTGATGAAGTCACAGCATCACAAAATGGTCGTTTACCAATCAAGTATCCAACACCATTTTTCAACAAAGAAGAACCTTATGAGCCATTAGATACTTCAAGTTTAACTAAAGGGGCATTTTGTTATTCTGCTACTGTTGGTCTTCTTGCCGCTGCTACCAGAAATGCTATAAGTAATGATTCTAAACATATATCAGGTATTGTCACTAAACATGGTAGATTATGGGGTGCAATTACAGCAGTTATAACTTCATATCAATTTAGTTACGCAGCTATATCTAACCTTAGAGAAAAGAATGACTACAAGAATGATGTACTATCTGGTGCAATATCTGGTGCAATTTTGGGATCTTTTAAAAAAAGTTTAAGTGCTTCATTGGGTACTGGATTAGCTTTAGGTTTATTAGGTGGATTACTTCGTTGGTCTGGTGGACTTTTAGGTACTGAAAACAATGCAATTAATGCGCGTGGTAAAGGTATTGACAGTGGATTAGTTCGTGAACAAAACTCCAATGGTGATGAAGAGTTCAAACAAGGATTTTGGGAAGTTGTTAGAAGAAGACCTTTGTCACATACCAAAGAATTTTTAGGAGATGCATGGGATAGAAGATAAATTTAATTGCTTCTTTTGACGTAACTACTAACTTATTTATTTATATTATTTATTTATTATTTATTAACTATTTATTCTTTTATTTATTCGAGTATATTATATTACAGATCATTGATGATTTCCTATATAAACAATACATGGTCATATTATCGTGAGCTTCATCAGAATAATTGTAGCCAGTCAGTTCGGAGATATTTTACATTATGTGTTTTGTCAGCATCAGATGTCATATTGTTGAACTATGTAGTGAAGAACACACTGTTTGTATGTAGATCAACATGAATCTGATAAGTAATATTAATATCGAAGAATTGAATAACCAACTACCAACTTACAAGTTTAATACGTTTCATAGATATCTCATTTAAGGTACAAATCATCATGATATTTACTATTGATATTGCTGATGTAATCCAAGTTTTTCTTTTTTTTTTCCCTACGTTTCTTCTGCCAAAAAAATAATAAAAAAAAATCAAATTTGCCTTTGAACTGATAGCGAAGAATCTTAATTAAACACAAACATTCAATCTTGTTTCTTCAATTCAAACAAAGGATTTTTTGAGAGTTAAAGGTTGTTGGTAGGAGTGAATCAAAGGTTATTAAAATGTACGTATTCAATGGATGTGGAAAGTCAGTTTTTCATGGTGGGGGTTTGGAGTTGTTTTAAACGGTTGGTGGAGTGCTGATCATGATATTGGTATAATAAGGACTTTATTATAGAATCCAGCTTTGAACCTCACAACCACTTGATAATTTGATTTCTCCCATAGTTTATAATTTATGTCAGAGAAAACTAACAGTTTTGTTTTAGACTTAGTACATTTTGATAAAAGAATTTACTATTGTTGCAAGCTATAAAATTGTCATATCCAAAAAATTTTAAGATTATATTATAACAAAATTTGATCAGTAAATAATTTCAAAAACAAGAACAAAAATTTACATCGCATTATTCAATAAACTTTTATAATTTAAAACTTAAACTCAATTGAAGCTTTTAATATACTGAGAATTTCCCCAAGTGATGGTTGATTTTGCAAAATCATTATTTGGCTTTGGTGGATTCCATCAAAATCCTAAAGTTTCAAACGAAAGATCACAAGTCATTAATCAACAACAAACACAAGAACAAGTACAATCAGAACAACCAAATATTGATGCTGAACATGCAAATGACTACAAATCTCAATCAATGTCTTCATCGGGTACACTTTTCCCTAATTTCCAACACACGTCAAATCCAACTACTGCCTTAAGTGACAATTCATTCGTCTACGGAACTACAACCAAATCTAACCAATATCAACCACAGGAAGTCTTATCACAAGTTGCAACTACAAACAATAGTACCAAACCAAATTCCCAACGTTCAACTACTAGTCCAACTCCAACTTCTCCAATTTCTAATAATACCAAAAATAATAATAATGAATTATCTTCACCAAAAGTAATTACTTCAAATCATCTAGATGTCACTAATAACAATACATCAGCACAAAATGGTGGTGCTATTCCAAGAGGTAAATTAAGAGTTAATATCATTGAAGCTAAAAATTTATTAACAAGATCTTCAAACGCACAACCCTATGTGGTTTGTACTTTTGAGAGTTCAGAATTTATTACTCATGGTCCTGAAAGTGTTGACAATCATCCAGCTTCGATTGATAAAAATCGTTATAATACAAATGGTTTGAGTAAAAGGGATAAATCTATACCTGCAGCAAGTAAAAGACCTTTATATTCAAGACAATCATCATCTCAATTTTTGAATAGACAAAGATATAATTATCCATCTTCATCAAATTTGGCTGATTCTCAAGAATTATCAAATAATTCAAATCCTGTATGGCATCATGAAACAATATTTGATGTCATTGGTTCTCATTCAGAATTAGATATTTCTGTTTATGATTCAGATGAAACTTTCTTAGGTCATGTAAGATTAAGACCAACAACTTTATCAAATCATAAAAATGTTGAATGGTATAAATTAGAATCAAGAGTTGATGGTGAAAATATTGATGGTGAAATTAAAGTCAGTTGGGATTATTCAATAACAAGAAAGAAACAATATGGTCCAACAGATTTTGAAGTTTTAAGATTATTAGGTAAAGGTACATTTGGTCAAGTTTTCCAAGTTAGAAAAATTGATACAGATCGTATTTATGCTATGAAAGTTTTATCTAAAAAAGTGATTGTTCGTAAAAAGGAAATTGCACATACAATTGGTGAACGTAATATTTTAGTTAGAACAGCAGGTGCTTCATCTCCATTTATTGTTGGATTAAAATTTTCATTCCAAACACCAGCAGATCTTTATTTAGTTACAGATTATATGAGTGGTGGTGAATTATTTTGGCATTTACAAAAAGAAGGTAGATTTGCTGAAGATCGTGCAAAATTTTATATTGCAGAATTAGTTTTATCATTAGAACATTTACATGATAATGGAATTGTTTATAGAGATTTAAAACCAGAAAATATTTTATTGGATGCTAATGGACATATTGCATTATGTGATTTTGGATTATCAAAAGCAGATTTATCAACTGGTGATACAACAAATACCTTTTGTGGTACAACAGAATATTTAGCTCCAGAAGTTTTATTAGATGAAGCTGGTTATACTAAAATGGTTGATTTTTGGTCATTAGGTGTTTTAATTTTTGAAATGTGTTGTGGTTGGTCACCATTTTATGCTGATAATACTCAACAAATGTATAAAAATATTGCATTTGGTAAAGTTCGTTTCCCAAAGGAAGTTTTAAGTCCAGAAGGTCGCTCGTTTGTTAAAGGGTTATTAAATAGAAATCCAAAACATAGATTAGGTTCACAAAATGATGCAAGAGAATTAAAAGCACATCCATTTTTCCATGATGTTGATTGGGAAGCTTTAACAACTAAAAAAGTTCCACCACCTTTTAAACCACATTTATCATCAGAAACAGATACATCAAATTTTGATCCAGAATTTACAAATACAAGTGCATCAGTTATAAATAAACAATTTCATTTAGCATCTACACCTTTAAGTCCTGGGGTTCAAGCAAATTTTAAAGGATTTACATTTGTTGATGAATCAACAATGGAAGATTTCCATAATAAAAGAGCTCAACAAGCTGGTTTTAAAGAATTTGGATCATTTATTCCAGGTAATCCACATTTACCTCCAACAGAAGATGTTATTGAAGATGATGAAGAAGATGATGATATTGATGAAGGAAATTTTGTTGATCATGATGGAGATCAAGAAATGGATGATCAATTTGTTAATGGTCAATTTGATCTGTGATTAATTATTCTTGATCTTCTTCTTTTATTCATTTTTAGCATCTTGATACATACACATATATTTGCATTTAAATCATTTTTGGATTGGGTTTCCATAAGGTTTTTTAAAACTTTTTATTTCATAATCTTTTACAAAATCAACATTATTTCCTTTTTAACTTGCTATTTTATTCATTTTCATATTGTCATGATAATTGAACTGGTGTTATTTTTTTTTTCTTGTTTCTTTACCTATTATTACTTTATTTTGGTCCCTTTGTGTGTTTTTTACTATGATTTTCCACCACTAATTGTTACTATATTTTAGATGATCTAGAGAATCTTATATACATTATATATAGCACTATTCATATTAAAGAATAGTTTTTTAATTTATTATATTAACGTTTATTAATTTAATAATTTGTATGTACTCGCGAATTCTCAATGGTACCTGTGTGTCCCCTATGCAATTTGTCCGTTTTGGGCGAAGTTCCGAAAGCAAAAAAATTAGTTCAACATTTCACAATGAGACAAATTTTGAACAGAAGCAGCATTAAAATTAAAAGTGCAATTCTGGTTATAAATAAACATAAATTTCAGCACCTCATTTGAAATTTTAAAATCACACATTTGAACCAAACGACACAGCTAATTCAGACTGATTCAAAGTTTAGATCCAGAACATTGTTATTCAGGTACACAATTTAGTAATCCAATAATAGTGGAGGCGATCAAAAGAGTGAGAAAAAAAAAATTAAAGACAAATATCGTCTGATCAGGTAATCAAAGTTATAACCAGTTTCATAAGTAATAAGAAATTAATTCAAGAGATAACTTTACTTCTTCATCCATTGTTATCAATTATCCTAATTGAAACATCCATCATTTCTTACACTAATAAAACGAATGCAATAACAAAAGTGGTTTTTAAATCAAAAGTTTTGAGTTGTATATACAGGAGTTTTAATTTAATTTCAGTTTAAAGATGGCTCCAAGAACTAAAAGTGAAACCACACCAGAATCTAAAAGTGGAGATAGTACACATGGATCAATTAGTTTGAATGCTTCTCTTGGAATACCTTTAACTAATGCATCATCAACAACTTCTGGTTCAACAGATTTTGTAAAGAAGTTATTTTTAATGTTGGAGGAAAATGATTATGATAAAATTGTTAGATGGACAACTAAAGGTGATTCATTTGTGGTGCTGGATACCAATGAATTTACAAAAGAAATATTACCAAAGCATTTTAAACATTCAAATTTTGCAAGTTTTGTTCGTCAATTAAATAAATATGATTTCCATAAAGTTAAATTATCAAATGAAGAAAAACAAATGAATGAATATGGTGATGGTGCTTGGGAATTTAAACATCCTGATTTTAGAAAACATGATCGTGAAGCATTAGAAACAATCAAAAGAAAAGGTCCAGCTCAAAAAAGATCAAGTGAAGAAACTAATAGTAATGAAACCATTAATAAATTAGAAGATACTGTATCAAAATTGAAAAATGATCAAAAAAATCTTGCAGATGAATTAAAATTAATGAATTCTAAATATACTACAGTTATTGAATCAATTATAACGTTGAAAAATACAAATGATCGTTATTTCAGAAGTATATCAAGTTTAGTAAATTGTCTTGCTTCAAATGGTATAAAATTACCTCAATTGGACTTACCACCAATTGATTCACCGGTTTTACAACCACCACCAACTCATGAAGCACATCATCAACATCAACAATTACTAGGCTTACCACAAGAGCAACAACAGCAACAGCAACAGCAACAGCAACAACAACCTCAGCAGCCTCAGCAGCCTCAACCACATCAACCACATCAACCAGCTACACAACAAATCACACAAGATACTGTTGATCGTCCACCTTCACAAACACAATCACCTCCAAAACCTTTAAGACCAGGTTTCCATGTTTTATTTGTTGAAGATGATGCTGTTTGTATTCAATTATGTCAAAAATTCTTACTTAAATATGGTTGTACAGTTCAAGTTGCAACAGATGGTTTAACTGCAATTTCAGCTTTAGAAAATTCTAAATATGATATTGTTTTCATGGATATTGTTATGCCAAATTTAGATGGTGCAACTGCAACATCAATTGTTAGAAGTTTTGATCCACAAACACCTATCATTGCAATGACTGGTAATATTAATGAACAAGATCTTGTTTCATATTTACAACATGGTATGAATGATATTTTAGCAAAACCTTTTACAAAAGATGATTTATATTTGATGCTACAAAAATATTTAAGCACAAGGGTACCGCTTATGTATCAAACACAAGCTCAACAACAAGCTCAACAGCAGCAACAACAACAACAACAACAGCAGCAATCACAACAACAACAACCTTCACAACCAAACCACAATGATAATGAACCCTTTTTAAAAAAGCAAAAAGTCTGATATAAAAACTAATATTGTTATTATTGTCATTCTCTGTTATATATTTGTTTTCTCATTTAGTTCTTTACTATTCTTTTTCTTTTTCTTTTTCATATTTTTTTAAGTTTTTCAGGGTCTTTGTTTGATAATCAAAAAATTTTAGTGTTTAGTGTTTGTTACTATATGGTATTAATTAAATTACAACTTGCTGAACAATTTTAAATACAATATTGGTATCCTTAATATTATGTACTATACGTAAATGTGATCTATTGTAGATTTAAATCATAATTTATGATTCATTGTTAACTGCAACAACTTTTTCATCAAATCTAACAGATTTTCTTCTTGATCTTTCTTCACCATTAATTATTGGTGTTTCTATTTCAAATTCTTCACCATCATGATTTTCATTTAAAAATTTTTTAACATCAGCTTTACTTTGATTTGAAGAAGCTTCATTTGATTTTTTCCTTTGAATAATTTTTGAATCATCTTTACATTTTTTACAATTACAAATAAATCCCCAATTAACTCTAAGTTCTCTTAATCTTTGATTTAAAGAATGAGAAGGATTAACATAACTTGTAGTTAATTCTTCATTTGCTTTAATATCTCTTTTAGCATAAACTTTAATACCATCAGTTTTTTTTTCACCAAATTTAACACGAACATTTGGATCACAATTATGATTTAAATGAGATTGAATTAAAAATAATGAACCATCAATATTATTAATATTATAAGTACCTAAATTAGTTAAAAATTCTTCATAAGAAATTTGATTTATTGGGAAAATTGAATTAAATAATTCAAAACCTTGTTTCCAAAGAGATTCTTGTTGTTCCTTAACAAATAAAGCACCACCACCATTATTATTATTATCAAAACTTGCACCAATACCAGAAGAATCAATAGCTTTATATCTAATATCTTGACGAACTTTAGCCATTGCATCAAATTGTTTAGCCAAGACACCAGATTTATCAGTAATAATATAACTATGAATTAATCCAATTGCAAAAGCAGCATTCCATTTATTTTCTTGACAAAATTTTTCATATTTAATCCAATTTGAAGAAATAATTTGCTTTTTGGAATTTTGCTTTTTTGGATCATCATGATAAACATTATGTTTTAATAATTGATGAACTTTATCATTTTTTTTACAAAATTGTGAACACCAAACATCACGACAAACATTACAATCAAGACCTTTTAAAACTGATCTTGAAGAATTATTTGAAGAAATTAAAGAACCACAATAAGTACAAGCTTTTGAATTTGCAATTAGATTAACACGATCTAAAGGTGGAATGAAAAATAATGGGGTTTTTTCCTCCCAAATTAAATCACCTTCTTTGAAAAGATTTGTTGAATAAAGACCTTTACCTCTATTTTTAGTAAATTGTAATCTAATATTTTTGGGTAGATTTATATCTGGAGTTTCTTTTGAAGTGATTTCATTTGCATAAGTATATTGTTGAGCACTATTAAGTAAATTATAACTTTTCAATACAGTTTTCAATCTTTTTTCACTTAAGGACCAATTTGGATGATCATTTTTAACTAAAAGATGTAATTTACCAATACCTAAATCTTCATTAGCAGAATCATCTTTCCATAATTTAATAACAGCTTCGACAATACGACGTTCATGAGGAATTTCTGGTTCAGTGGACTGAGGTGTTTCCTCTTTGTCATTAATTTGCAAGATCTCAATATTGGGTACAGGCATTATTATTGATTGAAACTTCGATTCTTTAATACTCTTTGAAAAGTTTTGTTTTAGTGGTCTTCGGACTATTTAAAAATTGATGAGGTGGAAAAACTTTAGATTTCGCGGGGGAAGGTCTCGATTTTCTGACTTTTTGACCCACAAGGAAACAAGAAACCAATATCAATTAGAACAAAAAGATCTTTTGGTGGATTTTATACTAAAAGATTGAAAAGTTGAAAGAATTGATTGGTTAGTGATGTTCATGAGAAGTGTCAAATCCAGTGCTCGTTTAGTGGGTTCCAAAAGAACCATTGGTTACAACTTTGTGCGGTTCAATTCTGTAAAGAGTACCACCTCCACATCTATAGATCCAAATATCAATTCAAGTTCAAATAATGGTTCCAATGGCTCAAATGGCTCCAATGGTTCAAGATCTGATGGTAATGACTCCAAGAATTCCAAATCATCAAATGCACCTTATTATATTGCATCTTTGATCTTAGGTATAGCTACTGCTCAATTCATTCCAATTAGTTCAATTGCTAAATTTTTAATAAGTGAAAAATTACCAAAACCAAATACTGAAGAAGCAATAATTTATCAAAATGAATTAGAGCAAGAATTACAAAATTTATCATTATATAAAAGTTTAATTTCAAATCCAAAATATCAATCAATTAGAGCATGGAATTATGTTGATTCAAATACATTAAATCAAATTTTAACAAGTGGTACATTATCAACACCAGGTGGATTTGCAATTAAACCAATATTATTTTTCAATAAAGAAGATAAAGAATCAATTTCAATATATCATGTTGGAGAAAAACTTTGTGGTTATCCATTTTTAGTTCATGGAGGTATATTAGCAACTATATTGGATGAAATTTTGAAAAGAACTTCTGCAATTGGATTTAATATAGATTCAATGGAATCTTATAAACCTGATACAATAAAGACTAAATCAATTGAATTACAATATAAATTCCCAACTGTTGCTAATAGTTTTTTGGTTATTAGATGTAAAGATGATAATGGGAAAGTTGATGGTAAGATTGAAACTTTAGATGGTAAATTATTAGTTCAAGGTTTAGGTATATTTGAAAAGCGTTGAATTAACCTTCAAGTTATATTATATTAGTCATTTATATATATATATATATATATATATATATATTCATTCATTATTATCATTCATTATTGTAAAATTGATTTTTTATAATTAATCCATCTAATGGTTCATCATGTTTTTCAATTGGTAAAGAATCAACTAATTGAACATCTAAACCAATACCTAAAAGAAAAGGTTTTGAACCAAATTTAATTAAATGTCTTTTAATAAAATCATCATAAAATGCACCTCCATGACCTAATCTATCTAATTTTGAAGTAAATGCAACACCTGGCATAATTAATAAATCTAATGGGGTATTACCAGTCAATTCATCTAAAAGATCTTGACCTTTAGTTGGTTCTTTTAATTTATATTTCCCTATTGGTTCTAAATTTAATACACTTTCATAATTATCCATTTGATAAAAAATTAAATACATTGGTTCTTTTTTAAATAATTTAATATTGTTGTGATCTAATTTATTAATATTTGCTATATGAGGTAAATAAACATTTTTACCTAGATCAAATGATTCTTTTATAATTAATTGAGTTTGAATTTCAGTATCCATACTCATAAATATACCAACATTTTGAGATTTTTGGAAAATATTTAATCTTTGCAATACATTTAAAGATTCAATTGATTGATCTATAATATCTTGATATGGTAAAGAATTTAATTTTGACATTACATCTTTCCTTAGTAATTGTTTACTAGCTTTAATACTTGACATTGTGATCTTTAGTTTTCTTTTGAACAGTAGTTGTATGACCTTATTGGTTTCTCCACTTAAATTTTATGACTCTTTATGACTGTGCTTATGATTATGACTCTTTATGACTCTTTAATACGCAGTGTTTCTGATGTCTTTTGATAAGATTTGGTATTCAAGAGCGAAACCGGCATTAGAGATCTTGCCGCTAACGCCAGAAAGAAGCTCTGTCTAGCTCTGGGTAGCCTTCTGCCTAGCTCCCTGTCTACCCTCTGCCTAGCTCTTCCCGCCTTCTGCCTATCCGTGTAACCGTTGTTTACCGTAATCACTAATTTCCTGCGCTAATTAAACATTTTATCGGAAACTGAAAATTTTATAAAAAAGTGTCTTTTCAGCTCAAGAAAAAAAAAACCGTTTCATATTGGAGAAATTGTACTTGGAAATTACAAATTATATAAAAACAATCATTTCATACAATTTTATACCAAAATGAAGACTTTTTTCAATAAATCAGTATTGAAAATGTCTTCTTCACAATTCCATACTTCTGCTAAAGCTTCAAATTTAGCTAAATTAGATGCTTCAAAATTACAAATTACTAAAAACACATCTCCAAAACAACCTTTACCAAATGATCAATTAGTATTTGGTCAAACTTTTACTGATCATATGTTACAAATCAAATGGAATGATAAAGAAGGTTGGGCTTCTCCACAAATTATTCCTTATGGTCCACTTTCTTTAGATCCATCTGCTTGTGTTTTCCATTATGCTTTTGAATTATTTGAAGGTTTAAAAGCTTATAGAGATTCAAATGATCAAATTAGAATGTTTAGACCTGATAAGAATATGATTAGAATGAATAATTCTGCTGATAGAATTGTTTTACCAACTTTTGATGGTGAAGAATTAATTAAATCAATTGGTGAATTGATTAAATTAGATAAACATTTGATTCCAAAAGATAAAGGTTATTCTTTATACATTAGACCAACTTTAATCGGTACTGCTGCTGGTTTAGGTGTTGGTACTCCTTCTGAAGCTTTACTTTATGTCATTACATCTCCTGTTGGTCCTTACTATTCAACTGGTTTCAAAGCCGTTAGATTAGAAGCTACTGATTATGCTACAAGAGCTTGGCCAGGTGGTGTCGGTGATAAAAAATTAGGTGCTAATTATGCTCCATGTATTAAACCACAATTAGAAGCTGCTTCAAGAGGTTATCAACAAAATCTTTGGTTATTTGGTGAAGAAAAAACAATTACTGAAGTTGGTACTATGAATGTTTTCTTTGTTTTTAAAAATTCAACTACTGGTAAAAAGGAATTAGTTACTGCTCCATTAGATGGTACTATTTTACCAGGTGTTACAAGAGATTCTATTTTAGAATTAGCAAGAGAAAGATTAGATCCAAATGAATGGGAAATTAATGAACGTTATACCACTATTTATGAAGTTGCAGAAAAATCTAAAAAAGGTGAATTAATTGAAGCTTTTGGTGCTGGTACTGCTGCTGTTGTCTCTCCAATTAAAGAAATTGGTTATAACGGTGAAGATATTAACGTTCCATTAGTTGAAGGTGAACAATTTGGTGAATTAACAAATACTGTTGCTCAATGGATTTCTAAAATTCAATATGGTGATGAAGAATATAAAAATTGGAGTCGTGTTGTTGCTGATTTAAATTAAAATTATAAATGATATTAAATAATAAGATCTGGGATTTTAAAATTTATTTAGTTTGATTTTATAATGAGGTTATAATTTTTGGAAAAAATTAAAATCGTTAATATATAGAAGAAGGTTTATGATAATTTAATAATTTGTATTATACCAATATCTAGCTGTATCCGATAATGTACTGAATACCCGATTTGTGAGATCTACAATTATATAATTTGACTCGAGAATCGAGAAAAGATAAAAAGACTGGGGAAATATCTTTAATTACTATAAGTGGTAATTTTGACATGAAAAAACTGGGGGTTAAAATGAATTTAAAGTATTGGGATCTTTTTACTTTTATAACTTTAAACTAAATCCATTGGGAATCTGACAACGACCAAATGTGTGGATTGAAATATTTACATAAAGATCAAGTCTTGCTTCAATAATATGATCAATCATTAAAGGCCTTCTCAATGGCTATATTTATAAACACAACATAATGCCTTCACCACCAAAACCAGGTGTTTATACACCAATACCAACTTTTTTCAAAAAATCAGATTTATATACTATTGATTATGATAGTCAAATTAAACATGCTAAATTTTTACAAAAAAATGGAATTGAAGGTATACTTATTATGGGATCAACTGGTGAGCAACCACATTTAACAAGAAAAGAAAGATCTTCAATTGTGGAAAATATTCATAAAAATTTACCAAATTTTACATTACTTGCTGGTGTTGCAGAAAATTCTTTACATGATGCAATTGATGAAATTGAATCTTTATATCATTCAGGTGCTACTTATGCTGTTGTTTTACCATCTTCTTATTTTGGTAAAGATATAAAACAACAAGGAATAATTGATTGGTATAAAAAATTAGCTGATAATTCAAAATTACCAATCATTATATATGTTTTCCCAAATGTTGGTAATGGAATTCAAATTGATCCTAAAACTATCATTGAATTATCAAAACATTCAAATATAGTTGGTACTAAAATTAGTCATGGAGATGTTTCTCATCATGCAATTGTTGGATTACATGAAGATATAGCTTCTGGTGAAAATAATTTTAATGTTTTCACTGGTCAAGGTCAAGTATTATTACCTGTATTAACTGTTGGTACAAAAGGTACAATTGATGCACTTAGTGGTGCATTCCCAAAATTATATGTTGATATTTTTAAGGCATATCAAAATGGTGATTATGATAAGGCAAGATCTTTACAATTAGCAGCTTCTAAAGGTAAAACAGCAGCTGCAAAGCTTGGTGTACTTGGTTTTAAAAGAGCAATTTTTGAACAAGGTTTTGGTGAAACTTATCTAGGTAGAGCACCATTAAATCAAGAATTTGCTGATGAAGTTTGGAATAATGCCAAAGAGGATATAGAAGTAGCTAATCAAGCAGATACATCATCCTTTTAAAACTTATCTAATAACATACATGCAATTCTTGGATATCAGTAGTATACTATTTATCAACGCATAAGTTTTGTGACAAAGATTACCAGCTAATCAAGGAAAAACTCGCGAATTTATTTTTTTTGCAGACGCGATTTGATTTTTTTGAAACAATTTAGGCACAGTACCACAAAAATAAATACTGATCTTAAGCCAAAACAACACAAAACGACAAACAATCACATAAGCAGGACCTAATAATACCAATATCAATACATCAGAGAGTGCTTTATCATGGCCTTTCTATTCAAGAGAAACCCCAAAACTCCTCCAGAACTTGTTAGAGCGTTGAATGAACAAGTTGTCAAGATTGACACAACTAGTGATAAACGTAAGATTCAAGATGAAATATCTCGTTATTTATCAAGTATCAAAATAATACTACATGGTGATGAAGATAATGATCCTCAACCAGATCAAATAGCACAACTTGCTCATGAAGTTTATCAAACAGATGTCTTATATTATCTAATATCAAATTTACAACATTTGGAATTTGATTCAAGGAAAGATGTTGCTACATTATTTACAACTTTACTACGGCGTCAAATTGGTAGTCGATCTCCAACTGTTGATTATCTTGTTTCTAAACCAAATATAATAAATTTGTTACTTAAAGGTCCAGAAGTTCCAGATGTTTGTCTTATTACAGGTGGTATTCTTAGAGATTGTTTAAAAATTGAAACTTTAACAAATGTGGTATTACATGATCCAATCATTTGGAAATATTTTGAATTTAGTCAAAGGGGTACTTTCGAAAATATGACTGATTCTTTCCAAACTTTAAATGATACATTCACTATTCATAAAAAATTAGTTGCTGATTGGTTTAATCTTTATTCAACTGAATTTATTTTACATTTAAATAAATTGATTGCATCAACTAATTATGTTACAAAAAGACAATCAATTAAACTATTGTCCCTGTTGATATTAACAAGACAAAATAATAGATTTATGCTGGAATATGTTACAAATCCAGAAAATTTAAAATTAATTATGATTTCATTAAGTGATAAATCCAAAAATTTACAATTGGAAAGTTTCAATGTATTTAAAGTATTTGTTGCTAATCCTAAAAAGACAAAATCTGTTCTTGATATTTTAATTAAAAATAGAGAAAAACTTTTACTTTTTTTAGAAAATTTTAATTTCAACGAAAAAAAAGATGATTCAAATTTTCATGATGAAAAAGAATTTGTTATACAACAAATTGAAGATTTGCCGAGAATCGTCAGTAGTTCATCTGCTGTAAATTTAGCAAACTCAGGTACTGTTAATTCCAATTGATTTAAGTTTATTTGATTTTAATATCAACAGATTAACATTCTACAATACATCAAAAGAATCCACAATGTGGTCTTTTTTTTATTTATATAAATTTATGCATTCATTTTATGATTTATTAATTCATTATTTTCGTTAACAATTCTGAAACTGTTAAAATTGTAGACCTTCTAACTGTTTCAAAGAAGATGATTTTGTTGAATTTTTGTTTTCAAATTCAACTAGATGTGATGGAGCTTCAGGAAATGGTTGATTCTTTGGAACTTCTGGCAATTGTAAAGTTGTATCATTTGTTTCAAGAGTTGGATCAGTGCTCTGGTTACCATTAGATTCATCATCAATAATTTTTTGTTCTCCAATTGTATTGAATCTATTTTCATCGAAGGAATCTAATTCAAGAAACTCATTTAAATAATAAAATTTTCCGGATATTTGTTGATCAACAACTAATTCACCAAGATCTAAACCAACTTTCAATATTTCCTCTGTTATTGTCAATGACCAATTAAAAGAGTCACTTATTTTAAGTACACTTGAATATTTGAAACTTCCTAAATCTTCATCACCAAAATTGATAATAAATTTCTTTATATCTTCAATAATTTTAGTGTCTGTATTAAACTTCACATCTTGTACGACTTGAACATTATTTATTTTTTTCAATACCAATGGTAAATTCAATTGATGAAAATATTCACATGATTTATATAATTCTTCGGGGGAAATCAAATTAATGCCCACACGACCTCGATTATACAAGGCATATAAATCAATCATAGTTATTATACCTCCTTCCTCTTCTAATATTCTATCATTTATTAAGAAATCTGATAGCTGTCTTGAGATCTCTTGTAGGTATAATTTCTGGCTTGTAGAATCATTTGATTCATTTAAAAGATTTTTAGTGACTTGATTAATATTTGTGATTTTAGGTTGACCATCTTGAGGATTAATCTTTTTGAAAGATTCAGTCAATTCTAAAATTTCATTTGCCTTATTCAATAAGGCTTGAAGATCATCTAATGAAGAATTTATAATTAATTCATTTTTCTTGGTTTTGATTTCCTCTTGTTGTGCAAGTTTATGTATACCAAATCCAATAGTGGAGTTGTTTGCAGATACTAATCTTGAAGAATCATTTGAACTTGATGAATTTGTGACTTTTTTGGCATCCTTATTTACATTCCCAGAATTTACTACTCTTTCCCATTTGAATTTCTCCAGAGTTTCTTGTAATTTGGTGAAGAAAAATTTATCTCCCGTTTTATGGAAACTTATTTTAATAAATGGCTGTATTGCTTTATTTTCATCAAGTCCATCGGATGATTCTGTTTCAATTTTAATTCGATCATCGAATAATTGGTTTTCATCTTGTGATTTATTATTGACTTTATTCAATGGCAAAATCGTTCCACATAGTTCACAGTTTCTAAGCGAAGGATGATTCAGAAAAGTACATGTGGGGCATGAAATTTGACTTGGAGCTGAATTACTTGCATTAAATACTTCATTGGGTATTTTTGAGCTCGGTTCAGCTGTAATTGATGATCTTGTTGAATCTAAAGCATCTTGAATAATTTCTGGAGTTGATTTGATACCACAAGTTTCACAAACAGGTAGATAATCTTGGTTATTTGGGTTGATTTGTGATGTAACAGAGTTTGAGTATGAGCAAATGGGGCAAATCCATGGAATTGTTTTATATTTTGGAGTTTCTTTTGAAGATTTCGTTTTATCTTTCCGATGGTATTTCTTTAAAAAGATTGTAATCTTTGGAGAAGATCTTAAAAACTTTTGAGTATACTCCAATCTATCAATATCAAGATGCTCAATTGATACAGAATATTCCTTTGCATTCAAATTGTCAATGTAAATCAATCTTTGAGATGTCAAATATAAACGACCATTCTGTCTGTTTAATATTTTAGATTTACCTTGATATAATCCAATATTATTTTCCACCAACAAGTCCACTTCATTCTCTCTCAATACAGGCCTTGATCCTGCGGATAATTCTACCGAATGCCAGTATGGAAGCTGGCCCATAATATCACACTGTGAATATATAACTTCTTCGTGTTATAAACAAACAAAATGGAATGTAGTGATTGAAAAAAAATAATAGAGTGTATAACATTAAATAAGTGATGTTTACTTACTATCACGTCAAAGTTTAAAAAACAGATGTTGCCCCATGCACAAAAAGGGCAAAAAAATAGAACTCCTCATGGGGGGCTCGAACCCCCGACATTTCGGTTAACTTCCGCTAAGAAATGGTGTTCCCTAGTTTGACTGTAAAAGCCGAACGCTCTACCAACTGAGCTAACAAGGACGAGTTCTGATTTTCAAGATCCGCTAAAAACTCTGAATCTGTTTCAGCTTACATAATTCATGACTCATCAAAATGTTTAATGCTCTTTTTTGCAAGTAAATTGTAATAAAATACACTTTTTAATCACTTCTAATATAATTTTGGAAAATAATTTATTTGATGATGTATGTTTTGAGTGCTTTAGAGCATTTTGAATTTTAGTGGTTTCACTTTTATCATTTTTTGAAGTAAATTTAAAATTTAAGAGGTTGATAATTTTTTAAAATTGATAATTTATTAAAATTTTTTCTTCGAAATTTGATGATAAAGCAAGTTGATAATATTAACATAGTCCATCTATGTTGATTTTAACCAAGAAAATTACATATTAAGTTAAATGTAAGCTTTCATTTACATCTTCTATATTTGAAAATTACGTAATCTCTGAAACACTGCTTATGTAATATATAAATGCAATAGCTGAAATTGAACATTGAGAAATTACTTGGAAAAACAAGACGCAAATTTTCAATAACCTGCGAATGGTCGATAAAGAGCTTAAGATGCATTTTATTCACAGTTTAATCATATAACATTGTCTACGTTCTATGAATAACTAACGACATATCGACGTTATAATGCGCAAAATCTGTTTCGCAAATTTTAAAAGAAATGAAGGTTCAAAGATCGAATACCGGAAAAACTTTTTTTTTACGATCTCTAAGTTAATCCGACGTTAATTAATTCAAAAAGAACCAAAGATTTAGTATGTGTGTGTAGTATGGCATGTACCATGAATAGTTTGATGGATTCCTGTCATACGAGTTCTTACAGATGTTAAGGTTCACGATGGACACTGGGTCATGGTCCAATATGGTGACTTGAACTCTAGAGATCAAAGAATCAAGATCTTCAACAAAAATTGGGTGTTTGAAATTTTTGAATCACACAATACTGATGAGCGTCCACCGATGGAGTCCTGCTAGGTACTCAAGTAGTCAAGAGTCAAACAACTGGAGAATCCAAGCCAATCCAGGTGTCGAATGTAGGGCTTTGTAACCAATGGTGTAGTAATTGTGCTTTAAACGTGGAGAAGAAGGTTCCTTTAATTGTCATACCTTTATAGAGTTGAACTTTGTTTCAATAAGACTGTACTTGACGACCGTTGAGATTGAACATTCAAAACTTAAAACTATAACACCAAACATCAACGTAGCAGGTACGATATTACAAAATCACGATGACATAAATGGTTAATACTGGGAGAATATTCGGACTGCGATGATTGGACATGAAGAGTTTGCCAGTGGATGCCAGTTAAAAAATGTGCCATACCTTTTGCAGAATACGGGAAAGTCTACGTCAACGACACTAATAATTGAAAAGCGTTAATAGAGAATAACAAAGAATGGGAAATGTTCGAGCTTCGAGCAATAATCAAACAGGGCCAGCTAGTATCAAATATCCTTCAAAACCAGTCATTTTTCTAACTTTTACCTGTTCAAACTGGGAATTGTTCTTTCGATTTTGTAGTTTTGGTGACAAAAAATCGCACAACTATGTTAATTTTAAATGGCAACACTGGTCCGAAACAAGTTTTTAGTTTTGGAATCTAACACCTTCAAAAATTTAACTGGCGCAAATTATAAAAAAAATAGACAACAACTAATATTTACGGTATTCACGGCCAAATTTTGTTGTCGAATTAACTTTTCCTTGATTTGTTAGATCACAAGCTGCTGAAGATACTCTTGGTTCAAGCTCAACTACGTTCAATCCTTTTCAAAAATTGTTCTCTGTGTTGATCGTGTTTCCTAGGGAAAATATCGGATCTCAAATTGCCATATAGTTAGTTGATTTTGTCAAAAGATCAAATTTGAATCAGAAAAGAACTCTGTCCTATTATCTATAGGCCCACTACCTGTGTTGTTCAATAATCAATCTTTATTACCCCCCTATACATAACTTATTGCTCATTTAGCTTGTCTGAGATATTGATTGTATTACTCTGATTTTTGAAGGATTGCTTTTGAATAATAGACATAATGTTATTCACAAGAAGTTCAATCCAAAGAGGGAAACTTCTAGGTAGTACATTACTCAACAACACTAAAGTTCAATCTTCATTCATTCCAAAAAGAACTTTAGTTCAAGTTAAACCAAATACCAAATTCTTGAATAATAAACAACATTCATTATTCACTTCAAACAAACTTTTAAAAGAATCAAGATTTATTTCAACAACAAACCAACTAAAATATTCACAATTAGAATTTCCGAAGACAATTCCAAAAGCTAAAACTTTTATGAATGATACAGCCATAGGAAAATGTTTTAAATTTTCAATTATTGCCATTGGTTTAGGTACAAGTACTATTGCAGTTTTAATTTTGGGTTTCTTCGTTTATGATGCAACAACTTATCATCCGGAAGAATTACCTGATAATATTAAAATTAATCAATTGGCATTGAACCCAGAAAAAGGAGGTCCAGAAAATTTACCAGTTTTAAAATATAATTTAGATGATTATGATTCTCCAGATAAGGAACATTTACGTTTTAGACCAAAATTAGTTGTTTTAGGTTCAGGTTGGGGTTCTGTTGCAGTTTTGAAAAGTTTAAACCATAGTGATTATGATGTTACTGTTATTTCTCCAACTAATTACTTCTTATTCACTCCGTTATTACCATCAGCTGCTACAGGTACTTTAGAAGTTAAAACTTTGATTGAAAGTATTAGAAAAATTGTTAATAAATTAGATGGTCATTATTTAGAAGCTTATGCCGATAAAGTTGAATTTAGTGAAAAATTAGTTAAAGTTCATCAATTTGATAAATTAAGTGGTGAAAAACAAGAATTTTATGTCCCATATGATAAATTAGTTGTTGCTGTTGGTTCAAACTCAAACACTCATGGTGTTGAAGGTTTAGAACATTGTAATCAATTAAAGACCGCTGAAGATGCTGTTGAAATCAAGAAAAAAATCACTTATTTGTTAGAAAAAGCTTGTTTACCAACTACTACTGATGAAGAACGTAAAAGATTATTAAGTTTTGTTGTTTGTGGTGGTGGTCCAACTGGTGTTGAATTTGCAGCTGAAATTTATGATTTATTGAATGAAGATTTACCAAAATCTTATCCAAATATTTTAAGACAAGAATTAAGTGTTCACGTTATTCAATCAAGATCCAATATTTTAAATACTTATGATGAAAAAATTTCCGAATATGCCGCTGAAAGATTCAGAAAAGAAACAATTGATATTTTAACAAACTCAAGAGTTGTTAAGGTTTTACCAGATGAAGTTGTTTTCAATCAAGTTAATGATGAAGGTAAACCGGAATTAAAGAGTGTTCCATTTGGTTTATGTTTATGGTCAACTGGTGTTGCTCAAAATCCTTTAGCTAAAGAAATTGTCAGTGCATTATCATCATCACAAAGAAACAAGAGAGCTATTGAAACTGATTCTCATTTAAGAGTTTACGGTGCGCCATTAGGTGATGTTTATGCCATTGGTGATTGTTCTACAGTTAGAACTGATTTAGCTGATCATACTGTTGAATACGTTCGTAAATATATTGTTGATAAACATTTAAAACATATTTCATCAAATGAAATTATTACTGATGAAGATATTAAACATTTGAAATTAAGTTATTCAGAAATTTTTGAATTAGGTACAGAAATTTCAAAGAGACATCCACAAGCTTCAGAAGCTTTAAATTTCCTTAATGAATTGGTTCCAAGATATGATCAAAACCAAAGTGGTCACTTATCTTTTGACCAAATTTCTGATTTATTGAAAGATATTGATTCAAGAATTACTTCTTTACCAGCTACTGCTCAAAGAGCCCATCAACAAGGTAAATATGTTGGTAAAAAATTATCAAAATTAGCTAAATCTTCAGTCTCTTTAACCGTTAATGATATTTTAGATGGTGATATTGATGATGCTATTTCAAAACCTTTCCAATATAAACATTTAGGTTCATTAGCTTATATTGGTAATTCTGCTGTTTTTGATTTACCAGGTTATTCATTCGTTGGTGGTTTGGTTGCTATGTACTTATGGAGAGGTACATACTTTGCCCAATCTGTCAGTTTAAGAACAAGAGTCTTGTTATTCTTGGATTGGTTGAAGAGAGGTTTGTTTGGTAGAGATATTTTAAGTGTATGATAAATAGAGTAGAAAGACATAGAAAGAAAATAAAAAATTCAAAAGTCATTTATAGAGGATAAATTATATGACTATATATAAATAATTAGATCTGTATATGTATAAATTGAATGTGTGAAACGTTAATTTACTTTGTATATTAAATGGTACTTGTTAAAGGTTTTGTCTTACATAATCGAAACCATGATGAGCGCGCGCGTACGACACAAAAGTAAAAAATCAAAAATCAAATATTTGTATTTGTGTTTGATGATAGCTAAGATATCGAATAATGTTACCACAGTGAACCCATTAAAAGTCAGTTACACAAAGATGAATTACCACAATGATAGAATTTCGTTGAATTTTGTTATAAATCGAAAAGATTTCTCAAATACCCATCAGTTTCTTTAATTTAGTCCTAGAAGAGCATATTGTTCTATTGATCAGAAGATAGAAAAAATACATAACAAAGATCCACAAGATGCCAACCCCAACTAAACTTGGATTATCAAGTAACATGCCATCTTTCACAAGTGGGACAAGACCTGGTGACAATTCAAAAGATCGTATGAATGAACTCTTCAATGATTTTAAAAGGTTAAATATCCAAGATTCCAACATTGCAAAGAATGCTTCATCAAATAGGATTACTCATATTGATCTTTCTGCTGCTAATGATGAAAATAGGAAACCAGTTATCGTTACTTCTAAATCTTCAGGTCCCAATGAAAAGAAGCCTACATCACCTTTCAACTTATCATCAAATCTGGTTGAATCTTTAGAACTGACACATAGACATCAAGATCGTACCAAAGTGAATTCAATGAAAGAGAATGCACTATTATACGGTAACGGGAGCCATAGCTATGAAAACAATACTACTGTTACACTTTATGTTGGTGATTTAGATCAAAAAGTTACTGAAAAATCACTTTCATCATTGTTCACAAAATATGAATCATTTTTATCAGCTAAACTTTGTTATTCCCCTACAACAAGATTATCTTTAGGTTATGGATATGTTAATTTCTCAAGTGATACAGATGCAAACAGAGCTACTGAAGACCTAAACTACACCCTTGTTGCAAATAAGGAGATCAGGATAATGCCTTATGTCAAGGGGAAAGATAAATCATTTATGAGCACCAACGTGTTTGTGTCAAATTTAAACACAAGGGAATTGACATTACGTTTATTTTATGAGAGATTCAGACATGTTGGTAAAATTTTGTCATGTAAACTTGATGTTCGTAAAAGACAAGGGTTCATTTCATTTGAAAGTAAAGATACAGCAGAAGATTTTGTCAAAAATTATAACACTGCTTTAATTGATGGTTGCAATATTCATTGTTCAATCCATATTCCTAAGTCTTTGAGAAATTTCAGCTCAGATTACAATGGTGGTGAAGTATCAAAATCACAAAGTTATTCAGAGAGTCTGAAATCAATTAAGCCTTCTCTTGTTAAATCAAACACAGAAGAATCCCTTACCACTATCGTTCATACACCAAAGAGACCTGAAAACGAATCTCATCCTAAAGATGAAGAATTTAACCAAATTTATGTTAAAGGCTTACCAATCACTGTTACAGATGATGAAATTGATGCAATCTTTGAACCTTTTGGTCGTATAATGGAAATATATAAAGAAACAGTCGCCAATTTCAAATCCACATGGTGTCTTGTTACATTTGAAACCCACCAAAGTGCAGTTAACGCCATTGAGAATTGCCATAAAGTCAGCTATAAAGGTAAAAATATCACTTGTGTTAAAGCATTGAAGAAAGCTGAACGTCAAAAAATATTGAATTCAAAACCTATCCTGCAGACACCATCACCACCAAAACAACTTTTTAATGAAAGAGAATCGAATAATAGCTTCACTCAGATCCATGAAAAAGCCAATAAGGTTAACTCTACTAATTTATTCGTTTATAATCTTCCTCATTCCGTAAATGAAAATTTTTTCAAGTTATTTTTGAGAAGCTATACTTTAGATGGCAGAGTAATCAAGTTTTCATTTCAAAGGGGGGCCAATGAAAATTATATCGAATTTGAGAAAAAGTCAGATGCTGTCACAATTCACCAAAAACTCAACGGTGTCAACTTATCAGGCCTTATTATTCAAACTAGTCTTATTCAGTTAGATGATGGTGTTAAGAATCAAGAGTCAAAAAAAAACCCAGACAAATATCAACGAAAAGTAATTGAAAATAATGATATGAACAACTTTCAGAATAAATCAAAGGAGCATATTCATCAACAACATACAAATTTTTATCCATTTGATCGTTCTTCTAATTTCCATTCAAATCCAGCTTCTCCACCGATCGCTGGTTACCAGGCACCTTCACTGAGTACATACAGTTCAATCCACTCACTGATGAACTCCATTCCAAGCCTGTCTACATACCCAAGCACTGAAAGCACTTCAGCTAATCCCGTTGTCCAAAATATAAATGGTAAACCTTACAGGCTTATTCCAGTTTCAAATACACCAAGTCTTAATGAAAAGTCTCTCAATAACCTTGAGCAAAAAAGAGCCCATAGCCTTTTAAATTATCATGACCTTTATTCTACATCATATGACCCAAAGTTGAGTGAATCTTTACAAAAAGACCTTGAAAAGTTAGCATTACGTCAGATTGATTTCCTTTCTTACCCATCCGCTACAAGACCAAATAACTTGAGAAAGATCTTGAATTATATGTTTATGACTTTTTGGGACAATAGTGTGGATGATGTTGAATCATTTGTCAAATCAGTCGAGACACATCCTGAATATGTCCACTTGTTCAAAGGTAGGTTGATTGCTGCCATTAAAATTCTTGGGTATGAAAGATAGTTTAATAAATTTATGTCTACATACTGCTGTTATTAATATTATATGAAAGATGATATTTAAAAAAATCTATAAAAACTTGCTTAACGTTTATGTGAATGAAAACTAAAAAAGTCAAAAAAAGGGGAAAATCTAACAAAAAAAAAAAAACACGAATGTATTGACGTTACCTTAAATTTATATAACATGGTTTTAATAATACCGTGTATAGTTTAACTAATTAAGAATGACATACAATAGATGATACAAATTATCGATTTGATAATCATTCGTAATATCAATATCCAAGAGTTCTTACAGCTTCTTTTTTAATGATTCAATTTCCCAAAATCTTGAATCTATACATTTCTTTATTTTATAATACAAATTGTTCCCACGCTTTCCTTTATTTCCTTTATTTTTTGTGATATATTCATAAGATAAGGAACCAGAGTTGAGGTAATTAAGTTCATGCCAATTCTACATAATTGGCTGGGAATATACCTTCTTTTCCATTAACTCTCCCAGTCCACCAATCATCTGTTGAATCTGATTTCTTTATTATTTGAATCACATCACCTTTTCTAAATGGTAAATCACCAGATTGTTCACCTTCAAATGAGAATAAAGCAATAGCTTTTGAGCCTCTAGGTTGTGGAGGTGGAGTTGATCTTGAAGCAGTGGAGTTTCCAAAGTTTGGTTTTTCTGATCTAGGTCTTGAAGGTTTATCAGAATAACCTGAATCAAAATGTGATCTTTGGAAACGACGATTCAAATCATCAACATCATCATCATCATTATATGAACTTCTATTTTTAGATTTTGGTGAATCATAATTATCATATATATCATCTTCCCATGATGATCCTCTTCCAGTTGTTTTCTTAGATGATGAAGCAGCACCACCAGCCCTTATTGAGCTACCTCTGGTATAATAATCTTGTTCTCCATCAGAATAATCATCATCAGAGTATGATGAAGTACGTCTTCTTGATGATGGAGTACCACCACGAGTCCCACTTCTACCAAAAGCACCACCTCTTTGATAAGATCTTGAATCACTATCAAATGAAGAAGTTTCAGAGTTAAATTCTGGAATATCATTATAATAATCATCATCATCTTCATCGTAAAAATCTCTTCTTTTGGTGAAAGCTTTTGATTCTAAAACTCTAAATAAAGCTTCACATGCAGCAGGTGGTTCTACTCTACCAGCTAAAATTTGTCTTGCTTTACAATTATTACCATAAAATTTTCTATTAGCTTCTCTTCTTTCTACTATAGCTGAACCTTCTAATGAAACACCAGCAAATAAACCTTTAGTTTTAGAATAAGAAAAAATAGCAGCAGCTCCCTTTAGAGAAGCTGTACCACCAGCTTCAGCATTTCTACCTAATGGACCTGCAGCAACTGAAATATTACCACCTAAAGTAATTGAACCAGCTTGAGAAAAAGAATTAACAGCTTCTTTAGTGTTTAAAATAAAGACAAAATCTGTCAATTCTGCACCAATTTGACCACCTACACCTGCACCAGCAGTCACAATAGCAGATGGAGGAGACCATGAACCATCTGGTAAACGGGCCATGATAACACCAGAACCAGCTCTACCAGAAAATAAAAACCCAGCTTTCAAAACAGTTATAACAGCTAAACCTTTTGCATTTTGTAATATATCAGGTGGGATGACTTGATCTACACCAAGTATTTGATTTGGTTTGACAAAACTGGCCAAAATTTTAGCAGCTTTTCTATTGTAAAAAGAATAATGTTAGTTTTTGCTCAAAAAATAAGGTATTGGGAAATTTATCAAAGAATTGGATGTGAAATTGATATGATATTTCAATGAAAGGACATGTCGGGATCTATTCAACAGCAATAGAAATCAAGCCGAATGGCCATACATTTGACAATTGCATCCATATTTGAATATAAATAAGGTCTGTATGTTGTTCCTGAACTTTCCAAATGCTTAAATTTCGTATGTTCTACTCAAAATTTCATTGATTATAGACTGTTCAAAGATCCTTAATTTGCCCATACTCCACCAATATCTTCGATAATTAACAATACTCCCCCGTCAAATCAGGGGCGGACACATAGTATATCTGGGTTTGAACTTACCTTGTTTCGCTCTTCAAGCTTCTTGGAACCGGATTATTGATACCCATCCTTTATATTGTATCACTTTCTTATGGATTGTACGATAATAAGCTTCTTTGTTGAAGTGAAAGTTTCAGTGAATTCGGGATTTTAACCACTTTTGAATTGAGAATATTCAGTTTCCTTGGAAGCGGTGCGCGCACGCAGGATTGGGATTTTTGATCACCATACAAATTACAATTAAAAGTTCACTTTCAGAGGCAAAAAAAAAGCATTTGAAGAACCAATTCTTTGACAAGATATACGATGGTCGATCCAGTGGAGAAGACATTTGACTCTGTGTACTACCTGGGACAGAGGGCCCAGTACGCGTTCAACAGCGCTGTGGGCACCGCCAGTGAGGCATCGTCTGCCGTTTCTGACAAGGTTGTGTCAGTCTGTGATGGGTTATACAAGATCACTGGCTTAGGCGGTGAAGGTCAAGCATCGGAACAAGGACATGGTATTATTGGTGCTGGTGGTAGTGGTAAGATTTGGGGGATAGATGGTATTAAAACATTTCAAAGAAAGAATAAACTGGTATCGACCTTAATAGGTGCTTCTACACTAGGAATTGCTGGTTATTTCCTACAACAATTGGTGAGATCTCAACTATTGGAATCTTCCAAACCAAAAAGAAGAAGAGCACAGAGATTGGAAAACGGTGCACGTAAAGACGTTGTATTGATTGTGGGATCTGTCACTGAACCATTGACTAGATATGTCGCTAATGATTTGGAAAATAGAGGGTTTATAGTGTACATCACTTCAACAAATTCAAAAGCTGATTTGAAATTCTTCAATAATGAATCTGTTCAAGATGTTAAGAGTTTAATTGTATCGAATGAACCAAATAATGATGAATTTAATGCGGATCAATTGAGAAAATTTGACTATTTATTATCATCTGATCATATTCCTTTCCAAGGTGCAAGTCCAAATAAATTAAATTTAGTTGGAATTATAGTGATACCAGATTTATTCTTCCCCTCGGGTAAATTTCATATGATTGCAAGCTCAACATGGTCAAATTCAATGAATAATAAGATAATGTTGCCATTAAATTTATTAACAAATGGTCTTATAGGAGTTGCAGAAAAATTTGATTCAAATATAATTTTCATAACACCAACTTTATCATCATCTGTTCAATTAACTTATCATTCAATTGAAAATATTACATCTCAATTCTTACAAAACTTATCATTTAATTTATCACAAGATTATCCAAATTTAAATGTTACAAATATAAAATTAGGTTCAATATCAGTTAATTGTAATAATAGTAAGAAAAATTATGGTATAAAAGGTATAGGATTAAAATCTTTACATTATAAAATATTTGATTTGATTTATAATGATGATAATAATTCTATCGAATATATAGGTACAGGTTCAAGATTTTTAAATAATTTTGGTGGATTAATTCCACGTTGGTTAATAAGAAATTATTTCGATAATTATTTTGGGACCCAATGAATAGGTATCACAACATGAATTTATCAACTTGTACATAAAATCCCCAGCAATCATTTACAATGTACTTCATATAAAAGCTAAATATACAAAAATTGGGCTACATTAATCTGAATATCAATAATTTAATAATCGAATCTATAAGATAATTTATACACAAGAAATTGCAAGTTTATTTAATAATTTTATTTAGTAATTTGAGATTTTAAAGATTCTAATTGTTTTTTAACAGCAGATCTAGCAGTACCACCAGTAGCAGTTCTTCTTTCAACTGAAACTTCAAAACTAAAAGTATCTTTAACATCATCTTCAAATCTTGAATCAATTTTTTTAAATTGTTCTAAAGTTAATTGATCAATACCTGATAATTTTTCATCTTCAGCAGTTTTAACACATTCACCAGAAATATGATGAGTTTCTCTAAATGGAACACCTTTACGAACAAGATAATCAGCTAAATCAGTTGCCAACATATCCATAGTTAATGCACCTTCCATAGCTTCTTTATTTATTGATAAAGTTGAAATAACACCAGTTGAAATTAAAACAGAATGTTCTACTGTAGTTAAACAGTCAAATAATGGTTCTTTATCTTCTTGCATATCTTTATTATAAGTTGATGGAATTGATTTAATTGACATTAAAAATCCAGCTAAAGAACCGAAAACTCTACCTGATTTACCTCTTAATAATTCTAAAGAATCAGGGTTTTTCTTTTGTGGCATTAAAGAAGAGCCAGTTGAATAAGCATCAGCTAATTTTATAAAACCAAATTCAGCAGTGGAATAAATAATTAAATCTTCACTAAATCTTGAAACATGATTCATAAATAATGATGACCAAAACATTGTTTCAACAACAAAATCTCTATCAGAAACAGCAGCTAAAGAATTACCAATAACACCATTGAAACCTAAATTTTCAGCTAAAAATTCTCTATCGATACCGTATGGATGACCAGCAAGAGCACCAGCACCTAATGGAGAAACATTTAATCTTTCAATAATTTGTTCCAATCTTTTATAATCTTCAGTGAAATATGTAGCATACATACTTAACCAATGACTCCAACGGATTGGTTGAGCTCTTTGTAAATGAGTATAACCTGGCATTAAAACATCCATTTCAGTATCAGCTCTTTTAATGATTGTTAAAATTAATTCTTTTAAAAAATTTAAAATTTTAGTTAATTCATCACGAACGAAAATTCTCATATCAGTAGCAACTTGATCATTTCTTGATCTACCAGTATGAACTTTACCAGATATACCACGACCAATAATTTCACCTAATCTTCTTTCATTTGCAGTATGAATATCTTCATCACCATCTTTCTCCACAAATTCACCAGAAGCCCATTCTTTACCAATTTGTTCAAGACCTCTATGAATTTCTGATAATTCATGTTCAGTGATTAAACCTAATTTTTGTAAACCTTGTGTATAAACTTTTGTACCTTCTAAATCAGCAGCATACATTTTTTGATCATAAGGTAATGAAGCATTATATAAATTCATTAAAGGATCAGTAGCACCGGTGAATCTACCACCCCATAGTTTCAATTCAGCTGGTTTGTCAGACATTGTGATGCGTTTTTTGTTTATGTTCTATTGTATAATATAATCTATAATTGAATATATATGATTAAATTGTATATCAATTGAGTTTATAGGAGAATTTCAATTCTTTTATACTCGTTCAAATCGATGTGCAGCTAGCTGATAAAAAAAAGATGAATCATAATCGGAAATTTTCAGCCAAATAAAAAACCAAAAAAAAAAAAAAAACAGAATGAAAGATTATTAGCGAACCGAAAACACAAGACAGATCATTTTAATTTTACAAAACACTACTTTTTCACAAAATAATATTAACTATTAACGTATATTGTATAGAGATCAGTTCTATATATTCATGGTTTACATCTACCACTGAAACGAGGGTATAATGAACAATCTCTAACAGTGAATCTGTTGGTTAACCAAGCTAAAATACGTTCAGTACCTAAACCATAACCACCATGTGGAGAAGTACCATATTTACGTTGATCAATAAACCAATAGTAATAAGCATCGTAATCTTTAATACCTTCACGTTTGAAACCTTCAATTAATTCTTCTAAACCTTCAGAACGCATGGAACCACCAGTAATTTCACCAACAGTTGGCATTAAAACATCAACAGATTCAGTAACTCTTGGATCATCTGAACAACGTTTCATATAGAATGATTTAATTTCAGCTGGGAAACGAGTTAAAAGAATTGGAACACCAATATCATCAGTCATTTTACGTTCAGCAGCTTCTGCAATATCATCACCAAATTTGAATTGTTCACCATCTTCATTTGGAACACCATGTTCATTTAACCAATCAAGAGCATGGATATATTCCATACGTTTGAAAGGAGCTTCTGGAGCAACGAAATCTGGGTTTAATTGTTTAATTAATGGACCTGCAACTGGATCTTCTAAAACATATTTAACAGATCTTGAAATTAAAATTTCAATATGTTTTAATAATTCATCAAATGTAAGGAAAGCTAATTCAGCTTCAATATGAGTATATTCAGATAAATGACGACGAGTATGAGATTTTTCAGCTCTAAAAGATTCTTGAACACAATAAACATCACCTAAAGCAGGTAAACAAGTTTCTAAATATAATTGAGCAGATTGAGTCAAAAATGATTCTTCACCATAATAATCTACTTTGAATAAAGTTGAACCACCTTCAACTTGAGTTTGAACCATAGCTGGAGGAGTAACTTCAATTAAACCTTCTTCTTCATAAACTCTTCTAATAGCTCTTAATAAAGCAGCACGAACTTTCATAACACCACTTAAAGTTTCACCACGTAAGGCTAAATGACGTTGATCTAATAATAAAGAAGGATCAGCACCTTCTTGGATTTTATTTGTAAAAGCATCTTCACCACTTGGAGCTAAACCAACAACTTCATAATAATCAACAACTAATTCAATACCACCAACGGCTTGTTTACCTTCTGGTAATTTTTTAACAGTACCGAATAAAGTAACTGTTGATTCTAAAGTTAAAGTTTGAGTTTGATAAGCATTAGCTAAATCACCACTTAAAACAGCTTGAACATAACCAGTACCATCTCTCAAGACAATAAAAGCTAAACCTTTTTGAGCACGGAATCTATGAATCCAACCGGAAACTTTAAATCTTTGATCAACTTTTAAATCTCTAATTTTACCCTTTTTAGCTTCAGGTAATGATTCATCTTGTTTTATAACAATTTTTAAAGCTTCTAATTTTTTAGCAGCTTCATCAGCATCTTTTTGAGCTTTTTGAGCTTCAGCTAATTTAGCCTTTTCAGCTTTTTTTTTCAAAGATTCAGCACCTTTTTTACCCTTTTTCAAAGCAGAAGCACTAATTTCAACATAACCATCAGTTTCTTCATCTTTTTTATAAACAAATAATTTAGCATCTTCTTTGACATATAAAGCGTAAGCAGCTGTTTGGAATGGAGATTCTTTAGAACCAGAGGCAGTGACAGCGTCCACACCTGAGGTTTCGTTAATGTATAATTCAGACATTATCACCAGTAATACAAGGTCAATTGAATACTCTTTCTTTACGAATCAAAGATGCAAAATTCCCAAATTTATTCAACTTTTGTTGATGATTCATTTGATTTTTTCCATCGCTACTAGTGCGCGCCCGACAGAATTTACCCGGCAGTGGGTGAATGTTTTTGAACATCACAAGATAACCAACAATCAGTTGAGAGTTCTTTAAAAAATGGAGTAATGAAAGTGTATTTCAAATAGTTATCTGCTTCTTTTATATACTCTTTACTGATTTGTGGGCAGTTAAAATGGGTTCCCATTATATTTTCCAATTTATACCTATCAATTAAAATCACGATCGCGATAATTCGAGGCATTGAAAAAAAAAATCATTGGACTAAATTGAAAACGAAATTTAAAGATAACAATTTGGATCAATTTAATATTTCAGCTGAGCTTATCACACAAAAATGGCTCTTGAATCTTCTCTCGCAGCATTATCCATTGCTCAAGTCTCTGGTCAAGAAGCTGCTGCCACAAAAGCTCTAGTCTTCAAACCAAAAACTGCCAAATCTGCAACTCCGGTCCCAGTTATTGTTTTCGCTTTACAATCAACTTCAACTCCATCAAATTTAATTGCTTCAAATGCTGGTGTTAAAGACCCAAGATTAGCTAAAGAAGACTTGGTTCAAGAATTCTTTGGTGTTTCTCCAAAAGAATTTTCTGTTGCAAACATTACTAAAGATCATGCTGGTAAAATTAAAGTTTTAGTTGATCAACAAATTCAAGAATCTTCAATTTATGAATTATCCACTGAAAGTTCCAAAGCTGCCGTTGAAGGTAAATCATTACTTGGTTTCTTACAATCGACTGGTGTTGAATTAATTACTGTTGATTTCTCTGCTGCTCCAGCTCCAACTCCAGCTTCAGCCCCAGCTAAAAAATCAAAAGATTCAGCCCCAACTAAAAATAATGCTCAATTAGAAGATGCTAAATTAATTGGTGTTACTGTTGATAAATTCTTAGATTTCCCAGGTTGGTATCAACAAATCCTCACAAAAGGTGAAATGTTGGAATATTATGATGTCTCAGGTTGTTATATCTTAAGACCTGCTTCTTATGCTATTTGGGAAGCTATTCAAAAATATTTTGATGAAAGAATCAAATCAATTGGTGTTAATAATGCTTATTTCCCAATGTTTGTTTCTTCAAGAGTTTTAGAAAAAGAAAAAGATCATATTGAAGGTTTTGCTCCAGAAGTTGCTTGGGTTACAAAAGCTGGTAGTTCTGATTTAGAAGAACCAGTTGCTATTAGACCAACTTCTGAAACCGTTATGTACCCATATTATGCTAAATGGATTCAATCTCATAGAGATTTACCATTAAAATTAAATCAATGGAATTCCGTTGTTAGATGGGAATTTAAACATCCTCAACCATTTTTAAGAACAAGAGAATTTTTATGGCAAGAAGGTCATACAGCTCATTTAACTTATGAAGAAGCTGATACTGAAGTTTTACAAATCTTGGATTGGTATTCTGATATTTATCAACATTTATTAGCTGTTCCAGTTGTTAAAGGTAAAAAAACTGAAAAGGAAAAATTCGCTGGTGGGTTATATACTACAACTGTTGAAGGTTATATTCCAGCTACTGGTCGTGGTATTCAAGGTGGTACTTCACATAATTTAGGTCAAAATTTCTCCAAAATGTTTAACATTAGTGTTGAAAATCCAGAAGGTGCTGATAAACCAAAATTATTTGCATGGCAAAATTCTTGGGGTTTATCAACTCGTGTTATTGGTGTTATGGTAATGATCCATTCTGATAACAAAGGTTTAGTTATCCCACCAAGAGTTGCTCAAAACCAAGCTGTTGTTATCCCAGTTGGTGTTACAGCTAAAACTTCAAAAGAACAAGAAAATGCTATTTATGATGGTGCTAAAGAAATTGAAAATAGATTGAAAAAATCTGGTATTAGAGCTATTGGTGATTACCGTAGTAATTATTCTCCAGGTTGGAAATTCTCTGATTGGGAATTAAAAGGTTTACCAATTCGTCTTGAATTTGGTCCAAAAGATCTTGAAAAAAATCAAGTTATTGTTGTTCGTCGTAATGATTCTAAAAAATATATTATTTCATTAGATGATTTAGAAACCAAAATCCCAGAAATCTTGGATGAATTCCATGAATCTCTTTATGAAAAAGCTAAAGAATCTTTTGATACCCATAAAGTTATTGTTGAAGATTGGAAAGATTTTGTTCCTGCATTAAATGCTAAAAATGTTATTTTATCACCATGGTGTGGTGTTATGGAATGTGAAGAAGATATTAAAGATGCTTCTGCTAAAAAAGATGATGGTGAAGATGAAGAAGTTGATGAAAAAGCTCCAAGTATGGGTGCTAAATCATTATGTATTCCATTCCAACAACCTGAATTAAAACCAAATACTAAATGTGTTAGATGTGGTGAAAAAGCTATTAATTACACATTATTCGGTAGAAGTTATTGATTTTTATATAAATCTCTTAATTATTTTTAGCATGTATAGAATTATTTAATTTTTGAAAGAAGTTTTTTTTATAATTTTATATGTAAACTTATATATGATCAAGTCGTTTGTACAACCAAAGCTTAGTAATTTTGATTTTTGAAATTTTGAAATTTTCAAGGAGCCTCGACCCGACCCACAGTCCACTTCATCTTTTTGTATAGTCTTCATTCATGTACATTAGTATATTGCTTGTACAATTAATTAGCTGAGCGGACCGTGCAGCTTATTTTCTCAATTGTGTGACTCAGTTCATGTATGAAAACCGACTGAAATTGCTTAATTCCATCTTAGTTCATCAGTTTTTTCTAAGGTATATTTATATATAATAATATTGAATTCTTGAAAACACATGATAAACCTTCAAATATATATATCAGCTCAATGATTGACTGTCTTATTCTGTTATATATTTAATTATATGAGTTGATTTCACAGATGGACTGATTAATAAATGGGATATTCAATCTTTTTTCCAATTACGATTAAGCCGACGTTAGGTCTAGAATTGTAGTCTATATAAGTCGAACGTATACTAATGCTCCTGTGTTATCATTAATCCTTTATTATTGATTAAAAGTTGTATTATGACTTATATATCGTGACAATTGGATGACAATGTGAGATAAGTTTTCATCTCTGAACTATAATCAATTGTGTACATCCTTTTCAAGTCTGTTAAATATAATTCATAAATCATCATTAAACATCTCTATACAATATTAAGATCATGTATATTCTACTCTATTTAAATTCACCCTTTAATGTCCAGCCAGATTTGGAAGCATCCCAGTTAGCTATACCTTTCAACATTGATCTAACGAGTGTTAAATCCTTTTTGTCAACAATCTCCAATGAAACAGCATCTAAAATTTCACCAGATTTAGCAAAATTATCATCACGATTAGCTAAAAAGTTTCTCATTTCATCAATGATTTTTGAATTCTTATTCAATTCTGAACCATGTGAACTTTGTGTAGCATTTGCTTCTTTATTCTTTTTGATATTTGATAAAATTGAAGAGGAACTTTGTTTTGAATTTCCGCCAAAAGGGGAAGGTGAACCAACTCTACTTCTATTACCTAAAGCTGGTGATGCAGTTCTACCAGCTAATCCAAATTTCCCTGTAAATGTTGGAACCCCTAATCCAGCTCTTTTAACTTGCTTTCTTGATTTTTTCAATGCCTCTAATGCTTCATTTGCTGATTTTCTGGCTTCACGTTCTAACAAATCATCTTTTGGCCTTGAATGTGTTTTAACAATGTCATCATGTTTAATTGCTTGTGTAACAGCTCCAGTGTTTTTGAAGAGACCCGATAATAATCTTTCATCCTCTGTCTCTTTTTGTGAATTATCTTTGAACTTCTCAATCTTGGTGACTGCATTTATATCTTGAATTTTCGCTAAATCATCTTGATTTTTTCTTCTTCTAGTATCTTTGAAAAGGTTACCAGTTTCTGAATTATCATCAAAATCTGAAAGTGTGAATAAATCATGAAGTTCACTATTTTTGAAGAATCTCTTTTGGTTTGGATCTTTCAAGATTTTATCTGTCAAAAGTTGTTTAAAGATTTGTCTATGATAAATTTTTTCTTCGATGGAACCACCAATAATTAATCTGTAAATTAAAACTTCTTTCTTTTGACCAAGTCTCCATGCTCTCTCTCTAGCTTGTAAATCAGTTGAAGGATTCCAATCTGGATCGAAAATAATCACACGATCAGCTCCTGTAAGATTGACACCTAAACCACCAACTTTTGTGGTCAACAAGAACAAATCATAACCTTCATTATTGAATGAATAAATCATATCTTGTCTTTTACCAATACCTGTTTCACCACTCATTTTCATATATCTATAATCTTTGAATGAATTTTTCAAGAACTTTTCTAAAATAACCATCATTTGCTTCGTTTGAGTGAAAAGTAGAACTTTATGACCTTCTTGTTTCCATTGTGTTAACAAAGATTTCACAACTTGTAGTTTACCAGATTTTGCAGGATCACCGTACCCCTTTTGTCCCTCCATATAATGAATGTCAGCAAGATCAGGATGATTACATATTTTTCTCAACAGATCTATAGCACCTAAATAAGAATGAATCTTTATTTCAAAAGATCTTAAAAATTCTAAATATTTCTCTTTTTGGTACTGTGTCAAACGACACATCAAGACAAATTCTTGTTTGGATGGTAAATCTCTAGCAACATCCATTTTAACTCTTCTTAGCAAAAATGGTTGAATTAATTCTTTCAATATAACTGCTTTTTGATAACCAATCTTGACATCCAAATTACTTGCATTTGCATATCCACCAACTTTGATGGGTGTCTCAAATTCATCTTGAAATATGGGTAGTGTTCCAAGTCTTCCTGGGAAAATGAAATCAAACAATGACCAAAGCTCAACTAGATTATTTTGAATTGGTGTACCTGACAAAATTATTCTATTGTATGTTTTCAACCTTTTACTTAAAATAGTGATGTTAGAGTTAGGGTTCTTAATCTTATGACCTTCATCCAAAACAGCATAACCCCAATCAACATTCAATAACTGTTCTTCATAAATTCTGAGACCCACGTAGGAAGTAATGACAACATGACCTTTGGTTAAAAGTGTATCCATTATAGCATTAACATTTGAGTTCTTCTTGATTGATCTTAAACTTGAATCTTCATCCATAACTTCATCGCCTTCTTTTAAAAGTAGTTTTTCATAATCTTCTTCTTTAACCGAATTTTTTGACATACCAGTTCCAATAGAGTGTAAGACCATGGTTCTAAAGGGTGGCCACCAAGTGTGAAATTCATTAACCCATTGTGTCATGACAGTTGCAGGGCACACTACTAATATAGGCTTATCAAGTTTACCAGAATAATGTAAACCAGCTAAAAAAGAAATAATTTGAATGGTTTTACCTAATCCCATTTCGTCACTAATTATACCACCATGCTTTTGTTGATACAATTCATATAACCATTGAACACCAGTTTTTTGATAATCAAACAACGAAGGGTATATATCCCCGGAAACTTTGAAATCAGAATTCAAAATAGCATCTGGTAAACTTGGGTGAGGTTTGAACCACTCTTCTTTATCTTGGTCAGTATTATCTTTTGAACCTTTTCGAAGTTGTGATCTTCTGTATACCCACGTATTTAATCGATCTTGATAAAACGACTCTATACCGTCATCGGTATTTCTTATATCATCTTCGGTCAATAATTTTGGCTTTTTAGAATCACCATCATCTTCAGCTGCATCATCTTCCTCTTCACTATTATATTCATTATCACTTTCATATTTTCTTTTTCTTTTGTATACATCTTCCTCATTCGAATCATCAGATTCAATAGAATCACCTTCATTAACTTGAGAAAATCCGGGTATTCTTAAATTTTGGTGAGATACCACCTCATGTGGAGCTATATGGTCTTTATCTTCATCAACAACGAAACCAGCAGTATTACCGAAAGCAGTTATTTTACCTGTCCTTATTAAAAAATCTTTCTCAGTTTCATTGGGAAGTCTACCACCATCCTCTGTAGAGACACCAGTACTTTCAGCAACGGCTTTATTGTTTCTCAATCGTTTTTCAATATCTATTATATCAGATTCAGTTGGTTTAAGTTGTGTTTCTGTCATTTCTTTGATATGCTTTCGAAGCTCTTCCTTCTGAGAAATCTTGGTTCTTGGATTGTTCAATCTATCATGAAGTTTTCTTAATTCAAAATTGATTTTATTTAACTGCTGTTTAGATTTTTCAAATCTTTTAATATCTGATTCAATCTCTTTCTCAGTAATCATCTTATTTGCATTTGCTTGAATCTTGTGTTCTAACGATGATTGTTCCACCAATCTGATTCCCAAATCCTGGAGACTATTGTCAGTAGTAGCCTCATTGGCACTGTGTGTACTCCCTTCACTCATTATTTGACCTCTTTTCAAAATATGAGAGCTGATGTTCAGAACTTGATGAGATGAGTTGAACCTTCACATTTATTTCACATTTAATTGCCATCAAAATTAAATATTTCAATTTCCGAAAAGGGTAAATCATCGCGATAAGAAATCACATACTGAACTCAAGAATCTATATTCATAAAGTAATTCATATGAAGGCTACAATTTTCTTTACGAAAAAAAATGGAAAGAATAATTTGTTGATAAACGTTAAATTTGGAAATATAAATAAAATATTCAGAAAAATATAGGCTGTTTTTGATATTTGAGAATGTCAAACACAGGTAACAGCACTAGAACCAGAAACAAGGTCGATTCAACCTTGATGAGAAGTTCTGTTAGCGGCATTGTTTGATTCCATTGCACCTTGCATTCCCCTGTTTGAAGCATTATTGGAAGTCATTTGATGTTGCATAGCACTATTACCAGAAGCACCTTTATTACCATGAACAGCAGCTTCCATTGATCTATTAGCAGCGTTGTTTGATTGTTGAGCAGCATGCATACCTCTGTTAGCAGCGTTGTTGTTTTGTGCTTGTTTACCCATTTTTGTAGTCTTTGATTGATATAAATAAATTATACTCTATGATATAGATGGAAAATGATAATGATAATACACTTGGAAATTGGCCTGCTTTTATACTTGAAGCTTAAGAATAGAATCCAATCAACATTCATTGAGTTGTTTGATTAACAGCAAAGTTTTTTAGTATACGATGGTCTTGTTTTAACCTTATTCAGTTTATTTTGTGCTTGTATTAATGGTATTGTTGAAGTTTATACGTATGTGTTTTGTTCATGGCACAAGTTTAGCTTGTTCTACCCCTATTACCCAATTACCTTAATTGACTCCATTTCCAACAAGTAATCACACTTGATCAAAACAAAGCTATGTGTCAATTTGATGTATCACGATTAACTTTAAATGATAAGTATTCAAGTGGATCAAACTATGAACATGGCTTTAGTTCGATGATTTTAACTTCTTGTTCTCCTAAATTCAAAAAAGTTCAAAGGGGAAGTGTCGATTTTACAAGTACAGCATTTTGGGAATTCATTTTACACTGCTAATATGGAGCAGTTCAAAGCCTAACCGTTGTAGTTAAAAGACATAAAGTTGGTATTTCGATAAATCTTGGTTTTAACGGTTGAAACTTGAGAAGTCAGAACTTACAAGTAGGAGCTCGACCCGATTGCGTGAATCTCACGTAATCCGAGCCACTGGATCTCTAGTACAATTCTATACGATATCAACGAAGACTCATACTGAAAATTCAACGTTATCAGGAAAACAGGACCTTCTTCACCGAGGAGATCACTGAATCACTAGAGAAGGACAAGAAGGATGCCAAAGATTGCTAGTAAATTAGAGTTGAACAGGGTACAGGAGCTGGATTACCTTTTAACTCAACTCAAACCTTTAATACTCAACCATATATCAAATGCATCCAATCCAGAATCAAGAGTTGGACCTAGAATTTCTCCTTTAGAGTTAACAAAGCTTGTTAAATTAGACACACCATCTAAGGGTTCCGGTAAAGAAGGCGTTTATGACTTGTTTGACACTGTGTTAAAAAATTCAGTTGTTACATGGCATCCTGGGTTTCTAGATAAGTTATATGCTTCAACTAATCCAATAGGTGTGGTTTCAGATTTATTATTAAGTCTGTTAAATACTAATAGTCATGTCTATACAGTATCACCTGTTTTAACTTTAATTGAAAAAAAAGTTTCTAAATCATATGCAAACTTATTTGGTTTCACTGGTCAATATGCTGGTGGTTTAACATTTTCAGGTGGTTCATGGTCAAATATTACAAGTTTACAAATCGCAAGATCTATATTATTCCCACAAACTAAAGCAGAAGGTAATGGAAATTATAAATTTGCTCTTTTTGCATCAAAACATTCGCATTACTCTGTTGAAAAAGCTGCAATTTTATTAGGTTTAGGTGCAAATAATATATTTGATGTTGAAGTCGATGCTGCTGGTGTTTTAAATGTTCAGGACTTGGAGAACAAAATCATAGAGAGTAAAGAAAAGGGTTTCACTCCTTTATACATAAATTCTACAGCTGGTACTACTGTTTTTGGATCGTTTGACCCATTTGATGAAATTAGCGCAATTGCTAAGAAATATGGTATCTGGTTTCATATTGATGGTTCATGGGGTGGTAATGTTGTTTTCAGTGAAAAATATAAGCATAAATTAAAAGGTGCAGAAAAAGCTGATTCTATAACTGCAAATCCACATAAATTATTAGGTGTTCCAACTACTTGTTCATTCCTTTTATTACCTGATGAACGTGTTTTCCAAACTGCAAACTCTTTAGATGCTCCTTATTTATTTCACAGTGCTGAATCTGATGATACATTTTATGATTTAGCTGATGGTACCATGGGGTGTGGTAGAAGACCGGATGCTTTAAAATTATATCTGGGTTGGAACTTTTATGGTAAAGAAGGATATGAAGAAAGAATAAATCATGCCTATGAGATTACAGGATATTTTGCTGATAAATTACAAAATAATCCATCTAAATTTAAATTAGTATCAACAAATCCACCACCTTGTATGCAAGTTTGCTTTTATTTCAATAAAGATGGGAAATTTGATGATAAGGAACAAAATTCTAAAATCACTAGAGAGATTGTTGCTAAGTTACATGAATCTGGTAAATTTTTGATTGATTTTGCTCCAGCTCATGGTGTAGATACTGGTGAATTCTTTAGAGTTGTCTTCGTAAGTCCTATTGTGAATAGTGATATTGTTGATGACTTGTATAGTACAATCATAGAAGTTGGTGAGAACTTATAGAGTCAAGTATAACCATAGATTAATACATAAAGAAGTACAGTGTTGATAAATTTTGATTTTTCCTCATATTGTAACCTTTATATACACATATGACCCCACTATAAAACAAACATTTGGTAATATATACAAGATTTTGAAAGAATGTTGTCTAAGCCTATTCCTTTCTGCTACTATCTAGCTGCTGAAGTTTTTTGAATTCTTCCATTGGGTCGAAGTCACCGGATGATAATTTATCATATTGTTCATCATATTTACCACTTGATAATGGTGCATTACCTCTAAATCTTTTTGACATATCAAACCAACCTTTCTTACAGTCCCAGAATGACTTCATTAATGATTTGCATAGTTCTGGTAAGTCTTTAGCAAGCTCTGGATTCTCAACACATTCTTTTGGTGAATTTCTTTCTATCAACACACAAGGTGATCTCTGTAGACAAATAGCGACGGCTTTTCTTTGATCTTTGCAACTACCACAGTGTTAGTATTTAGCACCATAAGAAGCCCAACACGGTATATTGACTCACCTTCCTCCCATTCTGTAGCTTGTATAGTTTCAATAAAAGTGAGACTCTCGTTCTGCATTATAAATCTGGTACTCTTCCCTCAACTGATATCAATTTCTTTTAAGATTTAAGAGCCCGAAAATTAATTTTTGGTTTGCGCAGAAATTCTTTAGTTAGACTTGGTTTCAAAAACATCAACAACTTTAGAAAACCATTGTTTTACAAGGAATCTACAAGCAAGGATCAGAAACGCTAAATATGACGTTGAGCTTTGTGCCTGGTGATCCCAACCAGGCTTACCAAGCGGTAGCTCAAGGACAATGGAAAGAGCATTCAATTGTGGTGAGTATCAGGGCTAAACTTCCTTCCCAGTGACACATATCTAAAAGTATAATAGCATACTAACAATGAACTAATACAGGCGTACTGCTCGGATAATAATTTGATCATCTTGTCAGACAACATGAAGAACCTTCAGACTGTGTATTTAGATGCTGATGCTCAAGCTGTTGATATAAATTTCCACAATGGTAATGTAAGTATATATGAGCTCTCATTCAAGTTTTGAACAATTACTGACAACAGAATAAAGATTGCGGTTTCTGTGGGAAGTCAAGTGAGCATTTATGAACCAGAAAACGAGTTTTCGAAAGTACCAAAAGTAAGTATATTTTTGCACTGTTTTAATGTGATGTTTTTCTAACAAAGCTTTTATTAGTGGAGACTTCGCACAAAATTAATTGATCCAAATGACCATTCACCGGTTAATACTTTGAGTTGGGGTGTTCAAGAGGAAATTGTCATAGGATCTGACTTCCTAACTCTTTGGAATCTGAGGAAGGAATATGGTGAAACACATACGAGAATTTTATGGAGCAAGCTACAGGCTAACCCTGTATATATCGCTAAGATTACGCAGGATTCATCATTGATTGCAAGTTGTGGAAAGTATGATAAGCTTCTGAAAGTATGGAATAGAGTTCTTTTTGGTGATAATTCGTTATTTGATATGACTTATCTGATGCATCCAACAACAATCACAAATTTAAGATGGAAAACACATGATTATACGAATCTACCCACTAGTGATTCCTATACAAATACACTATACTCGTTGGGCAGAGATTCAGTGCTAAGAATATGGTCAAGCTACGAATATGAGAAGACACATTTGATACAGCATTGGGGCTCTTTGAACCTTTATAACGACTCTTGTAAAAAAGAAGGCAAAAGATTCGTTAATATTGTCGATGATTATTTGGTTACCAAAGCTTTGAAATCTGCTTTATCACGGATGTATAGTGAACAGCTCATTGAAATCCAAAAACGACAACCTGACATGGCGTTTGTTGCTGATGAAAACAGTAACATTACAGTTATAGCAATTGAAAATTTATCTCAGAATCCACCTAAACTAATGAGCACGGCAGTGCTGAAAACGCTGAAATTTTATCCAAAGGCTTTTGTTTCGAACCCACAATTTATTAATTTCGCTGAAACCATCATAAATGATGAAGGTGATTTGTCTGTCATTATTCATGATCTTAATGGTGTTATAAGGCATACTTCAATTGACTTGAGATTTTTAGTTGATCATGCAGATATAAATCAGGTTGGTTTCCTAGCTCACAAACTTACTGGACATAAAAAGTCGATTAAAGAAATCATAAGAACAGTCGATGGTGAAGCTATGCTAACTAGGAGTAGATTTACTGAAAATGCTATATGGATCCCACAACATTTGAAAAATGGGGTAACATTAGCCAAAAAATCTATTGTTAATACTCCTGCACCAATATCAAAAGCTGTAATGCTAGAACGTGGTGATATTCTGCTGACTTTATGCAGTGATAAGCTTCTCTTATGGAACACAAGTCTTAAAATTGCTGAGATTATAGGATCTTTTGATATCAATACCCAAGAAGAACCATTGTCGTTTTCAAGCATACCTTTCAAACAACATGATCACAATAAGCATTACGTTGCAGCTATTTTTAAAACACATATCAAAGCATGGCTGGTGGAAGGTAAAAGTCTAATTGATATCCCAGCTGAATCTCCCCCATTCGATGCTGACACCATCCATATTATAGCTCCGATTGATCCAGTGGGAAGTAAGTTTGAATCTATTCGCCCAATTTTATCAACTATAACAAAGAATGGTATTTTACAATGTTATAATTCCGTGATTGAAAACGGCAAACTTAAATGGTATGAAAGTACCCGTTTAGAAACAGATATTTTAAATGCTTCCTATATAAGAGGGTCATCTGTGAACAAATTTGCAATTGTGGACGAAACAAGAAAAAAACTTACTATTTGGGACTTGAAAACTAAAGTTCTAGAGTACGAGGAAGTCCTAGAAAGTAATGTTAAAGATATTGATTGGACAAGTACAGAAGGGAAACAAAGTATGTTGGCTATTGGGTTTGACGACTATTCATTGCTTTACACACAATTAAGATACGATTACACAAATAAACATCCACCTTTTCAAGTTATAAAGAAAATTGATGTTTCAAAGTACACTACACACAAAATTGGTGACTCCATTTGGTTGAAAGATGGTACTTTGGTTATAGGTACTGGTAATCAAATATTTGTTTCTGATAAAACACTTGATGTTGAGACTGATAAATTCACAAAAAAATCATTAGGATCTAGAAATATCGTTTCAAATGATTTGTTAAACTTATGTTCCGTCTTGAATGGTCCATTGCCTCTATATCATCCACAGATTCTTATTCAAACACTGTTCAATAAAAAAATAGAGATTGTCAAAGAGATTTTGTTACGTTTATTTTTGAAAATTCGTGAACTTGAGGCAAAAGATAAACCAATAAATTTATTAGGATCTACATTGGGCTTTGATATTTCTAAGTTTTTTGACTTAGAATACCATGAGGAATCTTTTGAAGAACCTTATACCTCATTTGATGACAATGTTGCTGATCTCTTGAAGGAAAAACTTACACTGCACACACTGCCTTATGTCACTAGACATCAACAGATAACATTAGTCAGTACGATTGAAGCTGTTCAGGAAATCATTAAAAATAGTTTAAGTTTGGATGATAATGGTTTGAGATTTTTACTAGGGATGAAATTGTTTCAATTACATAAAGGAAAACAAGAGAAACTAACAATGAGAGATATAAATTGGGCAATGCATAGTGAGAATAAAGAATTATTGTTACAGCTAGTTGAGACCTCTGTTAAGGACCAAAGAATTACTTGGACAGTTACCAAAGAGTACGGTTTAGCTTATTGGTTGAAATATGATGATTTAGTTTCAACTATCGAAAAAGTTGCAAGAAATGAGTTCATCAATGACGATAAGAAAGACCCAATCAAATGTTCAGTGTACTATTTAGCCTTAAAGAAGAAGCAAATTTTAATTGGTCTTTGGAGAACATCTTTTGGTCATCCTGAGCAACAAAAGATGATGAACTTTTTGAAGAATGATTTCAAGGAGAAAAGGTGGCGTACTGCAGCACTGAAGAATGCATTTGTTTTGTTGAGTAAACATAGGTATTTATTGGCAGCTTGTTTTTTCTTGCTGGCAGATAGCTTGAAGGATTCAGTGAATGTTTTGATTAAACAAGTTCAAGATTTTGATCTTGCATTGGCAGTTTGTCGTATTTACGAGGGTGATAATGGTCCAGCTCTTCAGGATTTGTTGAAGAAGAACTTACTTTCTAACGCCATTTCTTTAGGGGATAGATGGACAACTAGTTTTATATTCTGGAAACTAAAGCAACAATCAAGGTCTATTCAAGCTTTAGTGAAGTCACCAATTGATTGTGTTAGTGATGATGAGAAAAAAGAGGTTGTAATCAGTGAAAGATCAAAGTTCTTTATTGAAGATGATCCACTGTTATTGACTTTGTACCAAGATTTAAGAGAAAAAAATCTACATTATTTTCATGGATCATTGGGTATTAAACCAGAACAAGAATTTGAGTTTATCACAAGAGTCGCCGCTATATATACTAGAATGGGCTGTGATTTATTAGCTGTGTCATTAGTTAAAAGCTGGACGTTCTTAAAGTCTGAAGATTTCAAAAAAAAACAGAGTTATGTTTCTTTAAAATCTGCACTCAATGGAGCTGATTCCACTCCTGTAAAAGCTAGTGCTCCTGGTGGAAGTATACTGGAAAAATACGGACTATCACCTTCTGCTAGAAGAAGATCAAGCTTCATCATAAACTATCAAGACACTAAAGATCAAGAAGAACCGGAACATTTTCCAAAGGGTCATACAAAAGAAAATGGTGGTGTTGGACTCAGTATATTAGAAAAATATGGATTAGCATCCAATTCTAAGAGCACAGAAGACGAGAAGAGTAATGGAAATGATATTAAAGCTTCGAAAGCACCACCTCCAAAAGCTGCTTTCCAAGAACCAGATATGAGTGCATTCAATTTTGGATTTTAATTTTTAAATTGAACTACAAGTAAATATTCATATAAATTTCATTAGTTCATTTATTTAAATTGGTATCAACTTTTGCGTACAATATCCCATGCCAAACTATGTAGACAACTCCATTTCTTTTCAAACGATGCACCCACACAAAATATATGGAAAATCAATGAATAACCAGCACTCGCTATAGCACAAATGCAATATATTGAAAGAAGTATGTTGTTAATCATCACTATGCAAGGGTTTGACTTATCAAATCCTAGGAGTTCCAGTATGGGTAGAAATCCATTTGTCATTATAGAATAATGACCCAATCCCGTCTGTCTATATTGTTCACCTTGAAGACCGACATTAAAATTCAAATAACTTAGTATATCATAAGTTGTATATATTATCAAGATTGGAAGCAATATTGGTATGGATTCTTTGAGTAAAACTATTGTCCTTCTTGAAAATTTTGTGGCCATTGTGGAAGAATATTGTCTGGGGTAATAAATGTGACGTCTATGGTTTAGCGAAACAATAGTAATATCAAAGCTGGCTATCTTTGGTATGTGATAGTTGTGTTGATAAGTGTCTTGGATATATTGAAAATACAATAAAATGAAACTGTTGATGAAGAAGCTGAAATTAAAAGGGGACTTAGATCTTATATCTAATTTCAGTTAGCTTTGCAAATTTGCTACCTCTTATTCACACCAGCAATTTAAAACCTTTGTACCACTATGAGATATTTCTTCTAGCACTGCGAGATTTCAGACTCTACCCCTGACTACTCACCAATTTGTTAACTCTTAAACATTTCCAGTAAATTATTAGAAGTTACTCATGCTAAACTGCCCAATGGTCGCCAAAGACCAGTTTGATGATGAGCTTCGAGGAATAGGGGTAAAAACTGCAGCATCGATTATGTGCGAATATGTATGTCTCGAGATTATGTAATATATTAGTTACTTCAATATAGTATGTAGCTGAAAGCAAATGATATATATCCAATTTAATTCTATGCTTATTGTTTATTATCATGATATGAGTCTATATAGAATTATAGCTAGTTCATTTTCCACCAAAAAATTTGGCGTACTTCTGTTTTTCTTTGTCTTTTTGATCTTGAATGATCTTTTCAGTTTCCTCGATTTTTCTTTCAACGACAGAATCTTTGGAGTTCAACTTAAAACACTCTTTATAATTATATAATGCATCATTATATTTTTTAAGTTCGAATAATGATAATCCTTTTCTATAAAAACTTTTGGCCTTTTCTGTTGGTAATGCAGTTTCTGTTTCTAATAAATATGTTGAATAATCAATAGCTTTTTGAAAATCTTTCAAATTTACTGAAGTTAAAGCTAAGTTCAAGTACAATTTTCTCTTTAGCTCTTCAAATTTTGGGGCGTATTCTGGTTCTTGATCTGGTTCTGGAATATATTCAACAACATACCTTAATGCTTTTTTGTATTTAAATAAAGCTTCTTGATAATTCTTTTGTTTGAATAATAATGAACCTGATTCTTTAATCCTATTTGTTACTTCATATTGTTCTGGAACTTTCTCATCATCAAAATGATCATCATCATCTGGGTATTCCTCATATATATCACCACCTATTTGGTTATATGATGTATTATAAACTGGTATATCATCTCCATCCTCCCATTCACCACAGTCTTCTATTGTAACTTCATTTTTAGGTATGTTTGAGTCATCCACGGCTGAGTACTCAATTGTACGAACTGTTGATTTCCCGTGTATCACTTTACCAAAGATTGTGTGTTTCCCATTCAAATGAGGTGATGGATATGTGTTGATAAAAAATTGAGATGCATTGGTGTTTGGTCCAGTGTTAGCCATTGCCAGATTGAAGGTTGTACTGAACTCTCCTAAGTTTTCATCTTCAAAATGACCATGTGGATTTGATTCTGTTGCATAGATAGATGAACCACCTTTACCTAAATCATCAATATTCTTACTTATATCAGAAGATCCATGTGTAATATCACCACCTTGTATCATAAAATTTTTGATGACTTTATGGAAGTGGTTCCCTTTTATTGTTAGTGCTTTACCATCTAAATCAACTTTGTCACCTTTACATAAATGAAGAAAGTTTTCATAAGCTTTTGGTGCAGCATCTTCATATAATTCAGCTACAATTCTTCCTATTTTTTCACCCCCGATACTTATATCGAGGTAAATTTTTGGATGGATAGCATCAACTTGACCCATATTTGTTTCAGCTATGTGGACTTTATAGTATAGCGACGTTATCGATATATTTATCACTTAATAACTTCGTATTATTGTGCCATGTCTTCAATTTTTTTTTCATTATACACTTGATCGCGGGCTTCCAGAATTTCTCAGAAAATATTAATCATCTTCAGAAACTATAACTTAGATCGTAGACGTAATAATGTTCGTTTTCTCAAATTGACTTACCTTTTGCAGGAGATTAATATCACATATCACAAAACAGACACGACTTCAAAAAGAATTACCTGCACTTTCGAAAACTTAAATTACAATCTTCTAGTATCTTGTTCTGATTAGTCATGTCTAGCACAGAGATTATGTAACTATTATGCCGAACAATTATAAATATACATAACAATTTGACCCTAGTTGAAAAAAGACACTGTTAAATATTGCACTTGTTGATTGAATTCAAGGAAACTTTGAAATCTACAATGTCAAGGCGGTCATTGCCTCTTTATCCAAGGGGATTCAATTTTCAGGGAAGAGCATTGCAAAAAAGGTTCGTCTCCACAGCTTATGAATCACAAATTTCCAAAGCTCGAGTTTCCTGCCTGGACTCACTCCACAAATATGATAAGTCTTCATATGTTTTATCAGCTTATATCCCCAAGCCAGCTAGAGACTACTTCATTGCCATAAGAGCATTCAATATAGAGATATCAAAGATTTCCAATAGTCAAGAGTCGCAAGTTAATAGGCAATTGAAATCTACAATTGGTGTCTCTTCAAATGATTTGAAATTCAAATTTTGGGAAGATCTCATCTTTAAAGTATTTCAAAATCCATATAGTGATCAAGTTATTGGAGAACCTGTTGCATTACTTATCAGAGATGGTGTAAGGAACGATTTCAATTTGACGCCTGATGGGTTTAATCAAATACTTTCTACAAGAAAAGATTTTTTATCAAGATCCTATTTCCAAAATGTTGATCAATTATCTTCATATGGTGAAGGATTACATTCACAATTAAACTACATGGCCCAGAATCTTATGCTCTCAAATCAGCTATCACCATCAACAATAAATTTGGTAGAGGAAAGTACTGAATTACAAGATTTAATTACTGAAATTTCAGCGCATTTAGGTCAAGCAACAGGTATCGCATCTTTAGTTATTGGTACGAAATATTATGCACAACACAAGAATCAAATTAATCTTCCAATTGATATAATGACAAAGTATGATCTATCACAAGAATTATTATTAAGGTTATTTCAAGGCCATGAAGCTGGAAATCCAAATGAAATTGAATCTAAATTGAAGGATGTCATTTATGAAACTTGTATTGGTGCCAATGATCATCTTATATCTGCGAGAGAAAAATTCAAGAAAGTCAAGAAAATCACCAGTGATATTATTTCTTCAACTGATGATGATTTGATCCTTATGAAATCCAAGAGTTGGAAGAGACAGATACCTGATTGTTTATTTGTACCGTTTATGACTTCAATTCCATTAGATGGTTACCTTTCACAGTTGGAACACAATGACTTTGATATATTGTCAAAAAAGATCGAAAATCCTTATTGGAAAATTGTTTGGAGATCATATTGGAATTACCAAAGAAGAATTCTTTGAATGATCTTTCACTTCATTATTTATTTATTTATTAGGATAGATCTTTTCTATCTCATACTTATTTATCCATATTTATTTATTTATTTATTACATATTCATTAACGTTTATCAGTACTGTTTTTAAGAACTTGATTATCACAAGCTGATTGCTTCCCATATTGGCATGGGCCTGATATCATCTATATAAAGCTGTTTCATCACAACATAATTTATATATATAATGTTAATTCGGGTACAGCAATAAACATTGGCGTAGATGTAAACTTAATTTTATATGTTAAATTTATAACAAATCATAAATTGAAGTGTGTATATAATATAGAAGATCGATGGAGTTATTTATTACGGCTTGTAATAGTTGTATTTAAAACTAATAAATACTCGTGAATATTAAACTATCTAACTCAGAAAGACTATGTACTCTTAACAACAATTCTATACTATATACAAAAACAAAACATATTAGATCATCTGCGCTTCAAAAATCTTTTATAACTTCTCTCAGAATTCAACTAGGAGCCAATGGTTCAATTTCAACTGCTAATTTTGATCTTAAACTTTCCAACACCACTAGACCTATTGTAGTTGCGGGTATTGTTGTAAGTGCATGTCTTCTAAATCCTCTATAAAGCCAATCATACCAACTTAGCTTTGAATTTGATTGAATAAACAATACATGCTCCAAAGTATCCAGGTATGTGTTATAGTAAATTGTCAACATCCTTGATCTGCTTTGTGGTTTCCCACCATTTGGCAATGCTGAGCCATATATATCAAATGCTTCTAATCTAGAAAGATGTATGCTCTGTATCTTGGTTAATGGATATTGAATCATTTGTAAAGAGAATGAGGCAGTCATACCAGCTAAAAATACGAATGATGTCTTTAGGAATTTGAATTTTTTCTCATTTTCACATTGTTTAATATACTCTTCTTTAGTCATTGTGAAATTAAAGGGACTCATAACTTTTTCTTTATAATATCTAAAATTTATCAATGAATCTCTTGCAAATCTAAATCCTTGGTTTTTTATAGTTTCGAATAAACAAAAATAAACTGCAAACCCTGTACTTTCTTTCAAAAAACTTAAAGAATAACCAGCGAAAACACCAGATACCCCAACTTCTCTTAATTTCTTCCATCCAAATTTCCATAAATTTTCATGTTGACCCTTTAATAATTCATTAGCAGATGATCTCGCATAAATTGCATCAATAGGAGCAGCTGCAATTGATTGGAAAGTACCTGCAACAAAACCTGCTCTAAAAGTATCAATGGGTAATGGATCTTCCAAAAAATTCTTTTTATCTCCATTGTAATACTGTAAGCTCATCAGATACGATGTATATAACACTACACCAGTGGCACTATTTGCAACTAATGGTGGTAGGACAGTATCAGGTATGAATCTCCAACCAAATTTCTTTATGGCAGATGTTAGCACTCCAATTGATGAATCTTTGTAGAAATTGTATGGTCTTTTTGTAGTCTGTTTCATTGAACCATGAACAAATAGTCTTGTAATTGCCATATAGTCAATTCTAGTTGGTCTGAAAAGCTTTGCTGGAGGGGTTCTTAAGTATATAGTGGTTAATTGATACATTAGAGCTCTTATACCTGCGGTACTAGCACCAATCAATCTCGATCCTTTATTTGATAATTCTGGTTGGGCAGTAGTATTTTCAAACTCATTCTCAAAGGAGGATCCTGTGAACTCATTTTCCAATGACATTTGTCACTCTTGAATGGCATCTACTGGCTTGATGATAGTTGGTTGGTGAGCTTCTATCTATGTGGTAATTACTTGAAAGTATTTTTACATACAGATGGATTTCGGTTTTAATTTATCTTGCTTAGTCATCGACATTACATCTTCTAATTAATGATAGAAGGTATATATTTTGATTTATTTGATAATTAGGAGTATTGATGACATGGTATACAATTAGAGTCTTCCTTCTAATGTCAGTTAGTTAGTCGTTGAACTAATTACAAATTATGACCCATTAATTATTTAGTCTAATATGTTAGATTTAAACTACATACTATATTTGACCAGTTCTTTTCAAATAGGCATTCCAACCAGCAGCTCTGTAACGTTCACCTTCAGCATTTGGATCTCTTCCTTTACCGAACAAACCTCTACCAACAATAATGATATCACTACCAGTTGAAACAACGGTATCAACGGATCTATATTGTTGACCTAAGGCATCACCTTTATCATCAAGACCAACACCTGGGGTCATAATTAACCAATCAAAGCCTCCATCTCTACCACCCATATCATTTTGAGCAATAAAACCAATAACGAAATCTTTATCAGTTTTAGCGATATCAACAGTTTGTTTAGTATATTCACCTTTGGCTAATGAACCTTTTGAACTCAATTCAGCCAACATCAACAACCCTCTTGGTTCATCAGAAGCTTCTTTAGCAGCTTCTTTCAATCCACTAACGATACCAGCACCAGTAACACCATGAGCATTTGTGATATCAGACCAAGTTGCAATTTTGAAAGCACCACCTGCATATTGTGCTTTGACTGTGTTCCCTATATCAGCAAATTTACGATCTTCAAAGATTAAAAAATTGTGCTTTTGTGCTAATTCTTTCAATGGTTTAATGGTACCTTCGAATGAGAAATCATCAATAATATCGATATGAGTTTTGACAAGACAGATATATGGACCTAATGTGTCAACTAATTGTAAAAATTCTTTTGTAGTTCTAACATCAATTGAAGCACACAAGTTTGACTTTTTTGATTCCATAACATTGAATAAACGCTTTGCCAATGGAGAAGGGTGAGCTTCTGCTCTTTGAGAATAAGATAATGTGGTAACCATTTTGAATTATATTATGTGCAATATATTGATGATGCTCTATCAATTAGAAGAAATTAGTTCAGTTAATATTTATCCAACTCATCGGACAAATTTATTCATAGAAGCGTGTCCCGTACAAGCTCTACTACAGCCAAAATCAAGCAACTATTTTTTTTCTTTGAGACACTTGAATAGACCATCCGATCTATGGGACGCCTAGTGTCTCTTTAAAGCTTGATATAATAAAGAACAGAGAACATAAAGAATTATTCACACTATAATGCTCAAATGAATCATAATTCCAATTGATTCCTGATTTTGTCCATATCGGGAATCTTTCCAAATTCGGATATTTATGATGTTTTGTTGACCAAAAAAAAATTTGAACCTTTTCGACTTCATTGAAAAATCAAAAAAGTACACTTTTGCCATTGAAAGACCTTTTGTACCTAATTGATCAGAACTACAAAGCTCAAATCTATATCAAATCAATCAAAATGGATCAATTAAACCAAAGAGAACAACAAGATTTCCAAAGAATCGTTGAAGGTAAACAAATGAAAGATTTCATGCGTCTTTACTCAAACTTGGTTGAACGTTGTTTCAATGATTGTGTTAATGATTTCACTTCCGCTTCATTAACTTCAAAAGAAAATACATGTGTTTTAAAATGTTCTGAAAAATTCTTGAAACACAGTGAAAGAGTCGGTCAAAGATTCCAAGAACAAAATGCTTTATTAACTCAACAAATGAGACGTTAAGGTTCAGATATTTAATAGGTGTATTAATCTTTTATTCTTGTTTGCTTAAAGAATTTAGATACAAAAAATTAAAAAATTTAGAAAAAAAAAATACTGTTAATGAATTTATTATCTCTCATATACTAGAAGTGAATTGTTTAAAGTCATGATGTTTATACAATTCTTTTCATTTCAATTTGTGGGTTCCCTTTGATTTATCTTTAGATGTTTTATTATTATGGTGAGATCATTTTAAAGAAAATGTGGTGATCTTACAAACCTTTTGTACATATTTCTCATGAATTTTATATTTTATACTATATTACAACTTTTATTTCAGTATTAAATTGTTTTAATATTATTGTCGTATTCATTAAATTTTTCTATAAACAATGATCCATTGCCACGTTTCTCATCAATTGTTTTCAGATTCTTTAAACAATTGGAGAAAATTATCAGTTTCAACTTGCATTTCTTTAGACCACTCGTAAACATCACTACCAGTCTTATTGTACATAATAGCATTAGCAAACATCAATAAAATATCTCTTTCCAATTGTTCACTGGTTTGAATTCTACCATCTTTTATCATTTGTCTAATTGTTTTCAAATCTCTTGGTTCTTTTATGATATCATAATAATCTGGTGCATTACTCTCTTGAACAGGTTGTGAAAAAGTTGAAGCATACTTATAAGATGAAATATTAGCGATCAATGGATTTGATAAGATTTGCAACTTCTTGTTAGGTGGTGCATGAATTGGACCCCCAGGACTAGATGGAACCTCTGGTATATTGTACTTAGTTTTCTTTTTTACTGGTGTATCTTTATCATCTTCATCTTTGACGGATTTTCTTCTTTTACCAGTTTGTGATCTGGTAGATCTCCTTTCAGTTTCTCCATTTTCTTCATCATCTTCTTCTCCACTTGAACTTTCATTGGACTTATGTTCTTCCTGTTCTGAATCATTGTCTTTTATAGAACTTTTACCCTTTCTTGGAGATAATCTGACTGATGATTTTCCAGATTTTGGCTCTTCAGTTGATTCTGGTTCCGGGGTTGTAGCTTCTGGAGTAGGAGCACGAAGATCATCATCTTCATCATCATCTATAACAACTACCGCATCATCTTGTGTTGTGTCTTTAATATTCTCAACAGCCTTTGTGTTTTCATCGTCAGTTTTACCTTTAACTTTATTATCAGTTTCGGTAATGGAGTTTTGCGTTGAAGTTTGAGTCTTATTTGATACTTGATTGGAACTATTGTTTTCTTTCTTTATAGGAATAATAGTTTGGTTGGCTTTGGGTTTATCAATCTTCACTGTATCTTTAGCTAACGCTTTGATTTGGGGAGCTGGAGAAGTTGGGTCTTGGGCCTGTGATGTGTTTGGTAATTGGTTAGAAGCCGGTGGTTGAGAAGCTTGTTGTGAAGGCTGTGAAACTTCATGTCGCTGTGGTTCTTGTGATAGTTGTTGCTGATTTTGGTGTATTTGGTTACTGTTCTGTTGGTGATTTAATGGTATATTTTGTGCTCTGTTTTGCTGACTTGTACTTGGTGCTCCTTTGATTGATGTTGAAGTTTGGGGAGAACCATGTGCTGTTTGCTCTACCTGTAGAGAAGAAAATGTATTCGGTTGTGTGATCTTCTGAAATTGTGTTTTTGACTGAGCTTGATAAGCTTGATTGATTTGATGCTGTGAATTCGGTGATGATTGTGGGTTTGTTGACAATTGACCTTGTTGTACACTGTTTGAGGGATTTGGAAGATTTGAAGCTCGATGTTGTATATTTTGTTGGTGTATCTGCTGATGTGCTTGTTGTTGGGTTGGTGTCTGTAGCTTTGGAGCTTCGCTTTGCTTGGAAGTTGGAGGTGATTGTATTTGTGCTTGTGGAGAAGTACTTGGTTTGATTTGCTGTACAGGTGGATACTGTTGTCTTTGTTGTTGTGGTTGTGATTGTGGTTGTGGTTGCAGTTGTAGTACTTGTGGTTGGGCCTGTTGTTGCACTTGTGGTTGAGCTTGTGATAGTGGTTGAGCTTGTGATTGGACTTGTGGTTGCGTTTGTGGGACCTGTGATGACTGTTTAGATTGTTGTGATTGTAATTGTTGTTGTTGCTGTTGTAATTGTTGTCTCTGAGCTAATGTCTGTCTGTGTTCTTGAATGATAACTTGATCTAATTCCCCCTTTTCAATCTGTATGATTTCTTTCAAAACTTTATCATGATCATCTTCAAAATCTCTAATTGATTCAACTGAATTCTCAATATATCTTCCAAAATGTTTATCAACTAATGCTTGGAAATCATTTCTAGTTAGCTTTATTTTGAAATTGTCATTGTTCGCAAGGATTTGGATATCTGATGACTGGAAAATTTTAGTGATAGACAAAATAACGTCTCTGATAGTCACCTTCGGTAGATTTGAAGCAGTTCTTCCGGGACTAATTTGGAGTCTAACAAGTTTGGCCAGAGGGTTGTTATTAATCACGGTTGTTATTTTCAACAAACTGATTGTCTCGTCTAGCGACTTGTAAACAAACGACTCGATCACTCTCAAGACAAGGATCCTGAAGGCCTCGTATTGGTGAAGAGGTACCACTTCTCTTCCTGACATGACCTTCTCTTGACAAAGTGCTTTGGTGACTAACCGCTTTAGCTTTTAAGATCTGGGATTCTGATTCCTGAATTCATTTGTTTTGATATTTTTAATTGACGTTTTCGTTCAAATTTTTGGTCAAAAAACGAAAAAATGTGTCCAAAGCAAATTGTTGACCTCCAAACAAAGACGCGAAATAGTTTGTAAAATTAAAAATACTAAAACACGTTAAATTCTATCAATTGACCATAATTATAAACAAAAGTGATTGAAATTATAGTTTATCAATAGACAAGACATTCACTGATAACATTACCCCAAAGATGTCACAAGGTATTGAACTACCCACTTACTTCCCAATCTCAGAACATGTTTTACCAGACTTTGAAGGATTAAGAAGCAATTCAAATGCTTTGAATGAATTAAGAGAAACACAATCTGAAATTTTGAAAGCTGCTAATACATATTTTGAATCACTATTCCCAGAGGACTCTAGTGTACAATGGAATGTTGAAGAATCAGGAAATGTTGAAATCATCAAGTCACTTTTGGAATCTTTTGAAAAATTGAGTAGAGCTCAACAACAAACTAAATTTTACAACGATGTATTTGAGACAACTAGATCTGCAGTGAGGAATAGAGCCAGAAATGAACCAGAGTTATCATTGAGAAACATAGATATGTATAAGAAGGCAGATCCTGATAAAAAATCATTTTCACAATTATTAGAAGAGAGATTATCAAACCCGCCAACTTTTAAAGTTAATTCAAATAATCCAGATTTTATATTTTTGAAAAATGCGACCTTTGTTATTGATCATCCATTAGATCCCTTACCGGATGAAGAAGAAGATGACGATTTACAAATTGGTGGTGGTAAAATTGATCTAAAATGTCCAATCTCAATGAATATTTTTGAATCTCCAATGTTAAGTAAAAAATGTTCACATACAATTGATCAAAAGAGTCTTTTCGGTATCTGGAAATCACCTAACTCTACAGAAGATTGTCCAATTTTGGGTTGTTCCAAAACATTAAGAAGAGCAGATTTTGTTCCAGATAGATTGATGGCTTTAAGAGTTAAAAGTTATAAGGCGCAACAAGAGAGATTGGAAAATGCTGAGGATTATGATAGGCTAGAATAATTTAATTAACACCATTTGTATGCTAATAATAATGAACTTTCGCCTTATAGTAATTGTAGTTGATGTTGTAAATTAAATGTTAAAAGTTGTTCAATTATGGTCAAATTGGCCCAGAGTGTATAATTTCCTTTTTCGGAATTTTCAGTGATTTTTAACATCTGAAAAATGAATCAAAATTTAGTAAATTATTGTGTCTGTCTACAGTAAACTGGTCCATTAATTCGATTAATAGCCTATACCGGGATGTTCAGAACTGTTAGGCCCTCTAGAGTGAGCAATATACACCAACAAATAAGGTGTCAATCAACTTTACCTCCCTCAATAAAATCGTTATTTAAAAATCCACCGGACATTGACTCAAAATTAACAATCAATGGGTACATCAAATCTATTCGTCAATTGAAAAAAATCGCATTCCTTGATCTTTCAGATGGTAGTCATCATGATAACCTTCTGTGTGTTTTATCGCCTGATCAAATCAATGGTTTAAAAACAGGACAATCTATTCAATTAACCGGATCTTGGATCAAATCTAAAGGTAAAGAACAAGCTTATGAATTTAAAATCTTATCTGGTTTAGATAATGTCAAGCTAATTGGTGATGTCAGAGAAGATTTTCCGCTACAAAAGAAGGCACACACGCTGCAATATCTAAGGACTTTGAATACATTACGCTGGAGAACATCATATCTATCTTCAATTCTAAGATTTAGATCATTTGTTGATACAAAACTTCATGAATTTTTCCAAAAAGAAAACTTTTTCAAAACAAACCCACCTATTATAACAGGCTCTGATTGTGAAGGAGCTGGTGAACTTTTCCAAATTGAATCCAAAAGTGTTTTAGATGACTCAAAAGATCAAAGTCCATTTTTTGGCAAAAATGCATATTTGACTGTTTCTACACAGTTACACTTGGAAGTTATGAGTGCTGCTTTAGGTAATGTTTGGACCTTGTCACCAATTTTTAGAGCTGAAGCTAGTGATACAAATAGACATTTAAGTGAGTTTTGGATGTTGGAAGGTGAAATGCCATATGTGGAAGATGTTCATCAAATAACAAGATTTACTGAAAAAATGATAAAACACGTTGTTAAAGAACTGGTCAATGATGCTGACCAAGCTGGAACAAACTTGATTAAAGGTAATAAATATTCAGAGGAAGCTGGTTCCAAATCTATGACCCTACAAGAAAAATGGAACCTTTTATATGAGAATGAATGGGCCTCCATAACGTACAAAGAATCATTAGAGATCTTGAGAGCTTCCGGAAAGGAATTCAAACATCTGGTCAAGTATGAAGATGGACTAGCCACTGAACATGAAAAATGGTTAGCTGGTGAATATTTCAAATCACCAGTTTTTGTCACTGATTATCCTAAAGAAATGAAACCATTTTATATGAAGGAAAATCCAGATGGTGAAACAGTTGCATGTTTTGACTTATTGGTCCCTGAAGTTGGTGAAATTATAGGTGGATCCTTAAGAGAACACGACTTGGAAAAGCTAACTTCTACTATAAATGAAAGAAATATGAAGATTGATGAATTAAAGTGGTATTTATCATTGAGAGAAAATTCTACCGCACCTCATGGTGGGTTTGGTTTAGGATTTGAAAGATTAATTTGTTATTTAGCTAATGTGGAGAATGTGAGAGACGTTGTTCCGTTCCCTAGAAGTCATGAAGAGTGTTCTTCTTGATCGGATTGTATATATTCTATAAGTTGACTAAATATACTGTACATATTTAAATCACAAACAGGTTTTAGTAGTTGAAATTTCACGATCCGAGACTCCTAATAACTGTGCATCCGTGGCGGGCCGGTGCCTTTTTCCGCCCCAGATTTTTCGCAAGTGAGGAAACTATTTAAAACGATTATAATCTTGACCAGTTACTAACATAATGGATCGCATGAATTGATCTATTACCAATTACCTGATCTTCCCACTTAAAAAATGTCTTCAGGTGCTAAACTAATTGCAAAAGTTCTCAAGAAACTAGGTGTAACGACAGTATTCGGAATAGTTGGAATCCCAATTGTCGAAGTTGGTGATGCTTTGATTGCAGAGGGGGTTAAGTTCATAGCATTCAGAAACGAGCAAGCTGCTTCGTATGCTGCTTCTGCTCATGGATACTTGACTGGAAAACCAGGTGTACTTCTTGTGGTTGGTGGTCCTGGTGTTGTACATGCTGCTGCTGGTATTTTCAATTCCAATGCTAACCGCTGGCCTTTATTAGTTTTGGCTGGATCTTCAAGTATTAATGATGTTTCTAAAGGTGGTTTTCAAGAGCTAGATCAAATAAGTTTTTTGAGTCCATATACAAAATTTAGTGGTAGACCTCTATCAATTGATCAAATACCATCTTATTTATTCAAGGCTTACAAAACCAGCTTTTTTGGTGTTCCTGGTTCAACATATATTGATCTTCCTGCTGATTTAGTCGAAGGTGAACTTTCGGAGGAAGAAGAGCAACACTTATTGAAAAGTGTCAGTCAGTTGTCTATTAAAGACATTCCAACGTTTGTCCCACCAAAGAACCAAATTTTACAGATCGCAAAAACTCTACATAATGCTAAATCGCCTTTGATAATAGTGGGTAAAGGTTCTGCGTATTCAGGTGCATCATCAGCTATTACAAACTTTGTTGAAACCCATAAAATTCCATTTTTACCTACCCCTATGGGTAAAGGTGTTGTGCCAGATGATTCATATCTTAATGTTTCTTCTGCTAGGTCAAAAGCTCTTAAATCTGCTGACGTGATAATACTTCTAGGTGCAAGATTGAATTGGATTTTACATTTTGGTGAAGCTCCAAGATTTAAAGAAGATGCTATCTTTATACAAGTTGACCAGTCACCAGAAGAGGTTGGTAATAATTCATCTTTATCGATTTCATATGGTTTAGTTGGTGACATATCATTAGTTATCCAAGAACTTAACAAACATATTAAATCAAGTTATACTGCACCACCAATAACAGATGATATCAAGCAAACTATTGAAAAGAATAATAAGTCTCTTGAAGCTAAGGAAAACAAACATAATAACCAACTAACATACCAAAACGTCTACAAAGTTATTCGTGGCTTAATTAATCCAATTGAGAAAAATACAGTGCTTGTATCTGAAGGGGCAAACACAATGGACGTTGCTAGGATATCATTTCCACAAAACTATCCAAGGTTGAGATTGGATGCAGGTACAAATGCCACAATGGGGGTTGGATTAGGTTATGCAATTGCTGCCAAAGCTGTACACCCTAATAAGCATGTGGTTGCAATCGAAGGTGATTCAGCTTTTGGGTTCTCTGGTCTTGAAATTGAAACTGCTGTGCGAGCACATTTACCAATTATTATTGTTGTTATGAATAATAGTGGTCTCTATAAAGGCATTGATACTTCTAAACATTCATATGATGATTATAAGAGTCTGCCTTCAACTGCGTTGAGCAAAGAAACGAGATATGATCTATTAGCTCAAAGTCTAGGTGCACGAGGTATCTTGGTGAAGACAAGTCAAGAAGTCCATGATGCATTTTCACAAGCATTAGAAAATTCAACAAAAGGCGAGACCACCATTCTTAACGTGATTATATCTCCTGGTGAGCAAAAGAAAGTTGGGTTTGGCTGGCAGAATAAGAAAAAGCAAGTCAAGCTGTGATTATTATAGCAATTTAAAATAATACATATCTCATTATAGGTCATAATATCATCTAAGTACATCATCACTGTAATTTTACTCGATTTTTACAAAGTACTTTATCACTAGCAAATAAATTTATTGTATTACCTATATGTAAAATTAAAAAAGTGGCCAGATGAATGATTTTAATCATCCTTATGACCTGTAAACTTATCAAATGCATCTTCAACATCTTCAACAATATCTTCAATTCCCTCTCTCAAATCTTCACCTAAGTCTTTAAAATCCTCGCCGAGGTTCTCAAAGAATCCCTTATGTTTGGAAGGTTTTGGTTCTTGAGATTTTGTATTTTCAGTGTGAGACGGTTGTTCTTTGTGTTTACTTTCATCCTTCGGTTTTGGTGTTGGTGTTGGTGTTTGTTTCGACTTTTTAGTATGATCTCCATCCTTTGCTGTATCAGTAGGCTTTTGTTTACTTTCTTGTTTTGAATGATCATTTGTCTTGGACGTTTTGTGTGCCTTTGCTGGGGATTGCAAGGTTGTGGTATCTTTTGCTTCTTCAACTCTGAACAATTTATCATACGTTGGATCATGTTTCAGAATACCACCAATATCAAAATTGACACCTGGATAAACAAATTTATCTTTCCAGCTCTCCTCAAGTTTATTATCTATACTGAAAATATTTGTAGATCCGTTGTTAATTGCAGGTTTAAGATTCAAAGTTTCACATAATATATTATAAACTTCAATATTTTTAAAAGGGCGAACTTTAGTTTCAACATTATCAAACTTGGACTTGAAGTATGGGCCAGTGCCCAAAAAGATAGCTCTCATCAACACTTCTGTGTTGTTATAACCATGCACACCCTTTGGGCTATATTCACCATTTTTTCTTTCCATATCATCATGAGATGTTATAGCATAACCAACATCAGGAACAACCCATATAGGTGCAATTCTGTCGGTATACTGGTTAACCTTCTTGCCGCCAAAATTCCATTCCTTTGGTAAGTCTTCCCTTAAATAAAATGAGTAACCAGAATTATCGTGATAAGTTGCTTTCAAATCATTGTGAAGTTCTTGGGCAGTAACGTTTGGAATTGGTCTCAATCCAAACAAAGGCCACCCATCATGATGCTGGACTTTCTTGATATCAATCAAGTCATCCAAATAAATCAATCTATCATTTGAAGTGGGTGCCATACCGTGATCAGAGACGAATACTAAATTCACAATATCTGACGCATTTCTATTGGCGATACCTTGGGTTAAGTTTTTGACAAATGAATCGACATACTTAAGCTCTTCCTCTAGCTTCTTTCCTTTTATTCCTGTCTTATGGCCAACAGTGTCAATATTTGGAACGTATCCAATAATTAATTGTGGTCTTTCCTTGAAATCTTTGTCTATCCATTCAAGGATTCTATTGGATTTAACTTCAAGAGTTTCAGTCTTGTTAAATCTATCAACGATTGACGGATTCTTGTTTCCTTTTTTGAACTTTACCTCACTACCTGGAAACATGTGAATAGCAGAGCGAACACCTTGTGATTCTGCAGTAGACCAAATAGGTTCTCCACCCCAGAAAGAAGGATCAAGGGATTTGTCAGGAAGAATATTAACAAACTCACGTTGTGAATTTGAATCAAAAAATGTATTTCCAACAATACCATGAGACTCGGGGTATAAACCAGTTGCAATTGTCCAATGGTTAGGAAATGTTGATGATGGGAATGATGGTATCATATATGGAGGACCATAACCTTTTTGTAAGAAGCTGTGTAAAGTTGGAGTCAATGATGATGAAATATAGTGTGGATGGAAACCATCTAGCGAAATCAATATTGTAGTTGGATAAAATAAATCAGTCCCGTTTGATAGCGTTTGCCTTATGACTTTATCAGACCCTGATGATTTTCTTGATAAAAGCACCGAAAGCACAACTACTGTAACCAGCAACGCAAATATAAGCAGGTACGAAAGGTATTTCTTTAAAAAATCTAGCCAGGTTAATCCTTCATCTTTGACTATTCCAAGATCAGTGAATGAATCCACATCGTAATTAGTATCATTAAATTTGTCAAGCTCTATACCTGTATTTGGCAGTCTACCATAACCCTTAGAGAAAACATTTTTGAGCTTATCAATCCCGTTAGATATCCAGCTGTTTTTGTTACCACTCAGAGGATTTGAATCACCATCTAAATTGAACTCATCGCGTAGTGTGTTGATATTTGTGTCAGAATCATCTCCTAAAAAATCATCTTCATCTTCATCTAAATCTTGAATAGGAGTGTCTATAGGGAATCCACCAGACATAATTGAAAGAAGAAAATTTTATGTAGCAATGAAAAGAGAAATCTCGGTTCAATTTCAAGTTTAATAAAAGATAATTAGTGGTTGATTTGTTGACTTCAATTTTAGTATCAATTAATGAAAACATAAGTTTATAGATAAAATGTAATTCGCGGTTTTTGTGGATTAAGTTTACCTAATAGATTATATAATACAGCTTTTCAATTGAAATTTACCCGGGTATTAAATTCTGGAGAAATTCGCGGGTGCATATCGTACTGGGGAACTTCTAATCAATCAACAATAGACAATTCTTAAAAGTCCATAAGAGCTCGAGATCAAAACAGTTCAAGTGGGTAATTGAGTGAAGGTGTCTGCGTCATGATGAGATCCATACGGACCATTCCCATTACTGGTCTTCGGATACGGTATATTCGTTATTTTTCAGCTAGTGTGAAGTTAAGACAAAGTATCCCCAGTCTACATGATTCAAAAAAAAGTAGCATGATTAATATTAATTTTCCATTTTTGAAGGACAAAACTGATATAATCAAAACGTTGCATAAAGATCCAAAGTTACCATTCAATGTTTCACGTGATGTATTGAACTTTCCATTGTTTACAGCTGATGAGATTGACAAAGTATCTGGTGTGTGGATACGGTATTTTGGAAGTGGTGATGAATATGATCTCATAACACAATTAAAAGAAGTGAGAAGTATAAATGACTTTTGGCTCATGACAGTCAAAATCTCATTAACAGATAGTTTGTTTATGGATAAATTGATAACTATCATTAAATCAGGAAGCATAGAAACATTCATACAACAATCCTCGATACCGTTATCTGAAACTTTAGTTGCATCTTTAATAAACGCACAGAGATTTGATACTGCTTATTATGTGTTCCGGGATTTGTTAAAGCATTCTAAAGCTGTCAACTGGGAACCAATATTCAATGTCTGCTTAGTATCTGAAAACTCACATTCCTTGAAAACATTGATGCTCATTCATGGTGAGGTTGAAAACAATTTCTATAAGAGGTTAATTCCACATTTATTCAAATTGAAACTTAAAGATCACTATATACACAAATGGAGCAGTGTGCTCATATCTTATAATGATTTTCCAAAAGATTCAAGTGCCCCTTTAAATCCAGTTTTTAAAAGTATATTGGAAACATCAAATCTAAGATCTTTAGATAATTGCATTCCCAAATTAGCTAAATCTATCGAAAATCCAGAAAAATGGTTGGACCAAGAAACAATCAAATTATTTTCACAATATATCATTGTTTCAAAAGATTCAGAAGGAAAACTCTCAAAGGTATTGAACACTTTTGGAACTCAGGTTTTTGAAGTTGAAGAATTCTGGCTACCATTTTTTTACAAAACAAACATTCAAACATCAACACTCAAGACATTCATGAAAAAATGTAACATTGATTCAAGCAGATCCCAAAATATATCTGAAGCTCTTGATCATAGACTTTTCAAGGAAGATCCTGATAAATTTTTGGAGGCCTTTAATTCAAAATTGGACGGAAAAGCTTCATTGGCAACATTTGGTGATTCCCTAAAGCTTCTAAAGATACATTTACAAAAGTCAGATAATTTTGAAATGGCATATGAATTCGCCATACATATGATTGAGAAGTTCCCTAGATATTCAGAAATTACAGCATCAACCTATTTGACAGAATGTATGAAATTTTATAAAGGGGATCAAAAGCTTAGAGAGACATTACTCAAGTTTGAAAATTTCATTTTGGAAAATAAGTTATTGGAAAATCATTCCAAGATTACAGGGGCTTTGATATATATGAATTTGAAACTTTCAAGATTTGGGAGAGCAATTGAGGATATCAAAACTCTTATAAGTAGTGATCAAAAAATTGATCAAAGAACTATTCATCATTCATATGAAACTTTGAAAAGAAACCATAGAAATATACCAAATGAACTTATTGATAAAGATGTCAGTAATACAAATGAATTTATTTTGAAGCTCGTGATAAAAATGTCTGCTAAATGCCCAAATATAAGTCCAATTACTTACAACATTTTGCTTCGTGATATTGTTTGGGTATTCAATCATCAAGACTCAAAATTAATTCTAAATGAAATTGTTGATTTTCTGAAAACAAGACAAACATCAAATATAAGTTCAAATAATGAAGCTCATATCTTGAAGAAAATCTTTGATAAAGAATTGATAAGTGATATAATCAAAAAAGGCTTTAGGAATCCAAAAGAACCGTGGTGTGGAATAACTGTAATCAAAGAGCTACAAGAGAAGGGGGTCCATATAGAATATTCAAGAGTTAAACGTGAATGTTTAAATTACCTAGACTCTTTGAGTTTAGTAACTACAGATAGAGCTCAAAATAAAGTACCATGGATTAAGCCGTCTATTGGTGCTCTTCCAGCTGTTGATCATAATCTATTTATGTCAAAAGTTAACGAAATGATTGAATTACCCAATATCACGACGTCGACTAGGTGATCATGACGTCTTGTGAATATCTAATTCTAGTATTAACGTCGTTACTAGTAACTATTTATTAAGTACAGCTAGCTGCCAGGCTAATATTTACTAACGATTTATTAACTATTTATTTATTTATTTATTCTTATTTATTTATTTATTTTGAACTATTCAGTTATATATAACTACGAACATATATCTATTCGTTATTTAATTATATATACATATTTATTAGAGTGATCAACCAGCTTTATTTATTGGTAGCTGATAATAGAAATATCATATATCCGGTTATATCCGGCCAAAATTGTTAATTTTTTTTGGAGCGTTCACTTTTTATCGAAAATTAAACAAAGAAAATTATAGATCCCGAAGAGCTCTCTTGTTCAAACAAGCGAAAAAAGACGTTTGTTCGTGAAGAAGACCTATGAAATTAGGCAATTGAATCTCAGAGATATATAAACAAGGTCCGAATTCTTCAAAATCAAGTTCTTTTCAACTCAATTCCATAAATCACGCTTCAGATAACTTGTTGTTGTTTATTATTTATTATAGTGGTTAACTGATAAGACATTAACATGCATTCACATCACAGTCATAGTGGTGATTATGTTGCACATGCGCAAGATACATTAGAATCAATAACTCAAAGAGCAATAGATATGGGTTTTGAAACGTTTTGTTTAACTGAACATATGCCTAGATTAGACAATAAATTTTTATATCCAGAGGAAGAAGAACAAAACTTTAGTATTTCAACGTTAGAAGATAAATTTTTGAATTTTCATAAACATGCTATCGAACTACAACAAGATAAGATACAACAAGGCTCAAAGACAAAATTTTTAGTTGGATTAGAAGTTGAAGGTATAAATGAAGCACATATTGATTATACGGTTGAAATCTTGAGTAAACATCATTTTGATATGACTGTTGGCTCTGTTCATTTTGTGAAAGAATTCCCAATTGATTATGGTAGACCCAAATGGGAATCTGCTAGAGATGCAAGTGGTGGATTACGTGGATTATTCAAAGAATATTATGCATTACAATCAAAAGTATTAACAAAATTGAAACCTTTAATTGTTGGACATTTTGATTTAATTAGATTATTCTCTCACGAAGATGATTTAGATGAAACTACTGGTAAGTTTTTGAAAGATATTGTTATTGAAAATGATTGGCCAGAAGTTTGGGAACAAATAGTGGAAAACTTGAAATTTATCAAGTCATATGGTGGTATTTTGGAATTGAATAGTGCTGCTATAAGGAAGGGATGGAGTACACCATATCCAAGAACTGATATTACCAATGCTGCCGTCAAATATGGTGGTGGTCGTTTTGCCCTAAGTGATGATTCACATTCAATTGCACAAGTTGGGTTAAATTTCCATAAAGTCAAAGATTATATTGTTAACGATATCAAAGTTGATAGTATTTTTTATCTGGATTTAGAAGATGGTAAGACTGTTATTAAAGAGAAGTCTATCAAAGAATTCACAGAGAGTAGTTTTTGGGAACAGTATAAATGAGCTGAATAGATGTAATAGTAATAGTAATAGGTTTTATAATGAATTCATATAGAATGTATTCAATTCGATCATTTAATTAGATGCAAATCTAACTAAAGTACGACACGAAAAAATTATCAGCCCGATTGAAATCTCTTCGCATATCGTGATCTTAGCTTTTTAGCGTTTCGATCATCAATTGTCTATGGCTGAATCTGTAATCAACTACTCAATTAGCTTTCATGTGGTGGATGCCCTAACTTCTTGTGAGTGTCGATCTTACTGAAGCCCTGTCAGGCTAGAGCTATCCAGGGCTCTGTGCTACTTTGAAATAGTGGATTCCTGTCTGTTTAAGCTATAGAATTTGCGGTATTAAAACTTTTCCTCATCGATGAACCAAAAGTAAATAAAACTAAGTCGCGAATTACGTCAAGCATAATTAATTTTAAAATCACCAATGCCAGTTTTTACTCGTTCTACAAATTCCCATCAAAACTGAGCTGCATCTCTTCAGTAAAAACCAAACCACCTGGTAATTAATGGTCCACCAGCTGCTTAAAAGTGATCAGATGGAACTATCCAATGAGAGCAAAACAAAAGTTTTCATGTTGAGGCAAGATTGGGCCTGTTTGAAAGGGCGTCGCCGTCTCGCCTATCAAACTTGGACCAATTCGCTAAACAGGTACCACTACACTATAATTTTAATGGCATGTGCTAATGAAATCATTGGGAAGCGCTATTCAATTGGACAATAGGATGGACAAAGAAGTTCTGGACAATAGGCAATGCTGTTTAGATGCTTATTTGGGCTGTTTCACATTGGGTTTTCATTGGTATTCATTGGTTTGCATGGGTTTTGGTGGTCCTTTTTTTGGTGATGGAGATCTCTATTCGTTGAGCGGTTAGCCAGATGGTCAATCTTACAACGAAAATGGCACTGGTTACGAGTAAATGGGACTGTGACTGCTGTTGATTTCCACATTCACCTTTTGGCTATCTCGAGAGGGTACTGTATTGAAGAAGTATATAAACTTCACAAGATGCTGCTGTTTTCTTGATATTTCTTATTGATTTTCTACATTATTGACTCTTTGTCGTTTGAATTTCTGTGGTTTTTTGTTGAATAATGGGTTCTTTGAAAGAAACTACAATCTCTAAGTGGGATACTGATATCTCAACTGAGTTAGATCTCGAAGCTGGTGCTGGTGTCAATTCAAACATCAGATTTGTTGAAGGTTGGGATGAAAGAGGTAGACAATTATCAAGAAATGTGAATCGTCCATCAAGTTTGAGTCGTCGTATTAGTATGGCTTCTATTGAAACTTCACTTTCAAGAACAAAAGTTGAACCAAATGTTGCATTACCTCCTATCTTCAAAACCATTTCTTATAGAGTTGAAGATGATCAATTGAGTGTTCATAAGAAAAAACAAAATAAAACTGAGACTTCAGTTCAAAATTTTAAAGAAACTACGTGGCATGTGAAAACCATTGATGAAATTGCAAATTCATTATCAACAGATCCTTTTAATGGGTTAACAACTGAACAATTTGAAAAGAACTTGAAAATTTTTGGTTTCAATCAACATACTCCACCTAAAACAAATTGGCTGAAAAAAATATTTATGTATTTCTTTGGTGGTTTTGGTTCTTTACTATTAATCGGTGGTATTTTGTGTTGTATTTCTTGGAAACCGCTAGGAAATCCAAATCCTGCTGTTGCAAATTTAGCTTTGGGTGTTGTTTTATTTCTTGTTTTCTTTTTACAAGCTGGTTTTAACTTTTGGCAAGACTTTACATCTTCAAGGGTTATGAACTCAATTAATGGTATGTTACCAAGTGATTCAAATGTTAAAAGAGACGGTCTTAAAACAATTGAAGAGGTTAAAAATTTAGTTTCTGGTGATTTAATATTCATAAGTAATGGTGATAGATTACCAGCTGATGTTAGATTTGTTTCAATTGAAGGTAATGATTTTGCATTTGATAGATCTATTTTAACTGGTGAATCCAAACCAATAGTTGCTTCTAAAGATCCAGATGAAAAAGGTTCAAATTATCTTGAAAGCTCTTGTATTGGGTTACAAGGTACTTATTGTGTTGGTGGTTCAGGTTATGGTATAATTGTTTCCACTGGTGATAATACTGTCTTTGGTAAAATTGCTAAGTTATCATCAGAACCAAAAAGTGGATTATCTCCATTACAAAAGGAAATTTTAAGATTTGTCTTTTTAACAGTTTCAATTGTTATTACCCTTATTGTTATATTATGTATCATTTGGGGGGCTTGGTTAAGAAAATCATATCCAGATTGGATTCCAGTATCAACTTTAATTGTTGATTTAGTTTCTGTTGCTGTTGCTTTTATCCCTGAAGGTTTACCAATTGCTTTAACAACTTGTTTAATCATTACTGCAGGTGCAATGAAGAAGAATAAGATTTTATGTAAATCATTATCAGTTGTGGAAACTTTAGGTTCTGTTAGTACAATTTGCTCAGATAAAACTGGTACTTTAACCAAAAATAAAATGTTCGTCACAAGTTATTCAGTTGGTATCGATGAAATATCTGAAAATGAAGCTAGTCAATCAAATGATGTATCCGCAGATGATTTAAGTGTCGAAGGTGACGTTTCGGTTGAAGATGGAAAATCCAAAGATTCATCAATTGGTTTAACACAATTATCAAGAATTTCCAAGCTTTGTAACTCTGCTTCTTTCAATCCAACAACTATGAATAAACCAATAAAAGAAAGATTGATTACAGGTAATGCAACTGATCAGGCAATTTTAAGATTTGGTGAAGAACTAGATCCAGATCATGATTTATATCAAGAGTGGACACAAAAGGCTGAAGTTTCATTTAATTCCAAAAATAAATTTATGATTCGTTTATTTGAAAAATCAAATGTTCAATTACAACATTTACAACTATTCATCAAAGGTGCTCCTGATATTTTATTACCAAAATGTTTATCTTACCAAAACCAAGATGGTGAAGTTGTACAATTAAATGATGAATCATTGCTTCAAATTCAAAATTTACAAAAATCATGGGCTATGAAAGGTCAAAGGGTTGTTTTGTTAGCATATAAACCAATTCATGTTTCACGCTTTGCCAATATTGAATTTTCAAGTAAAATTGCACATGATAAATTGATGGAAGAATCAGAATCTGGTTTAATCTTATCTGGTTTAGTTGGTATTACTGATCCTCCAAAAGATGATATTTTTGATGTTGTTACCACTTTAAAAGGTGCTGGCATCAAATTTTGTATGGTTACTGGTGATTTTGAATTGACTGCTGTTGCAATTGCTAAGATGTGTAATATCTTGACTACAGATGAAATTGCTAATGTCAATTCATTAGATATTAATTATCCTGTTATGGATCCATCAAAGACAAAACTTTGTGATCGTGTTGAAACTGAAGGTGCAATTTCTATTAGTGGTCCTTCATTGAATTTTTTGAATGAAAATCAATGGGAACATTTAACAAGTTTTGAACAAATTGTATTTGCAAGAACAACACCAGAACAAAAATTAAGAATCGTGGAAGAATTTCAAAAGAGAGGACATATCGTTGGTATGACTGGTGATGGTGTTAATGATGCGCCATCTTTGAGACAAGCTGATATTGGTATTGCAATGGCTGAAGGATCTGATATTGCCAAAGAAGCTTCAGATTTGGTTTTATTGGAATCATTTTCTTCAATGGTTACTGCATTAAAATATGGTCGTTTAGTCTTTGAGAATTTGAAAAAGACTGTTGTTTATTTATTACCAGCAGGTACTTATGGTGAATTATGGCCTGTCTTATTGAATGTTATTTTTGGTTTACCACAAGTTCTTTCATCATTTTGTATGATTATTATTTGTTGTTTAACTGATTGTGCAGGAGCTATTACATTGGCTTATGAATCACCTGAAAAAAATTTGTTGGAGAAAAAACCAAGAAGTATTACAGGTAATAGATTAGTCAATCTCAATTTATTATTACATTCATACTTCACTGTTGGTACTTATTACTGTTTTGTTGCATTTTTGATGTCATTTTTATATTACAGAGAAAAGGGAATTCCATTTAGTGTTCTATCGTTATCATATGGTGAATATCCTGCAAATTACAGTGCAGATAAGATTAGTGAATTGACAAATACTGTATCGTCAATCTATTTCATCACATTGGTTATCATGCAATTCTTCAACTTATTTGCTACCAGAACGAGATATTTAAGTGTTTTCCAACAAAAGCCAATTTTCGATAAAACTACATCTAATTATCCAATGTTCATTGCCATTGTTTTCGGTTTAGCCGTCACTTTTTTCTTCAACTATATTCCATGGTTTCAAAATGTGTTGAATACATCACCAGTTCCAGCCAAATTTTACTTTATTGCGCTTGGATTTGGTGCAGTTGTTTTGATTTATGATGAATTGAGGAAGTTTACCATTAGAAAGTATCCTAACTGTTTATGGGCAAAAGTGGCTTGGTAAAAAAAGTATAGATATTAGATTCACTTCTATATAATAGATACATATTCTGCTGTTATTGAAATTTTAATTGTAGCTTAATATCCTGGTTTTCAATTCCAATCGTAATCTTATCAATGATTCAAATGACTCAAAATCCTGGCTATATGCCCACGGGGTTTCGCGGTAATTGGTGTGTGGGTGTGACTGATCCTTCTGGCCTAAAACAAATCCTTAAAAAATCTTTTGCTATAAACATGATCATACGTTTGTGACATTTCAATCAATCCAAAACAATCACCATCATCAGCCGGTTTAAAGATAGTTACTCAACTTAACAAGTATTATTGCCCTACAGTGCACATTCAGGTCCTTGTTTTTGTTGAAATTTGCCGATAGTTGTTCTTATCACAGTGCCGATATAGCAGATATTTCTCGCCTTCCAATTGTTTTTGCTCCAGAATTTAAGATCATTTAATACTCTTTTGAAAGTACAATTTTAATATAATTATACTCTGATAAAATGGCACCAACTCCTTCCAAATACCAGGGATCTCCATTTAGACAACCAAGCAGTCCTCAGCCACATCACTCAAGTACAAGACAATCCTCAATAGTAGAACTGTTATCTACTCCTCCACCTTTAGATGTCAATGAAAATGACATTGAGCAACCAAATTCTTTGAATCTGTCAAGAAACCCTTCACAATCATCAACATCTTCATTGAACACCAATTCTACTAGTCAAACGAGGGATCCAAAAGATTGGCAAGAAATTAGATTAAATGAATTAATTGAAAGTGCAAAATTAATCTTTATCAAATCAGAATTGGCCGTAGAGGAAGCTTTCAAGGTGCTTACTACCCATAATTTAACTTCATTGCCAGTTGAAGAATATGATGATGATGTTAATTGCCTGACTTTTGATTATACAGATTTAAATGCTTATTTACTTTTGGTATTGGGAAAATTATCTGTCAATGAACAAACATTTGCACAAAACCCATATTATAAAGACCTGGAAGAAATCAAAGGACTTATTGAAAAAGCTAAACGAGGTCAACAAGTTCCAGTGAAATTCGTTTGTCAATTAACTCCAAAGAATCCATTTTACAAATTATCAGAATCTGAAAATTTATCTACAGTTATGGAAATTCTTGGATCTGGTGTTCATAGAATTGCTATAACGAACGAATCATCAACCAAAATAACTGGTATTCTGTCACAAAGAAGATTAATAAAATATTTATGGGATAATGCAAGAAGATTTCCATCTTTGGAACCAATTTTCCAATTTCCAATCTCTGAATTAAATATTGGTAATTCAAAAGTCATATCAATTTATGGTGATGAACCTTTAATTAATGCTTTGGTTAAAATGAATGTTGAAAAAATTTCATCAATTGCAGTTGTTGACCATCATATGAATTTACTTGGTAATATTTCAGTTACTGATGTTAAACATGTTACTAAATCATCACAATCACATATTTTACATAAAACTTGTCTACATTTTATTTCAATAATTTTAAATCTGAGAGGTTTAGAAGATGGGAAAGATTCATTCCCAATTTTCCATGTTTATCCAACTTCATCATTGGCAAGAACAATTGCTAAATTGGTTGCTACTAAATCACATAGATTATGGGTTGTTCGTCCATTACATGGATCAAATTCCAATTCTTCAGGTTCAACACCAACTGGTGCTTCCGTTTCTGGTACCTTAGAATCTAATCCATTAATACCTGAACATGAAGGTAGAGCTGGTAAATTGATTGGTGTTGTTTCATTAACAGATATATTAGGTTTGATCGCAAGAAGACATGGTAAATTTCATGTTGATCCAAATCAAGCAAGAAAACAAAGAAGAAGATCATCATCTGCTTCAACAAGATCATCTGCTTCATATGAGCAATTTAGAAGATCAATTAGTGGGGCATCAGATTTAAGATGATCTGAAGAGAATTAAAGGAAGAAAGGGGAAATTAATTTATATCATATGTATTTATGTATCTATTTAATGGGACAAAAACCAAATATCACAATGTACAATATATTGTCAATTGTTGAGAATTAATGAAAGATGGACAAACTGTATATATAATAACGGACATTTCATGATTCACTCACTTGGTGTAGACATCAATGCTAGATTTCACTCACGAATTGAACGTGATCTAGCAAACTATTACAGTTATATATCATGATTTTAAAGATTGGTATAAGAAAAAGATACGACGCTTCTGTATATCAACACGGTACAGTACCATACAAATTAAAGTGTAGTTATATAACTGTCTATTATTGGATTAAATATATAAATCATACAAAAAAATCATCATTAAATTATTAGCTTGTTTGCTTTAGATACTAATTTCTATTGTTTCTTCTAAGTGGTATTTTTCCTCCTGTGCTTAGTTTTGGTCTCTTGGATAAATCATGCCCTGTTGGTGTTATCTTTCGTTTATTGGAGAGAACATTTTCTTTATTTTCAATTCTCAAATCATTACTTGGTTCACTAAATCTTTGACCAATCAGTTGAAACTTTGGAGGTGATCTATTCAATGACTCTGCAGAAATCTCGTCCAGCTTTTTTGGTATCTTTAGCTGTTGCCTAATTGGTGTCTTCCCTGTAGGTAAAAATGCTTTCTTTATCTCTTTTTCACTGGAATCCAGTTCACTCAATACCTTGCTTACATCCTTAATTTCTAGTCCAGTAATGTCATCGTTATTAATGATCTTCTCCTTCAATTGATCACCAATTTCTAAAACATCATCCTTATTTGAGCTTAGCCCTTTTATTAAAATACAATTTTGATCCTGCATTTCTGAAAATTTTCTTTTTATGAGGTTTAAATTGTTGTCAATTGAGTTATTATTTTTGAAAGTTGTAGTGACATTATTAACATTTTGTAACTCTTCATTAATGGCATCTTTAGACAGACTTGTCAGTTTATTTGTTTCTTTGAGTGATTTTGAGACTTTTTGTAATTCTGTATCATGATCTCTGACCAACTTGTTTGTATTGTAATCACAGCTATTGATTATGTCACGTGTAGCTTTTTCCCATTCGTTTTGAACAGGGAGTAATTGTGCTTTTTCAATTGTGATAACTTCTTTATTAACTGATCGTATACTATCAACTAGCGTCTTTTGTTGTTTTGCATTTTGCTCTCTAATCAAGTCAACAAATTTATTGAGTAAATCATTTGAATCGTTTTCAATCTTAGTGTTAACATCACCGATAACTGAAGTCAAATAAGCGTCATGATTCATGAAAAGTGATTCATTAAGATGTGATTTTAGGTCATTATTATGTTTCGATAGTTTTGAAAATTCGTCATTAACATATTCTTCATACTTTTTAATTATTGCTTTCAACTGAGATATGTTGTTTTCAAAATCGTCAAATAAATGAGGAAATTTCGATAATATTGTATCACCGACATTCTTACATGCATCATATGTGGATCTTTGTAAGTCAACAATCATTTGGTTAAAATCTTTTTGTATAGAAGCCACTATTGGTGAAACCTCTTGTGGTGAAATATTAGCACTTATTGTTTTCTCAATTTTTTCAATTATGTTGTTAATGTTTACATTCGTTATTTTTTCAACTTCTGATTTGGCTTCACCTTCATACTTTTTGAACACTGATAAATTATTATTGATCTCTTTTATGAGCATTTTAAACTTGGAAGATGAAACACTAAATTGCTGCTCTTGTTCTTTTTGTTTATCAATCTTATTATGGAGACTATCCACTGTAGCATTCAATGTGTTGATAAGCGTCAGATATTCGTTATTTTGTGACTCTAAAGCTGTTGCCTTCTTTTTAAGCTGATCATTTTGCTTCCTTAGAAGCTCTGATGTTCTTTTAGTTTCACTAACTTCAGTTTTATATTCTTGTATATCATTCATAAATTCTTCATGATTTTCATTGTTCATATAGATACCATCTCTCATTCTGGTTGCAATAAGATCAGCTTTCATTTTTGCAAGTTCAGTACTTAATTCTTTCACTAAAATTTCTTTGCCTAATGTTGAGCCTATTTGTGGTTTATTTTCAATACTTTTTGCCTTGTTTGCATATTCCAAAGTGCTCAAAGTCTCGTCATAGTTGATTTTAGCAGGTGAGACCGTTGCAATTAAGCATGTCTTGGTTCTACCACCCAATGAATCCTGAAGTATTCTTGTAAGCTTTGATTCTCTATATGGTATATGTTGTTGGTTTTTCTCCACAAGTAAATTAATAACTCTTCCTAACGTTAACAAACTTTGATTGATAGATCCTGCCTCTTTAGCTCTCATGTTCACAGCTCCTGATCTACTTATATTTTCAGAGCCTGCAAGATCCACCAAGTTCATCTTGGATATTCTGAAGATTTCACTTGGCCCTATTTTTTTGTATAAACTTAATGTGAAAATAGTATGAGACCTACTTGACACATCATTCATCTTTGTTGATGCAACTTGCCTTATTTTTAGTCCTTTTTGTAATGTTTTGATACCATGTTTTGCATCTTTGATTAAAACTTCCTCTAGATTCTGTATCACAATGGTTGATTTATTGGTTTGTTGGCCAAAGCTGGGGCTTGTTGTTCCAGTTGTTGTGGATGATGATGATTTTTGATCAAAAATTCGAAGTTTTTTATTTGTGTCATCTGTGAGTAAATCTTTCAATTCTTCGTTATAGATTTCAACAAATGAACATTTAACAACATAATCATTATCCACATTTTCTTTAGATTCATTCAATACTTCAAATAACTTGAAAAGCACTCTAGGTATAATACCTGCTTTTTCGTTTAAAGCACCATCCGTCAACTCATCTATACCAGACATTGTGTATGTTTTACCAGTAGAAGTCATACCATATACTAGCATTGTACAATTATAACCTTTTAAAAAATCATTAAACAATGGAATGGCAGCTTTATTAAAGATAGCTTGTTGATCAGATCCTGGACCAAAGACTTTATCAAATGTATACGTTTTGGATGTCAATTGTGCAGCAACACCAGTTTCATTTGATGGATTCAAAACAACATCTTGTCCTTCATCGTCCTTAACGTGAACCACAACTGCGCTCTTTATACTGGTTTCTTTAGCATTTCTACCTCTGCACCGCACAACAACTTGAATATTTTCATTTTCTGCGCTCATTTTGACAGCCCGGCTCTCTATCAGTGTCAATTATCCTGAATACGCTGTTCAATTTGCTTTGGTTTCCTTGTGACAAGACGCGCTTTAAAGTTGATGTTGATGTTTAAACAGTCTAATCGATGTTTATTATGCTTTTTGTCTTTTTTTGTTTACAAAAAATATTACAACAATTTACTATTTTCGCGGTTGTCACAACAACCAAAAAACCTATATTTGTTATGGGCACTCGGAATATAAGCAATTTTTAATAAATATGTATTTTTTTTGCTTCTATCTTGGTCAACTATTCACAACATTGAAGTGACCAATCTTGCGCATTAATGCTTCCACCGATTTTTTATCCATTTCTAGTTCCGTACATATAGCATCAAAGTTTTTAGAGCTTTTGATGCTCTTCACAATAATTGCAATTTTTTCCTTTTGATCTTTTGAAAAATTATCATTTTGTGACATAGAACTGTTTCTCTTAAATAATGGGTTTCTTGGTTTACTCTTAGGTATTAGTGTCTTTGGTGCTACTTCATCTGATTCTGAATTATCAGAATCTAATTCTTCATCTTCTTCTTCTTCACCCTCTTCTTCTTCATCTTCTTCGTCATCTTCATCTCCATCACTAGTATTACTAGTTTTAGAAGTTGAATTTGACCAAGGGTTATATTTATTTCTCACATCTTGATCTTGATCATTAAGAATAACAGAATCAATGATTGGATATGAGTGCACTCTATAAATCAATCCTCTCAAAACCCCAAAGGATAAAAATCTTCTAACATCTATGTATTCTAATTCTGTGATATGATCTTTATACCAATTTTTAACTGATTGACCCTGATGTAATGACCTATAAAGATAAAATAATTTTGCTTTTGAAGGCAATAATATTAATTCATTTTTGCCTCTTTTGGCATTTAAATTAAGTGTTGATGATGATTTATTACGATTTGCATCATTCTTTTTGTTTGAATCAACATTTTTCAAGTTAAAATTGTTTGAATTTGTTGAATCTGTTTGATATGGTCTATCTTTAAAAATTGAAGGACTAACAACATAAGCCTGACATTCATTAGCCATGTTTGAATCTTTTAGGAATAAATCAATATCTGAAGTTGGAGCATAAATATTTGAAAATTGGAAAATATCAATAATTATAATACATTTATAATAAATTAAATGTTGAATGCATTGTTTAACAATCCAATAATCTGCATTAGCTAATGAACTTATCTTTTTGATAGAATTTACACCATTTATGAATGGTAAAATCTTAAGCATTGTAGGATCCCAGTTTAAATCAACCATACTCTCTAATCTAACAGTAGAAATTGGAACATCTTCTTGACTCAATTTTGGAGGTGGTGGTAATAATGGGAATAGTTTTATATCAACAGAATTACCTGAATCGATTGGTATAAGACATTCTGAGTAATTATTCAAATCTTGATAAATTTGTTGAATTAAACTTTCTATTGAATCTAGTTTAATTGTATAACCTTCTCTATGAACAATCCCCAAAGGGGTGGAAGAATCAATATCATTATTAAGATCATTTAAAATTTGTAAATAAGTTATTGAAGTCAATTTATTGACATCATCAGAATTATTATCTACCGCAGTGCTATTAACTCTACCATCTTTAGAGTTTGTACCACTTGTCAGACCAGCTGATGTGTTAGTACTTGTATTTCTATTTTCATCTTTAAAATATAAATGATCTCTTTCCTTTCTCGAAAATAATTGATATTGTTCCTCAAGATTCTTGAACATTTGACCTAATCTTTTAATTGAAGATTCATAAGGCGTTGTATCACTTCCATATTTGAAAACAAAGCATAAATTGAAACTAAATGAATTTCTTGCATAATAAGGTGCAATTGTATTAACAGGATATCCAATAATTCTATAGTTGCCAACTTTCAACGATATAAGCCTATTACATAGTTGAGGCTTGGGTATAACATAGTTCTTCACAAGACCAAAATCGATTAATGGTTCATTCAAAACATCAGAAGTGGTCTTAGCTGGTGTAACAATTGATCCTAATGGTACTTGTTGAGATACTTTGGTACCTTCAGTTGGATGGAAAACAGTATAGAAAATAGCCTCTATAGGAGAGAATCCTAAGAAATTGTTAGCTTTAAATTTTCATGAATCTTATTGCTTCAAAAACTTGGTACTCACCATCAAAATCAGCAGCCATTATGGTTTCCAATGTTTCATATCAATCTTGATCAACATAGTGGAGACCTCAAGGCTTAAACAGAGGTAACAAATATTAAACCATTTCAAATTTGGCAGTATTATTATGTAATCATTGAGTCATCATCGGATCCTATAAGATTTGATTTAAACGAAGACCAATCGAATGGAAGAAATGATTCTAATTTCTTAGTATCGGGAAGTTTGTGAATTGTAGGAAGTTGTAGTATATTATAGTTTTAGATCAAGTAACTATAAGAGATCTTCAATGAAATATATACGATCGTGAAAAATGCAACATGTCACCAATTAATATTAATTTAGCTAAATTTTTCTCCAGTATTGAATCATCGCGAATAATTATAGATCTGATGATGATTGAAACGTGGAATCGAAACCTTGAAGGTGGAATTGAAGTTCTCTAGAGATAATTTGTGGAATACTGCTGAGACTGTATATGTTTCAATCACCTGTTTCCACTTCCAATTCAATCAATCTAAACTCACAGTGAACAATCCCATTTCTTTAAATCTGAGTTGCAGTACTGATTGGAAGCTTAACGCTGGAAATTTTCGACAACCGAACACCGGAAATCTGTAGTGCTTTGGAAAATTCTAGCAAAACCGCTGAAGTGACAAATCTTTTATAAAAACTCCTGTTTCCCCAAAGATTCATAAACACTTATCTTGATTAATAACAATCATCCTCCATTAATCAATTTTAATCAATCATCATGTTGCGTGCTGCTCGTCCAACTGTTAAAAGACAAGCTTTGTCATTAGCTAGAAACTTATCTCACAAAGAATTGAAATTCGGTGTTGAAGGTAGAGCTGCCTTATTAAAAGGTGTTGAAACCTTAGCCGATGCTGTTTCTGTTACTTTAGGTCCAAAAGGTAGAAATGTCTTAATTGAACAAGATTTCGGTTCTCCAAAAATCACTAAAGATGGTGTTACTGTCGCTAGATCAATTACTTTAAAAGATAAATTTGAAAATATGGGTGCTAAATTATTACAAGAAGTTGCCTCTAAAACTAATGAAAGTGCTGGTGACGGTACCACTTCTGCTACTGTCTTAGGTAGAGCCATCTTCACTGAATCAGTTAAAAACGTTGCTGCTGGTTGTAACCCAATGGATTTAAGAAGAGGTACTCAAGCTGCTGTTGAAGCTGTTGTTGATTTCTTACAAAAAAACAAGAAAGAAATCACCACTTCTGAAGAAATTGCTCAAGTCGCTACCATCTCTGCTAATGGTGATGCTCATATTGGTAAATTATTAGCTTCTGCTATGGAAAAAGTTGGTAAAGAAGGTGTTATCACTGTTAAAGAAGGTAAAACTTTAGAAGATGAATTAGAAGTTACTGAAGGTATGAGATTCGATAGAGGTTATATCTCACCATACTTTGTTACCAACAGAAAATCAGGTAAAACTGAATTAGAAAGACCATTAATCTTATTAAGTGACAAAAAAGTTTCAGCTATTAATGATATTTTACCAGCTTTTGAAATTGCTGTTAAAAGTAGAAGACCATTGTTAATCATTGCTGATGATATTGATGGTGAAGCTTTAGCTGCTTGTATTTTGAATCAAATTAGAGGTCAAGTTACTGTTTGTGCTGTTAAAGCCCCAGGTTTTGGTGACAACAAAAAGAACACCTTAGGTGATATTGCCATCTTAACCGGTGGTACCGTTTTCAATGAAGAACTTGATTTGAAATTAGAAAACACTACTCCAGAATTATTAGGTTCAGCTGCTTCTGTTACCATTACTAAAGAAGATACCGTCATCTTAAACGGTGAAGGTTTAAAAGAAAACATTTTGGATAGAATTGATCAAATTAAAAGTTCTGTTGCTGATGATCAAACTTCATCATATGAAAAAGAAAAATTACAAGAAAGATTAGCTAAATTATCTGGTGGTGTTGCCGTTGTTAAAGTTGGTGGTGCTTCAGAAGTTGAAGTTGGTGAAAAGAAAGATCGTTATGATGATGCTCTAAATGCTACCAGAGCTGCTGTTGAAGAAGGTATTTTACCAGGTGGTGGTACTGCTTTATTAAAAGCTTCAAGAATCTTAAAAGATGTTAAAACTGAAAACTTTGATCAAAGATTAGGTGTTGATATTATTAGAAAAGCAATCACTAAACCAGCTAGAAAAATCATTGAAAATGCTGGTGAAGAAGGTTCAGTTATTGTTGGTAAAATCATTGATGATTTTGGTGAAGATTTCAACAAAGGTTATGATTCATCAAAAGGTGAATACACTGATATGATCTCAACTGGTATCATTGATCCATTAAAAGTTGTCCGTAGTGGTTTAGTTGATGCTTCAGGTGTTGCTTCATTATTAGCTACCACTGAAGTTGCTATTGTTGATATTCCAGATGCTGCTCCAGCTGCTCCAGCTGCAGGTGCCGGTGGTATGCCAGGTATGTTCTAAGGATAATACAGAGACCAACCAAGATTATTACAGATAGAAATGATGTGAAACGTAAATTAATTGATATTGACTTGTAAATAGCTCTTAATATATATTAAGTATCAATCAAATATTAGAAAAGTAGTTACATCTGTCAAATTTTTCACGTGTCAGTATTATCGATTTACCCGCAAGTCGGAGGAATAAAATGTTCGCGAATCCTAAGGGTACGCGAAAGATGTTCTCGGGAAAAATCCACTAAATACACACTTCCCACTTTTTATAAACAAACTCTCAAAACAATAACAAGTTCTATTAAAAAACATAAACAATTGTTTGAATTTCAACAACAACCAAAACAAGAAAACAAATCAATTGAATCAATCAAAATGTCAGGAAAAGTTCACGGTGGTAAAGGTAAATCTGGTGCCAAAGATGGTGGTATTAGATCACAATCTCATTCAGCAAGAGCTGGTTTACAATTCCCAGTTGGTAGAGTTAAAAGATTCTTGAAAAGAAATGCTCAACATAAAATCCGTGTTGGTGCTAAAGGTATGTTTTAAATCATAAGTATGATATTCCAATGTTTTAATTACTAACATTTTCTTTTCATTCTAGCTGCTATCTATTTAACTGCTGTCTTAGAATATTTAACTGCTGAAGTTTTAGAATTAGCAGGTAACGCCGCTAAAGATTTAAAATTAAAGAGAATCACACCAAGACATTTACAATTAGCTATCAGAGGTGATGAAGAATTAGATACTCTGATCAAAGCTACAATTGCTTATGGTGGTGTTTTACCACATATCAACAAGGTATGTTTGAATTTTAATTTGTTATTGTTATTGTTTATGAATTTTTTACTAACACAATTTTTCTATATAGGCTCTTCTATTAAAAGTCGAACAAAAAAAGAAGAAATAGATTATTTGAAATTGGATTTCAATTCTATAATTATCTCAAGATTTTATTTTGTATAATATTTCAGTTATTGCTGGTAAAGGGGTTACTTTTTTAATTTTTTTTTGTATTAAATGGTCAAATTTTGCTCTACTGTTTTCATTTAGTTTGATTCCAAAAATAAGGGGCGATTGGCCTGTGTATTTTATACTATGAAGCTACGTTCTTCACAAATATATGGTGTGTTTTTATAATTTGAAATAAGGGCCAATTGAAGTTGTAATTTTATGTATCATGCGATTGTTGTGTATTTCATCTTTTGAATTTATGTTCGCGTTTGTTTTGATTTTTTGAACCATCTCCCTGAAAAATTCGTCTCTATGACAACCATTTTTTGGTTAAAGCTTCGATCTAGCGAAGGGCCACTACACACGTTATACGTACAAAGGAAAGTAATTTGAAAGAACTTTGATTGGTGATTATTGATATAGTAGGGTGAACACATTTCTTGAATATCTGATAACTATGATTATATGTTTTTTTTGCTAATTGATCTGAAGCTCACACATCAGCAGCTTTCTTCAATTAAGGAATTAGGAATAACTTTATTTCATTTATATCAATACTATGGAAGAATTGAAGAGATCAAAAAAGATACTTCAAAAAGCCATCGATTTCTGATCTATAATTCTATTTAATTATATAATATCTTTAAACATTTGAAGGCGATGAACATTGTGACGTGGCTAAATAATTAAAATTAAAACTGTTGTAGTGTCTCCAGTTTTGCAATTTTGAGTAGCGAAAGTAAAATTTGATAAATAACTCCATACAATCGATTCTGACATATGACAAATATAACAAACTTTTTCTTTTATACTCAATCAAAAAGATGAAATAGCTAGTCTGGTAAAACACC